AGCATCCAGAGAGCCGATATCGACGCCCAGCTCGAGGGCATTGGTCGCCACGATCCCCATTAGCTGGCCCTCGAACATTTCCTTTTCGATCTTCCGTCGATCTTGCGGACTATATCCGCCTCGGTAGCCCATCACCAAGCTACCGATCTCTGGTCTTTCGAGGGTTTGAAATTCAGCCCGCACGGCCTGTAACAGGACTTCGCATAGCTTTCGTATCCTACAGAATGCTATCACTCTTGCGCCTCTCAGGATTAGCTGGCAGAACAGTCGTGCGGTTTCAGCGACGCTATCTCCACGTCCTGAAGTAGGGTCGCCGGGGTCTTTGAAGGGTGTGTTCCAGCATATGAACTCTTTTCGGCCTGAGGGAGAGCCGTCAAAGTCTATTAGTTTGACATCCTCGACACCGAAAATTGCCTTCATGTGGCTTTCCGGGTTTGCCATGGTAGCTGAGCACGAGATAAACCGGACATGGCGATTCCCCACAGCTGCACATATCCTGCGTAGTCGCCGCATGACGAATGCAACATGGGACCCAAAGAGACCGTTGTAGACATGTAGCTCGTCGACCACGACGAACTTCAGGTTTTTTAGGAAAGTACGCCAGGCGGTCTCCTGTGGTAAGATTGTGATATGCAGCATATCTGGGTTCGTGAAAATGATTCGCGCCTCGTCACGAATCATATTCCGGTTCTCCATTGGTGTGTCGCCGTCGAATGTCTCGACCATGGTATGTTGCAAACCCTCCATGTACTGCAGTAGATCCTTCATACTGCGTCTCTGATCTTGGGCCAAGGCCTTCGTGGGGAATATATACAGTCCCCGGCTATTATGATCATTTTCCAGCTCATGTAGCATCGGAACTTGGTATATCAACGATTTACCAGAACTGGTCGAGGTAGAGACAATGACGTTGTGACCCTTGTACAGATGATTGATTGCTTCCGCCTGGTGAGAATAGAACTGCGTGATACCCCGTGTGTTATACAAGGCATTGACGAGATTCTGGGAAAGCCTAAACGCCAACTCTCCGCAAATAGCGGGCTGAGCGTCGATCACCCTATGGCCCTCTGGCACGATCTGTGCTGTATACCAATCCATCTCACGGATCTCCGTGATGATCTCTGACATAGATTTGCGCTCCTTGGGGATCTGCTGTGGCAGAACACTCGCCACAGGCACCGCATTACCTTCAACTGGAGGTACAGGGATCCAAATATCCTTTTCCCGCTCGAGTCTCTCAACTGGATCAGTACTATCGTCTTCACACTGTACTAAGAAAGCATCAACCGCGTCCGTGAACTTTTTATTCCGTTTCTCGATCAATGCGAGCATCTGCTTCTGACTGTAGACTGGCATCTTCAGATCTTCATCCTTCAACTTGCGCATGGTCTTTGCGTCCTCGCCGGACTTGGATCGTTGAGTTTCCCTTTTTAAATCACCATCTATGAGCTCGAATAAGAGAGCCTTAGTCTGTGAAGATGGCTCCACATTACCATCGCCACCACTATCAAGCTCATACCTCCCATGCCGACCATACGTCTCCACCATCTCCTTATCTCCGACAGTCATCACTTCCAACTTCGCCTCATCAACATACTCAAACCGTACCGCCCGTGGCACAAGAACCCTCACCCGCGCAATCTCCTCGACCGTCAATTCCTCACCCATCTGAGCCTGAACCGCCTTCTTGATATTCTCAAACGTTGTGGCGAAGTGCTTCCGCGTGCAGCAGAATGTGTAAACTATATTCAGGGCGCGATGCGTGCGTGATAGTTTCTTAAATGGTTCGGGCCATGGTGCAGATGGAGTGCGTTCTGGTGGTGGGGTTGTTTTGGATTTGGGTGCCCTTTTGGCGATCTTTTTGGATGCCGGATTTCCTTTGGGTATATCACAGGCATTGTCGGGTGTGGATGTTGTTGATGAATCTGGAGGAGTTGAATCTTGGGCTTTTTTGCGTCGCTTGGCTTTGGTTGGTTGTTCTGGGGTTATGGTTGTTGACGCGCCATCGTGGTTTAGAGAGCTGTTTTCGACAGGTGGTTTCTTCCGTTTGGATACCGAACTGGAGCGGATTGTCTGGGGTTTGGCACCGGCCATTTTGGTGCTACATTGTGAAGTTTTCAATGCCCATAGATGGAGATATGAAGGTTTGGGTCGGAGGAAGCACGGGATCCACGGTCGTCTTGAGGAGACGAGACGCGGTATCACGTGGAGATAAGGATGTAATGTTACTGGACTGGGAATAGTGGGTTTGGGGATCTATGAGCCGGAGAAGTCGAATAGTCGAAGGCTCTCTTTGAAAAATCGGCTTGTTAGTCATTGACAGCGAAGTCCCATATGATAATAGAAATAGGTAAGAATGATCGGATTTGTACCCTCTATTTATGCACGCAGGCAGATCATCTTGTTACATGCATGACCCAGACCCACTCAGAATACGACAGCGGTCTGCTTCTGAAGTTGAATGTACATTTCCACATTACCCTGAGGTGATCAGAACTTGAACTGAAATAATTGATGGGTGTATTAAAGAAATAAGATAAGTGTACAAAACGAATGCAGTGGGTGTATATTCATAGGTTAAGAAAAGAAAACCGTGTACGTCGAATGAGACCCCGGTGCCAGCTAATGTAGAGCCATGCCCATGGCTCCATCCAACACTCCAGTCAATATAGACTCCTCGTATGAAATGCAGAATGCCAGCCCATCTTAACCTACTACTGTAAGGATGCAGACGCTCGCCTCTCGAACCGAAGTGCCCTTAAAATGCGACAATTACGTTCCAAAGCATTGGTATCCGGGTAATTGTCCCCTGAGGACTGACTCCTATGTAATGGGCTTACTGGTGCTCCAGCAGGTCACAAACAATGTGATAGAGCTCCTTAGCAGAATCTTCGCTTGGCATCTACATCGTGTTAACATCTTGTTCATGTAGAGATCTAGCATGTTCATATATAACTTACCCTCAGTAAGGTAGGGACCGATCGGCCTTCTTCCAGACTTGCTAGGTGAATCTGCTTGGACTTGGGTTCGTTGCCTGACGCATCGCCAACCTTCATGCCCTTGAAAATTGGCGTGTTTAGCATTACGCGTAGAACACCGTCAGCGCGCATGATCAAGCGAGCAGCTTTCTTGTCCTCTTTGCCATCGGTAACCTTAACATTAACCTTGAAGGTGCCAATTCCACGCTCCTTCCACTCTCCGTTTGAGAATTGGAAGAGTTTTGCCTTGGTTGAGAAGTAGGTCGTTTCTTCTTCTTCACCTGTCTCGACTGTTTCGGGAATGTAGTCAGTGGGGATTGTTGAGAGGGATTGGGATGGGACGACGTACTCGGTCGTTCAAAGAATCTTTCATCTGTCTTCTCCTGCTCGAATTCTCCAGGAGCAGTATCAGCTTCTTGATCCTTCTCCTTTGCTTCTTCTTTGTCCTCTTCTGTCCCGAACGGTTTGCTCTTGCTAGAACTGCCGAGAATACCGGCCCCCCCTGGTGCAGCGAAGCTGATGAGACCGCCCTTTGAACCGGTAGCCCCAAACCCACCGCTGAACCCTGAGAATCCGGAACCCAAAGACGCAAACCCGGTGGTGCCGGCGGCACTCGCGAATCCGGTAGCGGATGATTTGCTAGCTTCAGTAGTAGTCGCTGACCTAAAGACGGAAGTGTTCGAGCCTCCTATGGCGCCAAAAGGTGACTGCTCGGAGCTAGCAAAAGCGGCCAGGCTCGAAGCAGCGAATGCAGATGAGGATGTGGCAGCCGGCTTCGAGGTTTCTTCCTTGGGCTTCGAGGCACCGAGCGAGCCGAAAGGCGAAACAGCAGATGTGTTTGCAAATGCACTCTTAAGCGGGGCCGATCCTCTTTCTTCGGAAGCGTCCCTGTGTCGCTTCTTCTCAGGCTCCCCTGCAGTCGTCTCAGAGGCGTCATTTTCTGCGGAAGTCTTACTGTCATCGACGGTGTTTTCGGCCTTCGGCTCATCTTTATCCAGCTGGTCTCGGCTTCTCTTCTTCTTTGGGCTCAGGACTTTTCTAGCGATGTCCGTGGTCTGTGTCTGCTCCCCCTCTGCATCGGGCGCATTTAACGAAGTAATGTCCTCATCCTCATCAGCCTTAGAGTCGCGTGACCTCTTCCGTCTGTGACCATTTTCCTCGTCTACATTCTCGGGTTGATCCTCGTCGAACGATCGCTTCCTACCCCTGCTACTCGAACGGCTATTTTCGCCGTCTTGTTGTTGTTCGGTGGAACTGGCGGTTGTCGAAGCGTTCGGGGCCGAGGTGATGGACGTCTCCTTTAGCTTGTGGCGAACAGGGCGCTCAGCGTTGTCGTTATCGGACGCTTGAGAATCATCCGCAGTGGCTGTGAGCAGTTAGACAAAGCGCACTACCTGCGAGTCCCGACGCCCGCAGGAGGCACAGGCTTCAGAATATTTGCGTACCTTGACTGTCCATTGGGTCCACGCGAGCATCATCTGTGCGATCACCACGTCAGTTTTTCAGCCGATACTTTTGCACGACAGTGTAATGTACCCTTCACCCCAACATTATCTCCCGAGTCAGTCACCATGTCGTACACTTTTTGGTTGTCTCTATAGAAGTTGAAGCGGAGGTCGACGAAGAGAGATTTGCACAATCCAACGAATGTGGGATGTCTTCCCGGGCTAGAAAGGTCGCTCCTCAGCTGTATGATCGACGTGGGGACGACGATCTGATCAGGTGGTAGGTACTGTGATGGTTGTTGGAGGACGTCTGGTAGACGAAGGACTCCCAGATGCCAAGTTCTAACGGTCTCAGCCAAAAAGCGACCGAATGAGGCAGAGATCCAACTAGTGGGAGAGGTGCAGGTCGAGAAGCGGCCGATTCGTACCAACGAACGGGTGACGACAAACTGCTTTGTTGTTCGTCGGCAGTCGTCCGGTCACCGCCCCGCAGTAGCCTTACTACTAGTTAGTCCATCTCTCGGCACACTTTTAATCTGATAGAACAACAACAACAATAGATCGAGGATAAGAAACATTTCTCAATTGGATATCTTAGCATGCAATAATCTAATACACTTGGGAGAAACAAACAAAGCACAGCTTCAAGGAAACAACGGTGGGATAAAAAGAAAAATAAATCAAGTGGTAAGTAGATTTCACACGCCCGTTACCATTTGGCTTGCAGCACTTCCCTTTTATCACAAAGGCTGCTTGATTTCCGAGCTATTACATCGCCAGCATCTCATACCACCTCTTCTTAACTGATAAAGCAGAGACAACCGATCGCAATGTAGAACACAAACAGTGGGTATACTGCGATACCGACCCGATTCTTGAGCACTCCAGATCCACCAAGAATGCTGATACCCGCCGCCAAAGACCATGCGATCAAGACAAGATATACCGGTATCCGCGCAATAGTCGGCAGGCCAAGCGCACTGAGAAGGGCAGCAATGACGAGAGGGAAGAGCGTATAGCCGATGATGCAGACGGACTGGAAGAAGGATCTAAGAACACACCATCAGTAACCATTCCCGGGACCATCCTAGAAGACATAGGTGCACATACATATTCCCACCTAGCAGCTTAATCTGTAGAGTCACAACCGCTTCTCCAATCCACACGATACAGAACACCCCGGAGAAGACCAGGTCTGACTGATCTCCCTTTGCGCGCATTGCCAGGAAAAAGCTCAAAAGCAAGCAGAAAATGAGCGGACCCCTATCAAGGCGGTTCTTATCAGTATTTCCTAGGACCAAGAAGCATTACGTTAAGAAAGCAGCACGCTGCCATTAATCACTTACCAGAGATCCCAGTCACGTAGACCTTCACTCATTCCGCCTTGCAAGACAGTATCGGCGTCCGGCCAGCGGCCCACGAGATTCCTCAGACCACCACCACTACCAAACCCAGTGGCCTCTCCTCGTTCGGCCGCACCACCAATGCCTCCTCCACCCCGCTGCAACATCCCACCCATCAGGTATTTGGGCCACAAAACCTGGCGCATCTTCTCCCAGACTGCCAGTAGGTCGCGCGACACCGTTTCCCAGACCGTTTCATCGATGGTGTTCTGAGCGGCGCGTCGATCCTCGCCGGGGATTGAGGATGTCAGGTAATTGCCGGAAAGGTTTCCACCTCGAGAGCTCGATGCCTCGGGTTGGATATTGCCTCTTAAGGGAGTGGTGTCGGTTTCGTGTAACGGGTCATCAGCGTCGATGGCTAACGCGCACAAGGGTCAGCGGCAGTCAACAAGGGGCACGACTCCATCCGAGGGGCCAGTGAGAAACACACCATCATCAGCTTCAATAACATCATCATCAAGAATTGATTCATCATCGCGCAGATCCCCGTGGGGATGAGTATATGATGCGCTGGCCATGGTAGATATCGTTTGTTATAATGAGACGGAGTTCAATCGCGGAAAGAATTTAGCACTACAGGAGCATTGCTTATTGATCCAGATGCTACCAGAGCTACCAGAGCTACTGGACTATCGAATGCACCAAGCGTTGGTCGCTAAGCGCAAAAGAACTCGGCGAGGAAGTATGAGATGGGGAGGTAGAGGTCACGATATGAGCTGTCTCGTTCCTGGGAGAGGCTACAGTGGCATAATGCACGTCTTACGTACGCGGCACGGGCTGAAAGGGGAAGGCGGAAACGTGTGGTTCTTATCACTGAGTTGTGATATCAGAATGTTACCCCAACATCAACCTCCAGCCTGAGCTACTACTAGTATATAGTGCAGTTTAATGACTATATCCTGAATTTGACATAACAGCAATGGTTTCTGACGTGGTAGGGAGGCTAATTTCGTGACCAGACACTTGACGTAATACACAGAAGCTGCCAGGCAGAGGATGCATTTGGACTAGAACATAAAAAAAGGCAGAGTAGTCAACAGTCGACCAACTTACAAGCCTTACTTTAAGATCATAAAAGTTGCCGCAAGATGATTCCAACAACATACTGAACATGTGCCCTTCGGAGAGGAAGTCGACAACCCGGATAACAACCATCCTACGGGTTCTTGTCATCAACCTCTCCAGTTACCCAGAATGTATTGGTGGCCTCGCTAAATGGGCACTTGCTAAATCACTCAACACTAGTAGCCATGGTCCGTTTCGACTGCATCCCTCAACCGCTTAAAGCGTATCTTATTGTGATCCACCGTTTGTGAAGGCATTGATTGCATCGTAGAAAAGACATACTACTCTTCAAGCAAGGTCTATATTCAAGCATCTTTCTTCAATGACACCCTTTTGACACATATTTGAGCGAGTGGATATTCAGAAAGCCATGATGAATTCTAGTTGGTTATTCTCAGAATCACAGGTATGGTATAGATCATTCGCGGCTATGGACCTTGTTTCCCCGAGAAAGTGTGTGAGGCAGGTTGATCAAATTACTGGTAGATTACCTGATAAGTTGTAACACGAAGCACTAGAATGTCATCAGTGATAGTTTGGATGTCTACCTAGTACATGATGCTGACTCCGGGTACTTCCCTAATGCTACTACATTCCTTGACCATGGTGTAACTTAAATTGAGATACAACTGTATTCAGTGTTTGTAAAATCACCGGAAATTATTACATTCTATCTTCTATTATGTGGTCAGCTGTTGAGCAATGTGCAGCTCGCTGTTTTTTCAAGAAGAGAGAGAGAGAGAGAGAGAGTAGCTGCTGTAACGCTTCAGTTATGCAGAAAGCTTCAGTCTCAGTCAGAGTATGAATATCCCGGATCAATACTACTACGGCGGTTATAAATCAACTAACAGAATTGAGATGTCTTTTATATATAGGAATATCTATTATTACATGAACATTGCCGATATTTGTACATATAAACCACCTCATTGCCAACCATGATAGTGTACACTGAAGACTATATACCAACGCCTGTATATGCATGCAAGTATGAGGTAGTATCAACCATCAAACAAGTCATAAAACTATTAATTGTGCGGGCTGCAAGAGCTCCCGCTACTCGTTGCTGAACTCAGTCAATATCCAAGGGATCCTCGGCAACATTCTGATCTTTGTAGGCCAGAACCTGTTCGGAAGTCGGAGAAACCAGAGTATTATTGTACTTCATGGCAATCTCAGCGTTGGAATATTTCCTTAAATCCCGGGAATCTTTCTTGAGTTGGGCGCGAGTTTCTTTGGAAAGCAGCTTCGAGTTCGCTGGCTTCAAGATATCGTCTATCAAACCCCTCACCGTGGCTAATACCTTGAGAGCTTCCTCTCCGGAGACGGCATGCTCATCAGCACTATTAGAGCGAATACCGCGGCTGCTGGCTGGAGCTGGAGACACTAGGCCATGCTCCATAGCTTTATCGAGTTTGACAACGCAAGGGCGCAGAGCTTCAACAGCGGTTGTCTGTAGATTAAGGCGCAACTGCTGGCCCATAGCACTCAGGCCACCGGCCGGTCGTTTCCCACTCCCGTCGATACCGTTCAATGACATAAGGAGTTGGGGGCTATTACCCAAAATGCGGACTAGGTCGAGGTAAGCTCCCAACGCCTGAGGGAAAGGAAGCACAAGTGACGTCTCCATGAGATGAAGGAGCCCATTGGCATTTTTAAAAACGTTGATGTTTTTGCGATCACGAAGACAACACGCAAATGCGATCCGGAAAGACCGGCCCTCCGTCATTTGGGCGGGGACCATCTGGTTGCGTATGACCTCAAGGGCAATGCGACTGGAATGACCAAGCCGTAAAAGTCGGAGATATTGATGGTACGTGCCTCCGTCCGGCTCAATCTTATAGTGGGTGTCTTCCAGGGTAAGGTGCTGCCAGTAAGCCTTTCCAGCACCAATTCCCTGAGTCATACTTAAGCAAGCCTCTAGGATCAGTGAAAGTTCTCTATTTCCCACAGAAATAAAAGAAGGTCCCGGGCCAACGATAGGGTCAAACACGTTTTCAAATGTTTCCTCTTCCTCTTCCTGCTCGAGCTCCTCTGGCTCCGCCTCCGATGGTCGATACAATGTTTCACTATCATCCACGAACGGAACATCTTCCTCTAAGTGGCTTCCTCTGCTCTTCTTTTGTAGTTTCGAAGAGGGATCTGAAGGCTCTTTGGCGAGAATTGGAACTCCGGTGACTTGATGAATCAACGCGAAAACGTCGTAGCAACCCCGATCGGTAGATGCTTCTAGGAGCAAATTTGCCATCGCGCTCACAAGGAGGTTGTCCATTTCGAGCTGCCCCTTCTTCCATCGATAAATAATATCGGACCATATCCGTTTGCCTTCCTTGACACCTTGGGCTTTCCTCGCAAGCATTTTCTCCACCTGAGAGGGTTTCATCCGTTCTACATCCGCATGGGCTGCATCCGAGATAGCTCTCAGGATGATACTGTATGTCGTGCAGTCTGGAGAGCCTGGCCCGTCTTCAGGGAGTTCGCCAGCGACCCGCCATAAGCTGTCCATATTACGATGGCGCGCACAGACATTGAGCATCGCATTGGTGTGGATAAGGTTTGGCGTTACGGTTGAATTGGGTGCAAAGATAGACCTGTAAATAGAGAACGCGGTCTTGACAGGGTGGACGCCGGCGTCCCTGCTTATTCTGCACAGGCCATCCAGCATGATTGTGTACGTCACTGAATTAGGCCTTCGTCCTCGCTTCTTCATCTGCAGATTGGGAGTCCATTGTCAGCCCTGCTGCCAGCAAACACGCAAATCTCACATGAACAGTAGTAATATCTCACCTCATTGTAGAACTTAAGCGCGGCCTTCGGGTGGTTTTTCTTCATACAATACTCCATGAGATGATTCCAAGCCACTGTACACTCCATACGCTCTCTTTGTGCCGTGCGGACCAACGCCACAGCCAACAGTACATCATTGGCATTCAAAAGCCTTGCGACTCGGTCGGACAGCGCCCGAGGGTCCTTCAACCATTTCAACTCCATTTCGACAACTTTCCCAGAAACTTTGACCGACATGGTCCCATCCAACTCCTCCCGAGTCTTCGGCGAAGTGCCTGCCTTCGCAATCGAGAACAGAAGGTCATCGTGTGTAATTCCTTGTTTACTTTCCAGCAACTGGTCGGGCTCTAGAAGCGTATCTTCATACTCTTCGCTCGCAACGACAGGCTCCGAATCTTCAAACTCCTCACTCTCAGCAACGGATTCCGGATCTTCAAGCTTTTCGCTCACAGAAACAGGCTCCGAATTCCCAGCACTTGTAGCTTCAGAATTTGTAGAGTATCGTTTGGCGCCAACAGGTAACCTCCAAGCACCAATTTGTCCTGGCGCAATGCCTCTCGGAGCAGGATACGAAAGAGAAATGCCCCTAGTGCCTCCCGAAACACCTCTAGACCATTTAGAGCCGAAAGATAATCTCGTTAACGGGCAGCTCTTAACGCCCGTCCGAAGAGCACTAACATTGGTGCAACGAAGCATTTAAAGAGCGGAGACCGATAAATCGCCTCGTTACCCAATTACAAGATTGAAATCCAGCCGTCCTTCGCGTATCACTTATCTGTCCCGCAATATGATTGTCTAGTAGGCCTAAACCGACCTCCGCAGGCTTATTGCTGAGCAAGGAAAACTTTTCGGCAGGATAACGGGATCGTGAAGGGGAGGCGATAATGGGTGGCTACAGCGATATACAAGGTAGCGAAAAGAAGGGTGATTGGTAAAAAAAAAAAAAAAGAGAGAGAGAGAGAGAGAGAACAATAATTTCAAAGGTGCAAACCCAAACAGCCTCTGTGGCAAGCAGCAGATAATAAAGGCTGATAAAAAAGGAAGGCGAGCCTGTCTCATGGATGCGCAGTTCTTTGATAGCTGGACAAATTATCGCTGTATCGTATCGGTCTGGTCAACGCTAGTTGAAATGAGGTTAGAACTTTTTGGAACCTTTCTGGGAAAGTATCTCCGCTTCCGCCATGTTTGGCCTCAGGCCGCAAGGTCTGTGGCTCGTATCCGCCTCAGGCATTAAACACTAAACACTCTTTCGCCGCTAGTGGCGAAGTGAACCACTAGACATGTCACTGAGCAGTGACAAGATGCCCTACTTCGTCTTAGCTTCAATAGATAGTTAGGGAAATAGCCGCTAGTCGACCAACATCTTGTTTCTTATGGCAAGCCTCTCGGGGCCTAGGGAACCCCGCCAAATCATAGATAACCTAAAATCAAACCATGTGGTGCCTCGTGGGTAGAGAAGGTTCCGAACTTACAGATCTACTAGCCTAGTCTCATACCTTAGCAGTTTAACCTTACATTGTACATGCTTTGTACAACGTACTAGTAATCCTGGCTGAAATGGTCGCACCACTAAATCTTAGCCCGCCATTTCTGATGCATATTACCTGTTAAATTCAATGATCAGCCCTACACCAGTTCGCGTACCCGGATGTGCTAAGTTTATACCAGGAGTTAGCTTGGACAATAAGACTACATAGTCGTATTGCAATTCTTGCTATACATCTTCACTAGTACTACACATATATTTATATGTATGTTCACTACAATACGCTTTGCTTCAGGGTGGGAGCCTCAAACTCAATCGACGCATCATTCCTGCATCACCAACCGAAGTACTGATTTAACTAAGGTATTTACGGTTTGGAAGAGTAGGAAATAGTGAATCTGAAGGCGCACTTTCCGTGCAAATATGTCCACAATTATTGACATGTATCGTAGGTATTCAGAAGTTCATAAGAAATGCAAAAGAGGAGAAAGTTCCGAGTTGCGTGGAAGACTGTAGCCACCATTCCATGACCAGACGAATAGATAAACAAAGGCCATGGACCATAGAAAATAATGCACAGTTTAGGGGACCAAAACCCAGGGTAACATAAATTTGGCCGAAGCAGGGAGGACAGTCGAAGACGAAAGCAAGGGCCATAACAAATAATTCACATACAGAAGAAAGGTGAATTTAATAGAAACATGATCTGCATAATCCACAGGGAATAAAGCGCATGAAGAACAAACGGAATCGAACAAGCGAAAGGTAAAGAACATCAGCTAATGCAGATTGCCCCGCCAGACATCTCAAATCACAATCCTATAGCCGGTATTCGCGAGGGAAAAATAAAGATGGGGTTCCCCGATAAAGGAGATTCTCTCCCTTTTGTCAAGCGATCTAATTCAAAAAAACATAACTGGGACAGAAGCGTAAGTTGCATGGCCACTCTTTTTGACTGGAGCAATCAAGGCCAGGAAATGGTATCATGTGCGCAAGACTTTAAAGAATTAGATCCGGGGGTGGCGATACACGATTAGGAGAATTTGGTATTAGAATATTCAAGCTGAGAGAAGAGAGGGAAGGGGGATATCTATTGCGGGTAGCTGGTCGATTGGTTTTCTGCAAAGCCATCCTCGATCAGCTACAACCCGTACAACGATAGACCAGAGGACCTCTCCTCCCGAACTTTCCTTTATCTCTTTCTCATGATGTGTTTGGTCATGTCGAAACATCTTTTTTTTTCTTTGGATTCCTCGTGGCCCGGTCCTAACCAATAATGCAAACACGAAGGACTGACTACTTACGTTGCTGGTATACTTGACCGCTTTGGCCATAAGGCGAGTGAGGGTAGTTTGGAGGATAGGCCATCTGTCCGTTGCCCTGATAAACCATGCCACCGCCAGGAGCTCCATACTGACCAGGCACCTGGCCGTCAGCGGGCTGATACCCGATCGGGGGCAGTTGAGGACGGACACTGCCCGGGTAGGCGGGAGGTTGACCGGCCTGCGCCGGATCGCCAGGGCCAGGGGCATCAACTTGGTTGGCTTGCGCAGCCTGAGCAGCAGCAGCACGCTCACGTTCCTCGGCGGCCTTGCGCTGAGCCTCTTCCTCCTTCTTGCGAGCCTTCCACTCTTTGCGAATTTCCTTGAATTCTAGGAAGCCTAGTTAGCCCTATCTCCCCATAATGTGTTGTAGTAAAGTCCCCGTAAGGAAAGACTAAGGACATGGGAGCAGCTGTAAGCGACGTCACTGGCAGGGAGGACGGTTTCGGTTTTAGGTTAACCTCCACACCGGCTCCTCACGCTACTACGATCCCGCCGCGCTAAAGCGGTGTAACTCGACTAGCGCGTGGCACCCGCACTAGCCTAAATGAGGTATCCGCGACCCCTCCCAAAACACAAGGAAATCCAGGAAAAAAAATCGCAGTAATGTCCCCCAGAAAACCCTCCCCTCCACTTAAAAAAAAAGAAAAAGAAAAAGAAAAAGAAAAAGGGACATACCTTCAGGAGTTCGCTTGGCTCCATGAGACTGCATGGTAACGTGCGCGTTCAAGTGGTTCAGTGTGCCATATGCCTTTTCACAGCCATTCCATCCACACTTGTACATACGCTCGATTTCCTCATACCGACGACGGGGTCGCTTATGCTGTTGCGCACCGGGGATCGGAACGAATGAGTATACCTAAAAGTTTCCAGATGAGCCTACGACCATTGACAGTATAACCCCGAAAATAAAGGAGAAAGTTAAAGATGAAAAAAGCGCGCCGCTAGCCATCCTTAACCCCAAAAGAGGCAGGCTGACAGCGGCCCCCACTTCTGGAGGCGTCCAAGACAATAATCAACGCTAATGCGTAGCCTTTGGAAACAGACGCCAAAATCATCAAAAACATACCTGGCCAGGGCGCGGCCCTGCGGTCGCAGCAGGGGAGGCGGGACCAACCGTTGTGGCAGGAGTGGTATAAGGTCCAGGCAGACCGTGCTGATGTTGACCATACCCATGCGACCAATCTGGACGCGCATACATCTGTGGAGGCGGCGGAGGAGGGTGACCTTGATACTGGGCCATGTCATGACCCTGTGGCTGATAAGGCGAGTAGGGAGGAGGATAGGTGGGGCTAGAGGCCGCGATTGAGGGATCTATAGGAACGTCCGCGTCAGACTTTACGTTCGTGTGATTGCGATGGTCATTTTGCAGCCCATCATGGAGGGTATGCATAGACGGACTTGTTGCTTGAGCCATACCTGCCGCACCACCGGCCTGTGTGTTCGGCGCGTGATGGTACTGGGGCGGGCGGGCGAGGTAATCAGGATAAGCTGGAGAGCGCGCGGTTGGTGGCGGCTGATTCAGACCGTAGTCTGACTGCGGCGTGTTGGAGGAGGAAATATTGGCGGCGGGGCGAACCTCGGGTTGCGGTGTGTATTGAGGATTGGGGCGCACCTCAGGCTGGGGCGTGTATTGAGCAGTAGCAGCAGCAGATGCCTGGTCTGCAGCTGGAAGTTCAGAATGGGGCGCGACAGACGGTGGATATGGAAAGTGCGAACCTGACTGCGCGTACTCCGAAGCCGGTCTGTTGTCCATATAATATACTTTGCGCCGTTACCGGATAAATATCCCTGACAAAATCCTCCAAGCTAAAATCTCGCGTGCCTGTCTGTAGACGCGTCGAATAACACAATGAGCTTGGTGAACGTGATAAACTTGGGGTAAGATGCGCCGATATGGGCCAAGTATGAGGCAGGGGGAGAAAGTTTGGTTCAGATCTCTGAACAAGATCCCCGTAGCGTGAATACTTCTAGGGATCCTTCCTTGTTGTCACGTACTATTTAGTGAATTGATATTCCACCGTGTGAGCAATGATCACTTGACCTGCTCTTCGCAAATGGTGGTTTGTTGGGAAGAAAAGAGGGGAAAAGAACAATTCAGGTAAAGAAAAAAAAAAAAAAAAAAAAAAAAATAAAAAAAAAAAAAAAAAAAAAAAGAAAAGAAAAAAAAAAACAAAAAAAAAAAAAAAAAAAAAAGGATAGACGCGTGAGACTAAAGTGAAAAGAGTCACACTGAGAACACCACAATTCAGAAAAACACCTGGATTGGGTATTAGGAGTCAAAAGGGTAAAGGATGAGGGTGTAGTGACTCTTCCAGACGGAGATGTTGGATCGCGATGCTTAATCGTCTTAGTCGCCTCTTAGGGTGACGGAGAATGCCTTGCAGGGTGGCGGTCGACACAACAGCACGAGGAACCAGCGGGAAAGAAAGAGACGGTCCTGTCCTGCGCTCGGGCAAGCTTGGGGGTAGAGGGTTTAGAAAGCAGCCAGGCCAAGAGCCAAAAAGTAGCGTCGATAGCCTAGCACCAACTAGTAGAAATGGGTAATATAATAAAATAAAATAATTTAGGTCCCAGAATCCACTGCTTAAACGGGTGATAGCGCGAAGAGCGATGTCTCGATCCACGAGTGGCCACACAGTAGTACAATCACCCTAAAATCGAGACGGAGGAAAAATAGTTCGACTCGACCCGGGAAAAAAAAAAAAGAGAGACTTGAGCAGATGAGGCGACCTAAAAGGTTTTTCGGACGGACAAGCAAAAAAGAGGCTTTTCGGCAGGAGGAAAAATCGCAAGTTAGAGCACCTCGTGGGATCCGTGAGTGCGGTGGAGCGGCGCGTGGGCCCGTAATTTTTCTTTGGTTCTCTTTTTTTTTTCCTGCCAACAAGTTTTTTTTTATTTATTTTAATTTCTTTCCCCTTTCCCCTCTGGAGAAATGAGTAGAAGGTAATTGAGGAACAAAAAAAATGAAAATAAAAGATAATAAAAATAAAAATAAAAATAAAAATAAAAATAAAAATAAAGTAACAAAAGGATGAGAAAGGTAATGAATGGTAATATCGTAAGAAGGGGGGGCGGTTCTGGTATTGTTACTAAAGGGAACCGGAAGATTAATTATTATTTTGTTTCTTCCTCACCCTCTTCTCACTCAATCTCTTTCTCTCTCTGTTTCTCTTTTTTCTTTCCCTTTCCTTTTCACCCCTCTTACCCTTGGGAAAGAGTATTGCTGTCGCGCTTTGTGGTGACGGGTCCGTTGCCAGTACCTCGACCCACTTTTTCACAATGAAATACTATCAGGCCCCAGAGACTTTTTTTTTCAATTAGTATTAGGAATTATTTTTTCTTTTTGGCCCCCTTCCCCTCAGTTGTTCACCTGTATTGTGCTTTTTCGTGACCCGGTTAAGCTTTCCTTGTGTGTGGTAATTCTCTTTTTTTTTTCTCCCCTTCTCCCTCCTCTTTTCTATCTCTCCTGAAGGCGGAACACTCCGCGATAGGGTGGCGAAATTAATTTTATTTTTTATTTTTCCCTCTTGGACACCCCCCCCCCCCCTTTTTTTTTTTTTTTTTTTTTTTTCTCTCTTTTTTGAATCCTTTGTTATGTGTATTTTTTCCTCCCGCCCCCTTGGGAATTTCTTCCCCGCTCTTCTAGCCGTGTGGTGGTGTGAAGGTGTAACAAAGCTTTATATCAGAAGTAGTAAAGAATCACTCGATATAGTAAGGGGTGAATTTTTAGAGCTTGGATAGTCTACCCGCAATTCGGGACGGACGGTGCTTGTCGAGTTTGGTCGTAAGGAGGACCTGGTGAACCTAGCGTATGCGCCCGTGGGTACTAAACCAAGATCGCTGGCCAACGTTCGGGAAGCGTGGGTAGGGGGAGGGTATCAAGGCCTTAGTGAACATAAATGAAAGATGGGGCTAGGAATGGCGTGCCCGAGGAACGGCTTGAACGGTCTGGGATTAGGAGGCCCCGATAGCGCCAGACTAGTGTAAAAGAGGGTGTAGCGCAGGTCGGGGGAAACGACCACCTAGCGCGTGCAGGGTCCACGGAGGAAAATCCCAGAAAAAGTTTTAGGGGGAAAATTAGGAATGGTAATGGCGTTTAGATTAAATCTCGAATAGAATAACCAATAGCATTCGGGGCAGATTCAAATAGGATATTGACAGGGCGGTTGATGCCGGTGATAGCTTTCTTTGCCTGCTGAAGGCACTTCGGTTAGAAGAGAGTTGTTGTTTATGAGTGGATGAGGGTAAGGATGGGTAAGCATAATATAAATATAAAAAATATAATAAACAAATAAATAAAAAAAACCACAACAATGACTGGTGGGAAATCAAAGAGGAAAGATACTGTAATGTCACTTGCAAGCCTGTCACCACTCATACTACCTCACCCAACCCCCCAGGTTGTGCTACTCTTACCAGCATATTTACAGGTCTCTCTGCCCAGAGAAGAGGGGGAACAAAAACCTCCCAACCGAAGTATGATGGCACATGTGCCAATGAAAACCACAATTGCTAGTGGGGTCAAGTCTTGACCTTCACGACCACTGGCCATCCTATATTTGCCCTGGAAGGTGCATTTCCCAGTGTTCCAAGGCCGCAACATCGCGCCATCTTCTGTTGCATCTGATCTCGTTATTGTCCTCTTCCTCCTGCCAATGCAATCCTGTAATATATCGTATGTATTGGCTGTGTAACCCGGTACGCAACTACTGCGGGCTAGTACCTTTCACTGCGCAAGTCAGGAACGCGTCTGTGGAGAACACGAGGGTAAGAAGCCCAATCGAGGTCAAGGGAGAATTCACACCGTCGGACATTAGGTTTCAATTTCCAGCTACGCTAATTGAATATGTATTTCACGTCGAGAGAGATTGATGGTCACAATAGGCATGATGATCAAGGTCATCGACCTCAGTATTGGGTACGATACAAACATCTCTTTTATGAAGGCGACACAGAGAGAATCGATAGGTCGATTATGACCTCAGTTTATGCAATGAAGAAGTCAGGTGAGAGGGTGTTGAACGGTAATGGCCATAATTATTACGCCATTCCCGTAATGAGGACGTACTTTTGCAACGTATTCAGTATCACGGTACGTAATAATTACCTCCAAAAGTATATCATTTATCTCTCTTGCCAACAACCTCAAGTTAAAGGAATTAAAACAAGTAGAAAAATAAAAAGAGAAGAGAACTGTTCTTTACATATTAAGTTATAGATATATCAATTAGATAATTACACAGTAGAAGGAAGAAATCGGAAAAGGAGAGAAAAACAGGACTAGAACTCAGATTGAATACTTGATATCTATCAACCTAGAGATGTTACAGGATTTCGATAGGTTACCAGCAAAGAAAGAAACGAGCTCGGGGGTCAATTGCCCTAGCAAGATACCGCGCTTCTCCATTATGCATGAGAAAAGAAGATAGTACTACTCCAACGTTCGTAGGACGTACAACCTACATTACCTACTTAGAAACGCATAAGAGCGAAATATCACTGGTGATCCGAAGTCACCTTCAACTAGATTACTTATTCAAAACAAGCCTATCTTCAGAACAGCAGCCACCGTGGAAAACGAAAGATAAAATAAGAAAAGTTTCGGGAGGTTGTCCTCGATAGGGAAGCCATGCGCAAGGTAGGAGAAAAAAGGAACGCGAGCAATGCAAGGCTCCAGTCTGGGAAAGGTTCTCCTCCTGGGCAGGCCAGACGGACACATGTTGATTGGCGTCTTAACTGGGCCGTACCCCGCGCAGGCGGGACCCAGACAACATCCACTGCCGGTGAAGGACAAGAAGTCAAGAGTCTCCTGGTTGGTGCTAAAGCTTGATAACTCCTGTCGAGACCAAGGTTGCGATTATCTGGATATTAAATCATCCCCTATTCTTGTTATTACTATTATTCGATTTGATTTTATAAACGAAAAATAAAAACATAACAAGAATATGAACAAAATTGTGTTTATTATTTTCGACGTGATTATTACTCAATGCGTCCCACGGTAGAGGCACTGAACAGATAATTCCAATCATGCGATATGAGCACCACGGTGGGTCCTGGGAGACAATAGATGTGGTGGATTAAGAGCTGATATCAATATGGAATACAAGCCAGTACTCCCCTTTGGAAAATCCATAGACTCCATACACGCGCGGGATATCTCAAAATAAAGGGCGAGGCACTTTTTGCAGACGGAGTAGGGTATGCTCTGTTTTCCGAAGCGTTATCGGACATCATACCTTACTACACTTTGGGGCCGGCTAAAGACTGTTGCCCACAAGGCACTCGGTTCTTAATTTTACTATTTTGATCGGATTACAGATAGGAGCTCCTTTTGATTCCCCAGATGTATGGGGTAATACTTATTATACTAACAGTACCATTCGACTGTCCCTCAATAAGCCGTAAGGTGTTTCGGATGCTGGCCGATAACCATAGGTTGATGGACGCCTGTCGATCCGGGTTAAAACACCCCCTTTTTACTCCGTACGCCGGCTTCATTTTAGTCCAAAGGTAGCTAATCCATATCCATCTGCCATGCTCTGGGGAAGCCAATGAACAATGGCATTTCTGGTATCGACTCCAGAGTACGGAGTAGTGAAAAGCAAATCAGTGACAGCTGACAAAGAAAAGCCCTAAGATCACGGAATCAGCAACAGAACATCGGCTATCTGACCTACCATGTAGAATGAGATAATAGTGCTGGGATAATCGCGCTTGTAATTTACTTGTATTGTTTACAACCAGGGTGGCCCACCTTGACAACACAGCAGAGCTCGTCCGCCCCTCATAGTATTACCTTTTTTTTTGGGACATTATATGCACATGAAAGGGGCTAAGTTGCAATTCCGCGTATGATGTAGTATGTGCGTTTTTGGTTGATGGTTGACAGTTGCAGTGGATGCCCCTGCCATCGAAATTTCTTATTTTCCTTTCTAAACTTTTTTATTGTCCGCAATATGGCTACTGTACTCCGTAACTGCACATACTGCAATGCTGACAACAGATTGTCCATGCCTTAGTTAGTAGTACTGTATTAGTACAAGCAGATAGGCTATGGTGTTATCACGTCCGTGTCCAGGCTATTTTGGTGCCTTCCCCACGTGGGCCAAGGGAGCTGTATTTGGTTCTGTTGCGTCTACCTCGCTCTTTGTAGACCAATTTCTAATGTCTAGTATTTTAATCGGATATACATACTAACTGGCTGCCATAGGGAATTCCTTAGGTACCGTCTACTCTGTACTACTGCTACTTACTTGGGCAGTCAGTAAAGCATGATATCCATTTCTATCACGTAATTGGTGAAGGTGATAAAATAAAAACTGGATAACACCATGTTCCAATATTTTGCGCTTTTTTTTATTATTCATTCAATCTTTTTTGCCCCCTTTTCCCGACTGCAACACTACAATCCAAATTTAATAACTGGCAGCTGACATTATCCAATAAAGCGGGGGCGGTAAACAAAATTCTATTGGACGATAGGATCAAATAATCCCCATTCTCGCACAGCGTATGAGAAAAAAAATGGATGGCTTGCCATCATAGGTTGAATGGAACTGCCGTAGATTAACAGCGAAATTGTTCCAACATTTTACCGAGGAATGTGTATTGTACGGAGGACCGCGTGCCAACCGTCAGATATTGTTTAGGGTACACGGAAAGACCACCAACCCAACACCGCTTTTGCGGTTCACACCTCCGACTTTAGTTCTGTGGAGTTTATGGTTTAGAATGGGACCATGGTTATGGTTATTATTGTAATTATTTTAAGAAAGGCGGCCTTTGACTCCCGCTCCTAACTCAAAAGTCAAAAATTTGACGATGTATGGGAACCAGTGAGGGCGTCGACAAATTGATTAAAACTGGGACGAGATTGACACCTAAGTAGGCTACTAGACCGGAGATAGCATTGTTGGACGTTATATGCTACGCGGTAAAAGTACTTGTGTAGGTACAGAGTACAGAACATCCATACTCCGTACTGTTCTGCCAACTCGCACTGCAGTTAGTCCTCGGTAAATACTATTCCGAGGGTTGCACTCAATCCACTCCCACCAGCAGTTACGGGAGAAAATCGAAATGCGTACATTGCAACAAAAGTTTTAAAGTAAGGGAAAAGAAAATCAAAATAAAATAAAAACACAGCAATGACTATTGTTTCTCCCTTTGAGGTTCAACTAGGTAGGTTTCTCGGAATCAATTTAGTCAAAGCGGAGTCCTCCGTGTTCCATCTTCTTACCGAGAGGGTTATTGGGGATCAAGATTCGTCCAGAGGAGTTAGGACATCGCCGAATTATTGGCCCACAAGTGGGATACCGGAAAGTTTGTCTCACCCGCCCAAGTATTGCTCCATAAAGCAGTCAAGATAAGCGCGCTGAGAGGCCTCTACCCAGAATACTACCAAGTACTGTACCTATGCGGGCGGAGAGCACATCATTGCATCTCATTCAATCACTAATCATAATATTGATCACGAACAAGCGGAACTGTCCCCAGTGATATATAGCTCACAAACGCATACCTAAAAGATATATGTAACTCTGATATGCTAAGAATTTGTCAGCACTGAACTCCCCCCAAACCCCCCCCCCCCCGAAAGGAAAATCATTCGGGAGTGCCAGACCTCGAAGAAAAGGACCCGCCAAGAAATATCATGATGGTTAATTCTCGGACCAAGCACCGACCCCCCACGGCGAACCAAAAGAAAACAAATGCGGTGGAGCTTTCAAGAGACCCGGACCTTGCACTTGACTTAGACAGACAATATCGTCCAATGTTTGCGTGAACCCCAGGAACTGTACTGCAGAAGCAAATCATCATCTTAGGCTCACAGCATTCCGGCGTTGACTGTCGAGATGTTACATGTTCCATGCATGTTCTACGGCAGCTCTAAGCGTTAACTCAAGCTGCCCGGACACCTAAGGTGTCTAGGTACGTGAGGCTTCCACTGGCGGTGTTGGTTGGTGTCATTTCTTATTACGTTAGTCCTAAGGGAGGGCCAATTACCGTCGCCTCGCGATTCTAACCAGCGGAATTCCCGACTTCCGCGCATTGAACTAATTTTTCTAGGTTGGGTCCTAACCGAAGAAGGTAAGTGTGAACCGGCCCCCCCTAACTATTCGGGCCACTGCCAATTGACTTTGGGACAGCACTAGCCATCTTTGGAATGGAACCGTATCCCTAAATCTGCATATGCCTCGGCGCTTGTAACTTAATATCGCACTACGGTAACTGCACTACTACTACTGTAATTACCGATGACTTACTCCGTACATACCATCCATTCAGCAATTACCAACCTGTTCAAGACCGGCGATAGACATGAACAAGTATGTTCAGACGATGATAAGAAAGATAATAATAGGGAGTTCCAATTGAAATGCTTTATAACTGCAGCTATCATTGGCCGCCCATCCCCTCACGTCATGCTATTGGTGTTTTGATATCCCATAATTCCGAAAAGATTCATCTAACGTGCATGAATCTATCGGTCGTTAGAGCATAGCTCGATGTAAACACAACAGCTTGATTGATTGACCCACCAAATAGTACCAACGGCCTGTCTCGTTCCGCACCACAGCTTACGGCACCTTCCTGAGTGGGTAAAGAACAGATATCGCGCCATATTCATGATGGACAAGCATGAGACTGACTCAGGCAGTGACATGAGGGTTATCTATCGTCGGATGAAAAAAAAAAAAAAAAAAAAAGGCCGCGCCATATGGGGAAGGTTCCAATGATTCACAGCGAGTCGGCAAATGGCTCCTGCCAAATCTAGAATAATTTCCTGATGGACCTCATAGCAACGTTACTTGACCCCTTTTCTGGTGTCCTTCTCCGATGTTCACCTTTCTACTCGGAGGATGTCGCGCGGAAGCGCGATATCTTCTTCTCCACAAAAACAGCCGCTACAAAAGCATATTGATGATCTCGGCTACACTACGGAGTTCAGTAAACCACTCCGTACAGTACATCCACTATGTACTAACTCTCCACAGTTGAGCCTCCAATCCCCAGAAGGCTGATCAGAGCTCTTTTGCTCTATCGCTAAGAGATCGGCAAGTGCTCTTGGTCCTTCATACGGAGTACGGAAATGTGGATGACATTATACGGAACCGCGGGTGGCTGTTCCGAAGCGTCGTGGAGCTTTAGTTCGATCGTTTGGCTAATCCTCGGAGAAAATAGCGTCGTGCACATTCCATCCATTCTCTACCTCTAAGATCCGATAGAATGGGCAATCAGTGCCTCGAACAACTGTTCGGCTCAATTGATCCGTCACCGATCACAAAGCAGCATTTTCAACTTCAAGGATATATAACAAAGGGATCAATTAGATCGTACGCCTGTTAATCGAAGAAGCTCATAGAGACGGAAAAATAACTTCCGTCAACGCGAAATGGTGCTGGAATTCTCCGGTATACAAGTACATGCGGAGAAATATATATAAGAATACAGCTTCGAGAGCCCGCAGCAATGTCCACGAACCCAATATGTTTTGATTCTCGACATATCTACAAGCTGAATAACGTTTATTCTATCATTCCTTGCCTGGCATAATTAAAGACAGCGTCTCATAATGCGCTTCACTTCACATCTCCTCCTTACCGCCAGTGCTTCTTTATCCGTAGCCCTTCCTTCGGGATTGCCATCGCAAGGATTTGACTGGGATTCTATTCAGTACTTGTCCGTGCCTTGAGCTTATCCTATACATATAAAAGGAAGGCACTCAACTGACTACCAGGCTCCCAGGCTCGCCTTCGGTGACTCGTATACATACGTCCAGGGAACAGAAGGGCATCAGAACTATAGTTTCATCGGGGATCAACTGAATCTCGAATACGATGCTCAGACTTTGCTGACCAACAGGATTGTGCAGAACCAGGTTCGCAGACAGCATTTTTTGCTCATTCATTACCACAGAAAGCTGATACCCATCACTGGCAGATCGCGACTGCAGAAGGTGGCCCGAATTGGGTTGAGTACCTAACAGGCTGTGGCTTAGAAGAAGGGCTAACTTCCCCGTTAAGCTGTGCCAAACAGCTGTGGGATTTTGCTTTCGCAGGGGCAGATATATCCGTGGAACAGTACGCAAATGTTTGCTATTCCTTCCATTGCTCGCAACACTGGCTAACATTCAGCGCTGCTAGCACCCCTTTGCACCATAACTTCACTGTTTCACTTGTCAACCAGGTCGCACAGTACAGAGCATACGGTCACCCTGTTCTCAAGGACGTAGTGGATCCTTCAAAGGCGCTGGTTACCATTTGGATCGGCATCAATGATATCAATGACAGCGCTAAATATGCCGTCCATTTTCCCACGTTCTACAATGAGCTTATGGATACCCTTTTCGCTTCTGTCCGAGTTCTTCATTCGTTAGGATATCGCTCGTACCTTTTTATGAACCTTCCACCGTTAGACAGAACACCAAGCAACCAGAAGACGGCCAGTCCAAGTCCCAATGCGACCCAGGTTGCGTGGTTCAACGAAGCACTAGCACAGCATGCAGGAAGCTTCGACAAACAGTACCCTGATGCCAACGTGCGGCTTTTCGATGCTCATTCGGTTCTAAATGATATTATGGACAAGCCAGCACAGCATGGGATTACGAACACGACTAGCTTCTGCCCTGGGTACGATCGGCCAGATATAGAATGGAACTATCGAGCTTATGGCTGCCCAACGCCCCTGGACACCTATTTTTGGTTTAATTCTGGGCACTTGACTAGCCATGTGCACAAGTTACTCGCCAAAGCTCTGGAACGCACATTGAATTAAATTGGAAATGAAAAGAACGAGATAGGATTGAAATAAAGGTAAGAGAGAAACCAAGTGAATGCAGAGAGGAAATGTTAGGAAAACATGAGAGAGGTAAGAGAATGATAAGGAAAAGAGAGTCTATCTATATGTATCCTAACGACGAGTGTGTGGCTCTAGGAAAGGAAAATTAACAAATAAACACCCTAAGAGAGCTCGTTATGCAGAAACATTTGAAGGTGATATGACATAGTATGTTTATTGTTTGTTAATAAGAGTCCTTGACACTGCTGTCGTATAAGAAAACGCTTTCTTTACCTGAAATTCAGGCATTGCTGCTAGCCGCGCTGCCCTTCTATATCGGTCATTAGCCTATATATACCCGAATTCTATGCTTCGTACTGATTGTGGCCGACATGTTTAGGATATTCAATAGGATAGAGCTTACCAGTGAAGAGGGTCATAGTGTAGTTCTCGAAGTTCAACAATAGAGCTGTATCGGATTGCCTCTGGTAGTTCGGGTTCCTCCTCTCCATACCAGTAAGCCATCAAATGCTGGTCGCCTGTAGGTGAAGAATCGACACTCCAGCCGTAACCATGGACACTGTGAGAAAAGACCGTTAGTTCTGATGTCTTCTGAGTTTTTAATAAGAGACTCACGATTCAATGCTTCGTAGCTCTTCTTTTACCCTGGTTTCAATTGCCAGGTTGAAGAAATCCCGAGCAAGCTCATCATTGACGTGGCGGTCTTCAAACTTTTTGAGGTACAAAGCACCGTATCGTGACCATGACTTTGATGTATCCCTTTTCATCTCGCGGTATCGAGGACAATCTAATTAAGGCACTAAGATGCTCATCGCATATATGAATGCTGGAGAGGAGCCTGTTTTGCCATGCCTCCTCCTTAGAGGAGGTTTTTGAGCATGACTCCAGTGAATACATTTTATTTTTCCGCTGAGAAAGATATCGTTCAGACTATGTATCGGTTTCAAGAGTTGGGATGAGCGCCTCTGATTTATAGTCTGCCATTTGAGGATGCCGACTATGGATTTGGTCAAGTCGATTAGATTAGTATACCGTAATTCTAGTCAAAGTCATCTGTCGATGTATTGAGTATATGAAAGGAGTTTGTTTCTTTTTCTGATACCTCCCCTACGGTCACCTAGCTATGTTAGTCGCTATAAAGAAACAAAATGATCGCATTGAGATTTATCTTTGTATAAAAGCCTGTGTATGAGGCCCTAGTGTCTTTTCTATGTCAGGTGTTTTCATTATTATATTGGCCGCTTTCATCACCAGCTCTCTCAAGTCTTCCAGTCCGGATTTGTCCGCCAAAATAGCGAAATACCGTCCGTGAGTCTAGATCCATGCAGCTAAGAGCCATTGAGGGACTCCATATGTCTTCAGACCGGCCTCTCCGGGCCCTACCTGCTACAAACACATCTGGGAGAACACGGTCTTCAAGAGAACTCGAAGGGCACACGCCGGCCGTTTCGCCTAAAAAGACAATCTAGACATGCACGCCTCCGGGAACACTTGAAAATACGATTCCCTATTGGTGCGTAGGTCATTTGTATTCCGGTAATATCGATTTTATATAGATTAAACGACTTAACTGATTTTTCTGCAATATTCTTTGTTGAGTTACCAACTATCTTCCTTCCGGGAAGCCTTGCCACCTAGATATCAGGGACAGAGTCTTCCACAATATCATACACATCTAGCTGAGTATTTCCGGGGAGCATGTTGGCTAACTGCTCGGCCATACCTAGGATTTCATGCCCCTTAGGCCGATGAACCCTTATCGGAACCCACGTTTGTGATCCAGTATCTCGATAGAAACTTGATTTATTCCAGTGGATCCAATACATAGCTGAACACATCTTTCTTGCAGGTATTCAGCCTTGGCTTTGGCTGTCCCTAGGGATTTGAGGACTTTGAAGTGTCTTTGGGGAAAGCCTTGGGGAAATAAATGCCTTTGGGGAATATCTCCAGCCCCACCTTGTCTTCCCCAACGCACATCCCTGGATTTCTGAGTTCCTTAGTCAAGTATTCAAATAGGATTTCATTTCTTTTCCTTTACCGTAGTACCCAGTAAATTCAGACGAGTGAGAAATCAGAAAAGTTCCTGTTATTGAGACACCCAGAGTTAGGGTAAGCTTAAAAAAAAACCCCCATTGGAGAACATGCCAACGTCATTGGAGACGCCGAATACAACCATAAAACTATATAAAACCACCAATCTGACGATAGTTAGAGAGAGTAACTAAGCAACCAAAATACACCCCGAGGGAGAAATGCCAACCAATACCATAACCCTAATTATCTCTCCTTACCATGTCGGCCTTCGCGACCACCGCGTAGGGAACGGCCCCCACCGCATCCAATCCCTCGGCCTAATTCCTGCCCTTGAAGAACAGGGCCTTCAAGTCCGTATCCATGAGATCCCAAGCGTGGATAACTTTGAAGGCGAGATCGGACGAAGCTTCGAGATCCTCCGCCGGACTTCAGCCGCCGTCACGCAAGCCGTGGACAGCAACACCTTTCCCTTAGTTCTGGCGGGAAATTGCATGTCCAGCGCGGCCGTGGCTTGTGGCCTCAAGATTCAAGATCTATCTTTCATTTACTTCGATGCCCATGATGACCTGGACTCGCCCGATGTCAATGAAAACGGGTACTTTGATGCCATGGGCCTGTCAATGCTACGTGGTGAATCGTGGAAGACGTTAATGGGCACCGTGCCGAATTACAAACCGTTCAATTACGATGGTCGGTTTCTTTACTGTGGATTGCGGGACCAGTCTGAGGTGCAGCGGCAGCGGGTTATTGATGCCGGTATGAAGGCTGTCTGGGGTGAGACGTCGAGGAAGGTTGATTTTGCGGGTGAGTTGAAGACGCAGTTGGAGGAGAGGTCGTATGGGTCTGCTCTCGTGCATCTGGATCTAGATGTTTTGGATGAGTCTTATGGGAAAGTTAATGATTATCCGTCGCCTGGAGGTTTGACGGAGGAGGACTTGGTGACTTGTATGGATCTTGTGCCGAGGTTGTCTGAGCCCAGGTCTTTGACGGTGTGTTCGTTTGATCCGGATGCCGGGGATGGGGATAAGATTGCTCGCATTGGGATTCGCGCGATTAGGGCTTTTGTGGGTGCATTGTTAGAAACGAGGGTTCTGATGAGGAGTTGAAAAGGATTTTATGTATAGGATAAGTGTCTTAAGAAACGTTCAATAGAGGAGATATGTTGTGTTAAAGTAAAACTTGAAAGCTTTATCGACTGTATGGAGTCCAAAAGAGCTCTTTAGCATCATGTCTACCAGATACTTGTCCTGCTTAGAAATCCTAAGTTCGATGCCAGTTAGACAGAATACAAGTCTGTGGCATATGAATGATCTACTCCGTAAGTACGTTGTCATATAACAAAGAGTTTATGGGACAAATTAACGAACTTTTATAGCAGCTGCGGCTGTGCCAGATTGTCACAAATGCAGTCATAGCTATTCCCTGTACACGTAGAACACCTTAACTTCTGTTAGAAAGGGTAGGGCGCGTTCCTGAACATCAAAGGGATACTTGAATGCGTATCCTTCCGAAGCTACTAATTCTCAAACGCATATTATGTTATGGCTTTCTATTTGCGGCCAGAGTAGTCCATATTGTATCTTGAAAGCCACAGGTATATTGATTTCCTATTGGTCGTCAAAGACAGCCTTACTTTCTCCATATCTTGACATTGTGACCTGTTAAGTGCGGGAGTTTTCCAAACGAGCGTCAGCCTGTAGAAAGGCTGGGGGTGCAATCTAATACTCTGGCAGCCAAGTTGAGCTAAATGAGCTTGATCGTTAATCTTCCCTAAAAATAAAGAATATCTTCCTCGCCAGATTCAGAGCACCCGCACTGTCTAATGCAATCGGAATGTTGATTACACTGGGCTTTTCCACAGTCCCATATCGGCCTTTGTCGAGAATGCACCGACATGTGCCGATTGCAGTATACTACTACAGTCCATAGAAGGTATTAAACCCGGCTGGGTAAGAGAAAACAATGAGCATGGATTAGTGAACCTGCGGCGAGAAAGAGCAGACAACGATTAGAAACTGCCAGTGGTCGTGCCCACGATGACTCTGGGTCTTTTGCCGCCGAACGAACGAAGGGATCCCTCCCACGAATTGGGAATTACAGCATAGTTTCTCCTTCCATCTTCTACATCTGTCTACTAGCGCTGTCTATGAATCCCCTGATTCTCGTTCCCCGGGCTTTGCGGGGAGGAATTTTTCTAAGTCTCTGGAGGTTAACGAAGACTCAGGCTCATTGGCTGCTTTTAATCGCGCCAGACAATGGCTCTCACATTGCGTGCAGCATGATCAGGCTTGCAAACCCCCGGACACAGAATTTATGCCCCGACGCCTAGTGAACGTGGGCTCGTGGGATGGATCCCGGGACTCTTTCCTGTATGAGCCCACGACACCGGTGATTTATGCCTGTCTCAGCTACTGCTGGGGGATCGATATTGACCAGGTGAAGAAGACGCCAACTGATAACATTCAATCCCACTATCAGAGACTCGAGCCATCCAAGATGCCATCACCGTTTGTCGTGCTCTCAAGATCCCAAATCTCTGGGTTGACTCCCAGTGTATCGTTCAGGATGATAAGATTGCCTGGTTGCATGATGCGTTGACCATGCATGACGTGTACCGCAATTCCCAATTGCGGTTATGGAGCCAAATTCGTGTAAATTGAGGTTCCTAGGGAAACAGCAGTTCGGCGATCCTAGCTGGCAGAGATCATTTTGTCCTACTCTACCAGATTGGCCAGTGGATACATCTACTGAGCTGTTGATGCGACCGGGTGAATTCAAGCTCCGATCCAATACTGAGCGATCCTCCCTGGACAAGCAAGGCTGGTGTCTGCAAGAATCACTTTTGCCCAACCATCGACTTTGTTACGACGGCAAGGAAATGATCTGGGAATGTTTATGCCGCCAAACCTGCGAGTGTGGACATGTGGTCGAGCCACAGATCCCAAGGAATACCAGTAAAGACTATGGCAAGCTTGGAACGACACTCAAAACCCACCTTCCAGAGGCTGAGCCTCCGCTCGGTAGAATTGACGGATTCATCCCCAGGCATTGCTCGCCACCCATGATACCATATCACAGATGGAGGGACCTTGTAACCGACTATTCCCATCGCTCGCTCAGCAAAAGACATGATACACTGCGGGGTATTTCGGCATTGGCCAAAATGATCCAAAATCGGCTACCCGAGAAAGACGGATCGCCTGCCGAGTATGTGGCTGGGTTATGGAAGGGCGAACTCCATTTCGATCTGACATGGGAAGTCAAGCCAGTCGATACACATGACGTGCCTCCATCTACTGGCCTTGAAGATGATAACGAGACCAACTATCGTATCCCAAGCTGGTCATGGGCCTCTGTGGAAAACTAGTCACCTACTCATGTACCGAAGCCTTTCAATTCTGGAAATATGAGCCCGAGGCCATCGATATATGTTAGATAAAGGTGATTGACTGCAAAAGAGAGGTGCTAGAAGATCCGGCCAGTGCTGTTATTGGGGGTTCTCTTGTGCTAGAAGGTGCCTTTGTCCCCGTAAATCTTGTGAATGAGAACGAGAGGAAGGTTGCATATGTACAGTCCACATGCGCGCAGACCTTATCGATCTCTCTAGACTCGCCGGGCCTGGTCGCAAGTGGGGACAATCAATATTACTGCTTCAGATTGTACACCCTTGTGGGATATGGATACGGTCAATCTATGATGGCCCGGAGACAAGGTTTCTTGTTCTGGGGAGATCTACATATAAGGAGGATGCTTTTGAAAGGATCGGCGTTGGTGTTTGGGATGATAACTTTGGGGGGAAGAGGCCGTGTCCTTTATTTGTAGATGTCGAACCTGGTACGGTTGAGAGAGTATAGTTGTAGGGTGAGAGGGTGTATCAATCATAATGCAGATAGTCTTTTTTAAAACTTATTGCTTTTTAGATAAATCAGAATATCAAAGAGCTTATTGGATCACACATATCTACATAAATCAGTATACATCGTATGAGCGTACAGAGTACTCACTCCATAGAGGTAAAAGTAGGTATTAAGATGGACTAAACCACTAACGGCAATTGAAAAACCACTTAATGGCGATTGGGCGGTGAGCGCGTACATCTCGCGTTCCGCTCACGCGTTGTCTCCGCGACGCCCGCCTTTGAACCACTAAACCCTTTCTCTAGTTCACACCGCAGTATCCTCTGCGAAAATCAATTGAATCCACAGAAAAAGGTGGTTAATGGACGCCAATCCTTAGGGATCTTCTATTGCGGCGCCATGGCATCTGCCCGAGCTAAGTTGGCAGAGTTGCGTGCTCTGCGCGCTTCAGGAAAGAAACGTATATCGACGTATGAGGTTGAAGAACAGGATGATATCTACGAGGAGGTCGACGACGAAGGCTACAAGAAGATTATCCGCAACCGGCTTGACGAGGACGATTTCGTTGTTGACGATAATGGTGAAGGATATGCCGATGACGGTCGAGAGGTCTGGAATGAACGGACAGCAGACTACTATGAAAGCGAGAGCGATGATGGCGAATTACCTGCCAACAGCAAGGCTGCTAAAAGGAAACGCGAGGAAGATAAGCAGAGAAAGGAAAAAATCAATAATGGCATATCTAAGTATTTCAACAAGGGGAGCAACGCATCTGCCCCGAAGCCGAAAGTGAGTGCGACACTGCAGTATTCTGAAATTAGGATCATGTCTAATATGTTCGCTTAGCCGGTGGCCACTGCAGAAGATGAAGCATTCATGGCTGATCTCCTCGGTGAAGTCGATACCAACGTTGTCTCAAATCATGTCCCAACACAAAATGTGATCAAGTCGGAAACTCGACGCAAAGTTCGAGTCCTTTCCCCCCCTTTGTCCCACAGACCACGTCCGCAGAAAAAAGAGACGAAAGATGAGAACAGCGACCCGATGTCACCGATTGGCCAGAAGCCGGACTTGGACCTTGACAACGATGACGGGCCTCTTCCGGTGGCAGACGATGACGACGTCCCAATGAGCGACCCCATGCCATCGTCTCCCGTCAGCAAGGCCGTTGAAAGGAAATCGGCTATTGCGGTAAAAATGGAGGATCCTGACGAAGAGGACAATGATTTGATGGAAATCGCAGAGGCCACCGGGCAACACGAGGCTAAGACGACAAGCGTCAACATGACCGGAAGTCGGCCACCACCCAAGATCAAAAAAGAAGCCTATTCCACCCCTGCGAACTCTTCTCCAGTGAAAGCCATGCCAGAAGTTGCAAATGCTTCATGGAATGATGTGAGGAACAAATTGAATGTCCTCAGTAGCCCAGCATCGGAGACGCGGACGTTCGGAAAACTACGTGCGCAAGATGTTGTGGAGGAAGACGGAAGCCTGCGCATGTTCTGGATAGATTTCACCGAAGTCAATGGCAGTCTCTGCTTATTCGGAAAGGTTAAAAATAAGCAGACTGGAAACTATGCGAGCGCATTCGTCAAGGTCGACAATATTCTGCGGAAGCTCTATTTCCTTCCACGGGAGTATAGACATAAGCATGGCCGGGACACGGACGAAGAAGTGGATATGGAAGATGTCTATAATGAAGTTGACGGTATGATGTCGAGACTCAAGGTTGGGATGCACAAGATCAAGCCATGCACAAGAAAGTATGCTTTTGAGATGCCCGGCATTCCCAAGGAGACCGAATACTTGAAGTTACTATACCCATATGATAAGCCCGCTTTGCCCATGGAGACCAAGGGAGAGACCTTCTCTCATGTCTTCGGCACCAACACCTCCTTGTTCGAGCAGTTCGTTCTTTGGAAGAATATCATGGGACCATGTTGGCTCAGGTTTGAAGGAGCAGACTTCTCTGCTGTTAACAACGCGTCATGGTGCAAGTTCGAATGCCAAGTCTCTAAACCAGCGCTTATTTCCCCAGTTCCAGACTCCGAGAACTTAGAGGCACCTCCTCTCACCTTGATGAGTCTTGCCTTCAGGACACAGTTGAACGTAAAGGAAAACAAACAGGAGATTTTGATCGCAAGCGCTCGAGTGTACGAAAATGTTTCTCTTACAGACACAACACTTCCCGAGAAGCTTCCTTGCAAGACTTTCACGGTGATGCGACCTGTGGGCTCATCATACCCCATGCATTTCGAAGCTGAGACCAAGAAGCAACGAGGCACGTATATTTTAGAGAGGAGCGAGCAATTTTTGCTCAGTAAATTCTTGGCATTGTTCGAGAAGATGGATCCTGATGTTCTGATGGGACATCAGCTTCAAGAAGTCGACCTTAGCATCCTGCTCAGCCGATTGAAGGAAAAGAAGACACCTGGGTGGCATCGACTGGGGCGGTTGAAGCGTGGAGATTGGCCTAAGAATTTTAACAGGGGCGGAGGATTCTTCGCCGAAAGACATCTCATTGCTGGAAGATTGATGTGCGATGTGGCCAACGACATGGGCAAGGTGAGTTCCTCAACATTCGGGTAGTATTGGTGCTTGTACTGATAGGATATAGTCTCTCATGATGAAATGTCAATCGTGGAGTCTGACGGAGATGTGCAACCTTTACCTTGGATCGGGCAATGTGCGGCAGGAATTGGATAGCGAAGCAGCATTGAAAACTTGGGCTACCACCAAAGATGGCCTAATGAACTTCGTGAACCATTGCGACGCCGATACCTACTTTGTTGCCGCATTGGTACTACGACTTCAAATGCTGCCTCTGACCAAAGTGCTTACCAATATTGCCGGTAATTCTTGGGCACGTACCCTTAGTGGTACACGAGCCGAGCGTAACGAGTACATTCTACTCCACGAGTTCCACCGGAATAAATATATATGCCCTGATAAGTACTCGGCCAAGCTACAGAAAGCGGAAGAAAAACTACAGGATGGCGATGACGATGATGCCACGGACAAGAAAAAGAAAGACAAGTACAAAGGTGGACTTGTTTTCGAACCTGAGAAAGGACTCTACGATCGATTCATTCTTGTGATGGACTTTAACAGTTTGTACCCGAGTATCATCCAAGAATACAACATCTGCTTCACGACGGTGGAGCGGACTGCAACCGTAAGGGTCTTTCCTAAAATCCCTGTGCTGGTATATGCTGACATGGTCTTTAGGCTGAAAACGAGAATGAAGAGAAAGTACCTGAAGTTCCCTCCTCGGATCAAGAACAGGGAATCCTCCCACGGCTTATTGCTACACTTGTCGGCCGCCGACGAGAGGTGAAAAAGTTAATGAAAGACAAACGCGCAACACCTGAACAGCTTGCGCTGTGGGATACAAAACAATTGGCTTTTAAGCTGACTGCTAACTCTATGTATGGATGCTTGGGTTACACCCAGAGTCGCTTCTATGCTCGTCCCCTGGCCATGCTCACCACGTTCAAGGGTCGTGAGATTTTAAGAAGCACAAAGGAACTGGCCGAATCGAAGCAGTTGAGGGTCATTTACGGTGATACCGACTCCGTCATGATTAACACTAATATGGATACGCTAAGCGACGCGCTGAAGGTCGGAGAGGAATTCAAGAAATCTGTGAATGAAAGATACCGGCTTTTGGAAATCGATATTGACAATATCTTCCGTCGGCTGCTATTGCATGCCAAAAAGAAGTACGCCGCTATAAACATGACGGAGATGGATGGCAAATATGTAGACAAGCTGGAAGTCAAGGGTTTGGATATGAAGAGGCGTGAATATTGCGCCCTGTCAAAGGAGGTATCTCAGAGGCTCTTGAATGAGGTCCTCTCCGGCGAAGACCAAGAGGTCGTCCTCAATCGGGTCCATGACTATCTACGTGACTTGGCAGGCAAGATGCGAGAATTCGCCGTTCCCGTCCAGAAATATGTGATTTACACTGTACGTCATGCCCTGGTTATGTTGAAGTGAATAAGGCGCTAATACTCCCCGCAGAAACTCTCTAAACGACCGGAAGAATATCCCAACAAAGAGACGATGCCACCAGTTCAGGTTGCCCTCCGGGAGCTTGCTCGCGGCAAGTCAGTCCGGCCAAACGATGTCATCTCGTACATTGTGACGAGTGGAGACTCCGAAACATCCTCCCTTGCGCCAGCAAAGCGCTCGTACACACTTCAGGATGTGATGAAACCCGATTCAGGACTCAACCCTGATATTGAATTTTACCTCTTGAAGCAGATCTTCCCTCCGATTGAGCGTCTTTGTGCTCCAATTCCTGGAACTGATGCAGTTCGACTGGCCGAGTGCCTGGGTCTGGATGTCCGCAAGTATCAAATCAATACTTCTAGTGGTGGTAACCAGCAGAACACGGACATCTTCCCACTGGAGTCGCAAATTCCGGATTCTGTTCGCTTTGAGAGTGCCGCAAGACTAACGCTGACATGTCGATTCTGTAAAGAGAAATCTGTGTTCGAAGGACTTGCAGCGTCAACCCATATGTGCAATGCCAATGGTCTTTTCTGTCCGAATGTCGCTTGTCAGAAACAGTTCGCTGTTTTGACGATTATTGCACAGCTCGAAAGCCAGATTCGGGCCCAAACCTCCAAGTACTACGAGGGCTGGCTTGTCTGTGACGACTCCGCATGTGGTAACCGAACGCGGCAGATGAGTGTTTACGGGCATAGGTGCCTGGGTCCCCGGGGCCACGCTGAAGGCTGTCTTGGTCGGATGTCCTACGAATACTCGGAGAAGCAGCTTTACAACCAGTTGCTGTACTTTGCTGGACTATGGGATGTGGATAAGGCGCGGGTCGCCGCAGAGAAGGAAACCAGTGGGGAGAAGAAAGACAGTGTCGTTGCTCTTGCTTCGTTTAACCGCGCACGGTTTGAGACGGTTAAGGGCGTGGTGGACGCGTACCTGAAGAAGTGCGGGCGGCAATGGGTTGAAATGGATAGTCTGTTCCGGTTTATGCTACCATAGACTTCACGCACGGGATATTAATTGACTGGCATCTGTATATAGTCTGCATGTTTGGATGGTTCGGGTTTGTTTGTATCACTGCGGATAGCGCGATTGTTTTATGTTTGGGATGATGGGATGAGGGTTACAAACATCAATGATAAGTTCTGAAATATCTGTCGTTTCGCGCGAGTAATATAGGCGCATAGTTTGATTCATCTATGAAAGGTATCGTGGAATCTCGCTCTATCTTATCGTAAATTGGGATAAATGATATCAAATGCCCCACACCCCGCCAAATAACTTCTTTGCCGCACTCCCGCCGGCTGTTGAACCAATTACTAAGAAAAGGACGACTAGTCCAGGCACATATCACCTCTGTCCATCTCCAACGGTGGATATTTTTGTGATACCATCGTGCAATCTTATAGTCGGCCGTCATGTCGGTGAAACGAGTTCTGGTTATCGCAGGTTCGGACAGCTCAGGTGGCGCGTATGTTTAACTCATTCCGGTCCCATGCCCTGGAGTGATCGATTTTCACTCCTTGATGCGGAACCAGACTAATGCATACTCAGTGGCCTGGAAGCGGACCAGCGGGTTTTAGCTGCGCATGGATGCTATGCCCTAACTGCGACCACTGGACTGACAGCCCAGAACACTCTGGGTGTAGAAGATATCTTCATTGTCCCGGCTGAGTTCGTGAAGAAACAAATCAATGCCGGTCTTGAAGATATCGGGGCGGATGCCGTGAAGCTTGGTAAACCCTTTCTTATACTTGCTTTCTATTTTATCTTATTGTAAGTTCTAGTCTAACAAATTCAAGGGATGCTTTCATCCGCAGAGACAATTGATATTATCGCCGAATCGCTGGTGACCCACAAAGTTCCGTCGGTGGTGTTGGATCCGGTAACCCTTACTCAAATTATTTGAAATACACTTAGCATCTAACATTACAACAGGTGATGGTCTCGACTAGTGGCTCTAAACTACTCCCTGAAGCGGCCGTGGAAAAATTGCGGACGAAGCTTCTGCCATTGACCACCGTTCTTACCCCCAATATTCCCGAAGCGAAGCTGCTACTGAAGGACGCCGGTCTAGACGTATCTGAGCCAGAAGGCCTCTCAGATGTTCTTCAGTTAGTCAAGCAAGTCAAGGCCCTAGGCCCCAAAGCTGTTCTTCTCAAGGGCGGGCATCTGCCTCTCACCAAAGATCATAAAACGGCGCGCAACCAAGACGAGGCTACCACAGTTATAGATGTGCTTTACGATGGAGAAGATATGACACTCTTTGAGACAGACTTCTTACTGTCTAAGAACACCCACGGCACCGGATGTTCTCTTGCGTCTTCGATTGCAGCCAACCTTGCCTTAGGCAAAGATCTGAAGCGAGCAGTGCATAGTGCTGTTCGGTTTGTCGAGGCAGGAATCAAGACCAGCTTTGATATTGGGAAGGGAAGTGGTCCAATCAACCATTTCCACTCGGTGTATACACTACCCTTTGCGCCGTACGTTGTTGTCTTATTCCCAGGAAGCATAAGAAGTGAGGGTGCTAACGGACACGAAAAGTGGTCGCTTCTTAGAATATGTCCTGGACCGCCCTGATATTCGCCCGGTGTGGCAGAAGTTCACCGAACACGAATTTGTTTTGGGCATGGGTAGTGGTACACTTCCCGTGGAGAGATTCAAGGAGTACCTAGTGCAGGATTATCTGTACCTGGTAGGACCAATGTATACCTCATTTGTCCAATGGACTTCGTCTAACAATATGATATTCAGGTCCAGTTCGCTCGGAGCAATGCGCTTGCGGCCTACAAGGCCAATAATATGGAATCCATTGCTGCAGTAAGTGAATTAGTTCCTGTTATTACTCCTGTACATGGGATTCAGCTGTTCGTGAGGGTTGACTTGGGTTGAACCGCTCCAGTCGGCGCAGATTGTCCTACACATCCAGCGCGAAACAGCATTGCACTTAGATTATTGTGCTTCCTTCGGACTATCAAAACAAGAGATGGAAAGAACGCCCGAGACCATTGGTAAGTTAACAAATCATCGCCCTGACCTGTATGAGGTTGCTAACAAGTCGCCGTTGGGATAATAGCTTGTACTGCATACAGTAGGTACATCCTCGATGTTGGTCAATCTGAGGATTGGCTCGCATTGCAAATGGCTCTTGCGCCTTGTTTAATTGGGTACGGAGCCATTGCCCAGAGACTGTACACGGACAAGGACACTCTTCGGCAGGGCAACCGTTACTGGAAGTGGATTGAAAACTACGTTGCGGAGGACTACTCAGAGGCAGTTCGATTGGGATCTGGTAAGTGGCTCTGAGAGCCCTCAAAGCACCAATTTCTCACCATGGCTATGAATTGCTGACTTTGCCGTAGAACTCCTTGAGAGACACATGCGCGGGGTTTCTCCGAGCCGAATGGAAGAGCTGATTAAAATATTTATTCGGGCAACGGAGCTAGAGATCAGATTCTGGGACATGGGGTTGGGTGCTCGATAGAAGAAGAAGAAGATAGAGTTACGGAGTAGGGTAGACCGATAATACCCATTCAATTCAGCACAAAGAAGTTGAACCCTTTCAATGAGAGTCTAAACTAGGTTTAGTGCTGGATGGCGAAAAAGACACGAGATCCAAACAGTGCAAACAGTGTATACCCATCAGTCACGGGAGGCGGTGGAGGGAACAACAAGCGGTGAATGGACGGTGCAGCCAAAGTTTTTCCATTTTGCCCATCTTTTGCCATTCTCATTCCTTGGGTCCAGTCCCCTGCACTAATCCAATCGGGAAAGCGTCGCCTTCGCCTCTTTTTCGCCTTCGACTTTTTCTTCTCCTTCCCGCCCCATCGCGACTATTTTTTTTCTTCTCCCCATCTCCCTTATCTATCCCCCTTCCTCCTCATCCTTGTTTTTTTTTTCTTGGACATTCTTTCGTCCTTTACCCTCGGTCTTTATTCTGGAAGAGGCTGTTTAACATCCCCTTCCTTCATACAACCTCATTCTTTTGAGTCTTTGTTTCTGTTTTTTCTTCTCATACCCGCCAAAAAATCGAAAAGGACCGCATAATGTCTTACAACGGTGGCTATCAGCGCGACCAGCGCGACTCCTACCGGTGAGTGATTCTGCCCAGGGAAATCCTCTAATGTGAGGTGGTGTTGGAACCTGCCCTATCTGTCAGTCTTGCGCGGGTGTTATGGTCACCGCACCGTCTTTGACTGCCCAGTTAGAAGGCCTGACATATGGAGGTCTAACCCATGAACTCATGTCCTTTGCCTTGGATTATTCCTTTGATCCAGTGATTTGCGTATGCTAACGTGGGCTTTCGTCATTTAGCTCCAGAAACGGTGGCAGTGGTGGATACTCGAATGGCTACTCTGGTGGTGGTAGTGGTGGCTATGGAGGTGGTTACGGCGGTGGTGGCTACAGCGGCGGCTATGGCGGAAGAGGTGGTGGTAGCGGCGGTGGTGGTGACCGGATGTCCAACCTCGGCGCTGGCTTGAAAAAGCAAGAATGGGGTAAGTGTTATTGCTTTGCAACGCGTATTCGGCAGGATATTTGATGCTAACCTTTATCTCAGATCTGGATTCTTTGCCCAAGTTTGAGAAGTCTTTCTACAAGGAGCACCCTGATGTCGCCAACCGGTCTCAGCGTGATGTTGATGATTTCCGTAAGAAGTTTGAGATGTCTGTGCAAGGAAGGAACATCCCTCGTCCCGTCGAGACCTTCGACGAGGCTGGTTTCCCCCAATATGTGTTGAGCGAGGTTAAGGCTCAGGGTTTCGAACGCCCTACCGCCATTCAGTCTCAGGGATGGCCCATGGCTCTTTCTGGTCGTGACGTTGTTGGTATTGCCGAGACTGGTTCCGGAAAGACTCTGTCCTACTGTCTTCCTGCTATTGTCCACATCAACGCCCAGCCCCTTCTTGCTCCTGGTGACGGCCCGATTGTTCTCGTCCTCGCCCCTACCCGTGAATTGGCAGTCCAGATCCAGGCAGAAATAACCAAGTTCGGAAAGTCGTCTCGCATTCGTAACACGTGTGTGTACGGTGGTGTCCCCAAGGGCCCCCAGATCCGTGACTTGAGCCGCGGTGTCGAGGTCTGCATTGCTACTCCCGGTCGTCTCATTGACATGCTCGAGGCCGGCCGCACCAACCTCCGCCGTGTCACTTACCTTGTTCTTGACGAGGCCGACCGCATGCTGGACATGGGTTTCGAGCCACAGATCCGCAAGATTATCTCTCAGATTCGCCCTGACCGTCAGACTTGCATGTGGTCCGCCACGTGGCCCAAGGAAGTTCGTCAGCTTGCTTCGGATTTCCTCAACGATTACATCCAAGTTAACATCGGTTCCATGGATTTGTCCGCTAACCACCGTATCACACAAATCGTGGAGGTCGTGTCAGACTTTGAGAAGCGCGATAAGATGATCAAGCACCTCGAGAAGATTATGGAGAATCGCGGCAACAAGTGTCTTATTTTCACCGGTACCAAGCGTATCGCCGACGAAATTACTCGCTTCCTCCGTCAGGACGGATGGCCAGCACTTTGTATGTTTGCCTTTTATCTGCTCCAATCGAACCCTTGGCTAACTTTTTCAAACAGCTATTCACGGTGACAAGCAGCAACAAGAAAGAGATTGGGTCTTGAACGAGTTCAAGACGGGCAAGAGCCCAATCATGGTGGCTACTGATGTGGCTTCCCGTGGTATCGGTATGATGAAATTGCGATTTACCCCCTCCCCCTCCCTTTCCCCCTTCCTTGACAGCACCCTCACCCGTATTGAGGTTGTGTGACCATGGCACGGTGCTTAACTCTCTTCCAACGTATGTTGGCGTATATGACTCGTCCAGGCTTTGTCGGGTCTCCTGAATTGGTTCTCATGCCAGGAGGACCTTGGACTCACAGTGCAGTGTAGCAGACGTATTATTTCTTCTGTTTAGATTCTCCATCTCTTCTCTGAACCTCGTTGGTCGAGAGACGGGGTTTCTTCTTGTTCCGACATGTTCAAGCTGCATTCCAAGGTTGCTCCAGGACCGCGATTTTTACCAGCCCAGGGACCTAACCCGCAACGGATCTTGATTTGAAAAGTCCGAGAGAGAGTGATGCATCAAGTCTCACACGACTGATAAAGGGCTCATAGGCCACCTTGCTATTTTGACTAATGCTCTGTTTGCTAACATGAGTTTGTGTTTGAAGATGTTCGCGACATTACTCATGTGCTGAACTATGACTACCCCAACAACTCGGAAGACTATGTTCACCGTATTGGTCGAACTGGTCGTGCCGGTGCCAAGGGTACCGCCATTACTTTCTTCACCACTGACAGTAAGCCCTGACGTGCTCTCCTGACCACATCCCCCGAGATGGCAATGCTAACGTTCTCTTGCAACAGACTCTAAGCAGGCTCGTGACTTGGTCACCATCCTTACTGAGGCTAAGCAGCAAATTGACCCCCGTCTCGCCGAGATGGTTCGCTACAGCGGTGGCGGCGGCGGCGGCGGCCGTGGCGGCTACGGCCGCTGGGGTGGCCGTGGTGGTGGCCGTGGCCGTGGAGGCAACTACACTGCTTCCAATGCCGCTCCCCTTGGAGGCAACCGCCGTTGGTAAAACTGCTCGTAATGCCCAGTTCAGTCATTGAGCTTGTATTCCCATTGTCGCATCGGTAGATCTTGCTTTCCTTCGCATTCGGTATCCATTGTAACTCTTTACGGGCGGCGTTCGTTGAAGTCACGATAGACTATTATGCGGTTTTTTTGTTTTCTTTCGCTTCTCCGTTTACAGGTTCCTCTGAACTCATACGGATACGGGTTAATTCTGGTTTCTTTGCCCTTACGTATCTTGAAAAAAGTTGTGTATCTCCTAGCGCATATTGAGAAGAGCTGAGGTTAGATAGTCTAGTCTCATGCAATGTATTTATCTGCTTATGACTCGTCAAATATACGCTTGACTTGCGTTGTCATTCCTTGCTCGTACCAAAGGCATGTATTGCTTGTCGACAACAGTTGAAGGTTTGAGAGGTGGTCGAATCGAGAAACAGGATATATGGCATCCAGTATAGGTGCTTAGTATTGTTCCCCTGTTGTTCTCCACTACAACTGTAGTAACCCTTTGTCGGAAATTTAGAGAATGACCCGGTCCGACATATTGTGCATTATCAAAACAACGCGGCAAGAGAGAGACTTCAATGTCTGCCCGATTAACCCCACATCCTCGGTCCTGCTCTCTCGATTCAAAGCGATACAACCTCGGCTACCCTAGATTACAATATCTTTCGTCCTTCTCACAATCAACACTATACAATGATATTGGACTATCCCGCGAAATTGTCAAGTTCCGATTTGAATATCTAATTTGGTTTGATTGTTAAAAGCAACAGAAAGCAATGGACAAAGTGGATAATATCCTAGACCAGTTCACAGACCCCTTGACTGGGTCAGTGCATGGCGCCGTTTTCATCGCAATTAACAGTTCAGGTACTGCGCTCTTTGGATCTACGTATTGCATCTTTCCAGATCTGCCCTTCATCATCTTTATGCCCAGTCTGACGGTTATTAACAGGGAATATCATCTATCATCATGCCGCGGGCAAAGCAAACCTTGATGAAAGGGCACCTGCTTTGCAAACTAATTCCCTGTACTGGATTGCTTCCATGACAAAGCTTGTGACCGCAGTGGCTGTAATGCAGCTTGTGGAGCGAGGCATTGTATCTCTTGAAGACGACGTGCGGGCAATAGTCCCCGAGCTCCGAGATATACAAATAGTAGAAGACATCAGGAACGGTGTGTGTATATAATCCATTTAGAACTATTATATTCACCCAACCGCTGATCTCATATACTCCAATTGCAGATAAGGGTCTCCCATCAGAGTTGAACCAGCTGCATCTGAAACCCGTTCAAGGAAAGATAACTCTCCGGTGAACATTGCCCCCTATAACAAGTAGAAATGACCATTGCAAAGTTTTATGGGGTGAATTTTAAAATAACATGTTCCATGTAGGAATCTCCTGTGCCATACAGCTGGCTATGTATATGACAGTTCGTCACCACTTCTACAAAAATGGTCTAAATCCCAGGGCCGAACAGCGTACACCTTTTGTGGCAGCATGGCAAGTCCTTCTTAACTTTGTAACCCCGAGGTGGTGTAAAACATCTCTAGCTAACTTACCTGCAATCTATCTCAACAGGCCGGCTACCAACACCCCCTACTTTTTGAGCCAGACACCTCCTGGGGATACGGGGCTGGTTTAGATTGGGCTGGTCGAGTGGTAAGCCTCCCGATAACACCCCCCCCCCCCCAGTATAAATCTCATCGCCACATCCACATCCACTGGGAGATTAACCACACACAGATTGAATGCCTGACAGATTCCACCCTCGAGGATTACATGCAGACGCATATCTGGTCTAAGCTTGGAGCCAGATCAACCACATTCCACCCAGAACTGTACCGCGAGACTCTGCCCCAACAAATGGGAATGGGATATCGTGTGAGCGTCGGCCAGGGCACCAAGTCTCTGAAGTCGGGGCCTGTTATCCTGAAACAGCCAGCGCAAGATGATCTCGGGGGTATTGGGCTCTTCAGCACGCCGATGGATTTTGTCAAATTACTATCTGCGCTTCTAGGCGGTGGATATCCACTGCTCACCCGGGAAAGCGTCGATATTCTACTACAGCCACAGCTCAGTGATGCTTCTCGGGAAGCAATGCCACGACCACTCGGGGCTCAAATGAGACGGGTGTTGGGGATTAAAGACGCTAGTGACACCCAGCAGGCGGATCATTCTCTCGCTGGGACTGTTACATTGAAGGATATTGCTGGTCGGAGGCGCGCAGGTACGGTTAACTGGAGTGGGCTGCCGAATTTGCATTGGGTAAGTTTTGAAGTCAATAATGAATTGTTGTTGAGACTTTTGTAACCATTTTCCATGTATGAGCAAGGGATAAATTTACTGATCATGTTGCTTTGACTGTAGTGGATCGATCGGCGAACGGGCATCGCAGCTACGTTATTTACGCAAGTTATGCCACTGGGAGATGCTGCTATCACTAGCCTTCTTCTTGATCTAGAAAAGAGCCTTTATGCAGCGTTGGAAGAGAGTGCAGCCCCTATGAAAGTTGACGTGAAGCTATAGAAAATGGGCGTCTCGGATGGATCTTTTGTTCGTTGGAATACACCAATTGTTCTACATTCTCTGTAACCATATGACGCTGTGCAAGAAATGAGAAAACATACGTTTCTCCAAAGTTTCGACTAGGGCTAAATTTTCATTTTGACCGTCTTCTCTGCCGTATGGCGGACTAAATGGACCAAATGGTCAAAATGATTCGATTTTCTAACCACGCAGGCCATTGTTTATTTTCACGTAGTGCTATTAAATATACCTATTAAGAGATTCAAGGACAAGTAAACTCCATTAAATCATAATCATAATTATATATAAGTTATTATAAGACTAGATACACGCTGTACATAATATCATATCAAATACTAATCGTAACCACCTGACCCACTCATCTTCTCATGACGTTCACATATTAGATAAAAACAAAAAAAAAAAAAAAAAGAGAAAGACCACGCAAGTCCAGATCCCTGGCTTAGACACCAGGACACTCGACAATATAGCTGCGGAACTGTTCCGAGTCGTCACCGGAAAGGCAGGTCTCAACCTGGACTTCGCGGCGATTAGTTTGGCAGGTGACGTCATCATAGAGAGTTACTGGGATTATGTTAGTTTGTTGCCACAATAGATCCTGTTTTCAAAATAATGAAACAAAAGAAAAGGGAAAAGGAAAGGGGAAACGAGAGAGAGAGAGAGAGAGAGAGACTGGGATAACTTACCGGTACAGCTTTCCTGATACTTGGCTTCGAAGCGCACAGACTTGATGGTAATGTCGTTGAAGGTCTGGCACTTGTTGAGGCTGTCGCCGTACACTCCCAACTCGCCCTGGTTTAATTCCGAACAGCCGGGTGCGCCGTAGACACGCAGCTGGACGTAGCGGTAGTTGGGGTTGGGAGAGGGACTGGCCGTGGGAGCTGCGGAGACGCCCATTCCCAGGGCAATGGTGGAGGCAAGGATGGTGGTGAAGAGCATTTTGAGGGTTGTTTTTGTAGTGATAGGTTTGTGGTGAATTGTTTTGTGGTAATTGTTCTGTGGTAATTGTTCTGGGGTTATGGATTATTGGTGGTGGTGGAGGTGGTTATTAAATAGTAAATAAATCAATGTGGTTGGGGTTGGGGAGGAGGTTGGTTCAAGTAGTTTAGTTTGTGGGGTAGCGGTGTGAATGATCGTCCACTGATGACTGGAAAGACTGATTTATTTTCCTCGGGATAAAACTTGGTTTATAAATGGTTCTGGGGGGTGGGACAGTCCCAACTGTAGTCTGTAGATCTACATGGAGAATGTAGTTGGAGTGTTGGTTCTATTCTTGTGCACTAGAAGGCAGTGCATGTTTCCCTAAAATCTGACGGCCGTATCAATAAATAGTAGTACACACTGCTGTACTGGATGTGTGGACAGATTTTATGCGGGCGCACACGCATGTTTCACTTACTCCGCCTCGTCCGTGTGCATGACTACTACAATGTGACTCGATCTATGAAAAGCAGTTTGTGGATAGTGTGATCTTGCCGAGCTAGAGTGCTATCGACCAAGCTTTGCTGGCAAGCTTCTTGATATGCACGGTCACGTAGAGAGACATTAGTTGCTATATTCAGGGTCTTTCCCTAGCGCATACTTGGTGCCGATTGTTTACTACTCCACTGTCTTCAGTCCGCGATGAGCCACGGGATTTACCAGGAGAGACAAATTTCTATATTTATAGCTTGGGGATTGAATAATTGGAGCTCGGTAGAATATCTCCACATTGGACGTGGCGCGCCTCAAGTTCTAGACTTCGATCGTCAACGAAAGACGGGCACCTGACCGTCTGAAAACCTGAAATGAGGCCTCACATTCTATATCCTACTATTTATATTAGAATATTAAATTATTATGTCAGTATTAACTAATTGGAATCGTTGCCGTTAAATCGATCTCTGAGATATCCCCGCTACTTGGTTGGACGTTAACAAGACCAATGTTTGTATGTCCCATCACTTGTTGATGTTTTCTCACCAGATGTATTGCCTTTACCCTCATGCACATTCCAATATAGAATGACTATTTTGTACATTTCTCTACAACGGAACCTGAGATAATACTGTTTCCCAAAAAAAAGCCTTTATTCTATCTCCAAATTGACATCGCAATAGTGCTTCACTCCTTCACCCATTCAATTACCCGTCTCAGCACCTCAACCCCATCCGTTGGCTGATCGAGCTTTTTTAAATGATTCTCTAGTTCCGGCTGAGAAAGATTGCCATTGTAAACATCGTCCTCTTCCAACAATAACTTTTTGGCGAGGGCGGCCTCGACCTCTGGATGTGCTTGGAGCGACAAGACCGTATTTTCTTGATTCACAAATATTTCATGGTTTTCAGCCAAGTGAACAAATCCTAATCCAGGTTTTGCTACCTCTCGTACATGAAACTCTGGCAGGCACTGGAGGGGGTCATTAACAGGAAAGTTGACGGAAGGGAGATCAACGAAAGACGCACATAAGAGTTAATGTCTGGGGCGCAAGCAAAGAATTTCTTCCCGGCTTCTGTCAACTTCACGTCTTCAAGGCCAGCCTAAAACAGAACGAGTATGAGTTTATGGTTCTCTGTGGTGAGTTAGTAACCAGTTGAATGTACTTACAATTGGACCTGTAGGCACAGCTCGCACCTCTCCACCGAACGCCCTTGAGATAGCTTGGTGGCCCCAGCAGATACCGAGGATCTTGGTCTTGGGTGATTTCCGCGCTGTTTCACGCAGGAAATCTAGCACACCCAGAACCCAGGGCTCAGAAGAGGAGGCATCCGCTTTGCCTCCACTCAGGACGATCAGGTCGTATTTTTGGGGGTCAGGGAAGTTGCCTTGGAAGACAGGGTCGTACATGTCGATCTGGGCGTCGGGTGCAACACCTCGAATGGCAGCATGATATGACTTGCGCACATCATTCCAGAACTCGTTATTAGGGGGCGTGTTGACGAGGACAGCGATACGCAGTGGTTCTGGGCTGCTCATTGTGCCGGATAGTTCTTAGGTTAAGTATGAATGAGAAGAAGGCATGCATCTGTTGGATTGTCTTGTTTGAGTGCTTAGATGGGCTCTCATGCATGCTTATATAGATCATTCTCTGCTCTCTCATGTCGTCTTCTATTCGATTCGGCATCGTGTGGAATAGAGCCAGATTGTTCATGCCGATGGAGCATCGCAATTGCACACTGTTTATGGTAAGATCAATCCACCAGAGGCGGAGAATTTCATCCATGCACCGTTAGCCCTGGAACCTTTCACTTGAGATCCACTCTGTACCGTGCGATGAAAGACAATATAGTAGTTGGTTGGTAGTTATCGCTATTCGCTACTAGGTATATGTTGCGCTAATCCAAATTGAGTGACCAGGTAACCCAAGTGGATTTCCAGTTCTCCAATCGTATGTCTGGCAAAGCCCCATAAAATACCGGATCTGGTGAGCAGGAACGATGAGCCAATGAGGATAGCCGATGCATACCTTAGCAATCAGGAATCGGGATCTCTATCATCAACAAGAAAAGTAATACCAAATCATATTCTTCTCATACCCGGTAGACTGGCGACAAAAGAAACATCAGACCCGTGGCAATGCCACATCACCCATTTGAACTTGTTGACCCTCTGGCGAGAGATTTTGGATCCGCTTCTATGACTCGATTTGCCACCTCTATCATGTTCTAGTCTCTGGCTATGTCTGGCCAACTCAGAAATGGATTGAGAAACAGTGACTAAAATCTGTCAGCAGTAACTATATAAACCCGTTTCATTTTTCAGGACTTTTACCCTTCGTTTCCATTCATTCTCGAATATATCCCCTTGAGGTCTAAATCATCTAATCATGTTCCTTCCCAGTGTACACGCAGAACCCGACACGGAAGTCCTCCTTAAATTCATCCAGGAAAACCCCCTAGGAATCCTCGTCACAGGTATCAACTCATCCTCACAGAACTTCCTACAATGCACTCATGTCCCATTTGTGCTTGACCTCCCCGGCACAAGAGACAACGAATCACCCACCCCCCAACTTCGCGCCCACATCGCGAAGCAGAACCCCCAAGTGAAGGCCATGCTCGAGGCAGTTGACGGCAAGCCACCAAGTGTCCTGTCCCTTGATCAGGATGTCCTGGTGATCTTCAATGGGCAACACGATCACTACGTGACTCCTAAATACTACACGGAGACCAAGCCAGACACCGGCAAAGTCGTACCGACCTGGAACTACTCCGTAGTTCAGATATATGGGAAGTTGTCTCTCTATTACGACTCTAAGACCCCGGAGGCAGGGTCCTTCCTGATGAAACAGATGCATGATTTGTCGGAGCAATGTGAGAGAACGATTATGGGTTTTACAGGTGGGGATAGGCCGCAGCCGTGGAAGGTTGCTGATGCGCCGGAGCGGTATATTGAGTTGATGCAGAAGAATATCGTCGGGATCAAGATTGAGATTGGCAAGATTGAGGGCAAGTTTAAGATGAGTCAGGAGACGAGACGAGGGGATCGGGATGGGGTGGTTAGGGGATTTGCAAATCTCGGAGGGGCAACTGGAGAGGTTATCTCAGCGTTGGTCAAGGAGCGAGGGGAGATGCATGATAAGAAGAAGGAGAAGTTGAAAGCTGCGAAAGAAGGGTACTAGTTGTCCTTGCGAAGTTGTCGGCTACTGAAGGACCTTGATGTATAAGTTTAGGAGTCTTGTTGAAAAGAGGATATGGTCAGATTGTCTAGTATAATTTTGATTATACCCACTATTAGTATAACTAACACGTCTAATAGTAAATAAGCACCTCGTGATTTTGTCGTTTTCCATACTGGTTTCTCTTTTGGAAGCACATTCTGCAGTTCTTCCTAATCAGGATTAGCTTTGGGGTTCCCGAATAAAATAATTACGGTGGCCACCTGCCACTGCATTCATTCATCCATCATCAACTGACTCATGTATTCCGACAGCATCAGAAAACACACCACCAGAATATTCTGCCATATGTACAAGCCTGTACCTCCTAGACCGAGAAAGACAAACATTATACGTTCGCGCAATGGCTGTAAAAGCTGTCGCAACCGAAGAACAAAGGTTGAATTGCTGCATAGAATTGCGATTATTATGGCGCTAACATTGCATAAAGTGCGATGAGCAGAAGCCAACATGCGGAACCTGCGCGAGACTGGACAAGTGCTGTGAATATGTTCAACCCGTGCTCAAGTTCCAGATTATAACGGCGCAGAATACAAAAGGGCTATTATCCTCACATGATACTCCGTCGGCAGAGAGGAAGCAAAGGTTGACAGGGAACGAGAGGCTTTCTATGCAAGTTGAGCAAGGTGAGCCCCGGATAGGAGGCTGTGATATAGTTAAATCATTGCAAACAACTGAGAGAGATGTCTTCTACTCTACGTATTGGGAGGATTGCTGCTTACCATCCTTGCACCCAATATTCCATTCTGCCACTCTGTTGACCACGGACTATCCTATCCTCAACGACGCTATCCTAGCTCTGTCCTCTTGTAACATCAGCCGTCTCTACAGTGAACGCAAAACATCTTCAACTGGACTGACGGGACCACTGAGTCCCAGTCTCACTCATCAAACAAGAAGTCATCTGTACTACTCATCGGCAATCAGGAAACTGACCACAATGAAAGTAGCCGACTATTGCCATAATGCCACGGTTGTCTTCCTTGTCCTTGTTCTATTCGCTCACCTAGAGTCGGCAATGGGCAATTTTCAAGGCTTTTATTGCCACGTGCAGGGGATGATGAATCTCCTCGTTGAGTGGCGTGGAGAAGCCGGAGACGTGACCATCAAGCCCCTCCTCACATCATGGATGCAGACTCGGTACGTTGTGTGGTGGGCTCGTGCCTATTTCAGCTCTCTGGATATACATCAGCAGTTACCGTCGATTCCCTTACCCATCTCATTGAAAGAAGTACCCCGTACACTCCACGAACGACGTGTCAAGGTACTAAGCATAATGTGTGAATCACATCGACTGAACTTTAAGACCGTGCTCCAACATTTTAGGAAAGTAGTGTCCGAAGAAGAGGTTGAACATGAAAATAACCAGGGCTACGACGAATGCGTTTCTCTCCTATGCCAAGAGGCTACAAAGTTAGACGAGTGGCTGTTGCATCTTCCACCATCTGAGCAGCCTATTTACGAACCCAGTGGCACGAGAAGCACGGCAATCCATTTTCAATCTCACGATGCAGCGCTCAACTACGCCTACTATGTAGTAGCGCGTATAATGCAGTGCACAGGTCTCCTGCGAGAACTATACAGTCAAACCACTCCAGGTCACGAAGATGAATACTACAAAGCGGAGTTTTGGGTGCAGACATTAGTACAGGTTGCGCAAGGTGCAGAGATGCGGACATCTCTCACCCGAAACAGTTATACAATTGGGTTCTCGGGCTTACTCCTGGCGGGGATTCTTCGATGCCAAAGTCTGTCTGTCGGGTTGGAGATCCAAACCTGGCTACAAACACTGCAGGATCTGCAACCAACAGAAGAAGGAGCTTTCCCGGTTTATCAGACCTTGAGTGTCGTCAAAGCGATCAATCAACAGAGGATGGTCGGCCGAGATGTGTTTGCTGTTACGCAGCCGGTGGACGATGGTGGTGGACACCCCAAGGTCACGGCCTACAACAGCCAATTTATTAATACTCTCTTGTTTCATGGCAGATGCCAAATACGCAACTGTCTCTTCGAGGAATGCATTACTTTAGGTATTTAGATCTATATCCAGGGTCGATAACCAATACCACAGCCTCACGCAGGCTACTTTTATACAATTATGTTTTCAATCTCGAACAGCACCTTCGCAATTACAAGTCAGTCTAGCGACGAGCCGGATTCTGCGCGAGCAGATCATAGGCTAACTATGGGAGCTGTTTCTTTCGAAAATTCTAGTTCTTCAGCATGGTTGCGAGGGTTCTATGGAGTAATGCATTTCGATATAGACTATTTGTTTGAATTATAGCTACTCGTTCTAGGTAATTAGTTATTTCAACTATTTTAAATATGGATAGTTAGGTAAGCTTTCAATTATTAGTTAAGAAACATCTATTAGCATTATATAACTCTCTCGAATATAGGTTATAAAACCTGGCGATAATTTGAAACACTAAGATATAGTCCCACTAGCCCTACAACATCGTCATCAATCTTCAACACAAAATTACCCTCACTCCCAGCCACCTTATTTCTACCCCCCAGTGGGTCATAGAAACCAAAACCTGCTAAACAAGCCGGTACTCCTTCGCCAAGCGCCATGAAACGTTAAAATACAATAGTGTATGGGGTACAGCTTTCAACCCCATAAAAATGTGGAGTTTCTCCAGTCCCAACGGTGACCTTTTCGGATTAAGTGGCTGCATTCCGCTCAGTTTCTGGAATCGTACGATCCACGGAAGAAAGGGTATTGTAGTAATTTTTTGACGTAATAGGAAAAAGAAAGAAAAAGAAAATGTCGTGGTCTAAGGTCTTATTCCTAGGTACTATAGCTGTCCACCCGTTACGAATGTTCATTCGGACATTTCGTCCTTGGATTCCTCTTCTGGAAGAGATCATCCGTGGATCAGGATCAGGATCTAGCATGGTCAAGATAATGAAGAAGGGGAAAAGAGAAAAGAAAATAAGAAAAAAACATTTGGTACCCATCTGGGTCTTCCAGGGCAAAATCGAAGTATTCACCGAGTTTACATATCAGGGCATCGCGAATAGAAGCCTCGGCAAACTCGTGAATATTCGTGTCGATCGTCGACTTTAAGATGGATAAACTGAAGCCTCTATTCCCGGGTCCTAGTTGACCGATACGCTTTCGAGCTCGAGTTCGCGGAAATTGTTTAGTTGGCTGATGGCCTGGAGTAGGGATTTGCTGTGCTCGGGTTTGTCGCTTCCTTCGCCTTTCAGGTACAGATATTGTAGCGCTCGAGTCGCTGTAGGGCTTTACAGCTGCTTATCCAACCCGCGACTCGGGGAGTCAGTTGGGAGCATGCTTCATTGTAGCGCACACCTATAGTATTTTCTAATACTAAGACCTTTAAAGCTGGTGGTACGGTTAGTGAGAGCAACTCGTTGATTGCTGTGATCCCAAGATAAGCCAGCTTGAGTTCCAATGTGAGCTCAGGGCCCTAATTATGCGGGGTCCTAGGTGGGAATGGCTGGACACTTCGAGATACTCCACAGTGTTAGGCCGCAGCCCATTTAGAAACTTTTCCGAGTCCGCGTCTGCATCACTAGGCGGTTCACTATACCTAGTAGTGGAATGCTCGTAAGCAGTACTGGGCTAGAGGCATCGTACAGGACCATATCATGAGTGTATTGTGAGTTGTTTAAGGTTGGGGCAATGGTTGCGGATCGTGTCTCTCACATGATCCGTAAGAGAGGCCCCGGACGAGACACTTAATGTTTGGAGAGAGGGTAATTGTTGAAGGAATTCAGCTAGCTGGGAGGGTTGCACTTGATACCCAGTTAGGTGCCTCCTAGTGCGCTGTGTTGTAATGATATAACCTACCATTGCAGGACATTGCCCTTATCGACGTTGACTCTCTGATGATTGCTTTACGACTATTAGCTCAGCGCGGTACACAGAGCTATTATAGAGCTAGAGAGTGAATAACGCAGGTATATCGAGACAAGAGTAGACTGACCCGGGCCGATTGTCAACAGAACAAAGTCTATGTCATATGATTTAGCAGAGGAACGGAGGCGCCTGTTTACTTTCATCCCATATGCATGAGACAAATAATCATTAAACTCCGGGGTAAAGGATGCTCTATACATCGTCCGAGGGACGATGTCACCTAGTAACACAGCTAACCAACGCCTTGTTATTGTCAGTGCACAGATCACAAAGAAGGTGCTATAGCTTTCCAGGTCCAGATAGTGAATATGACCATAATAAAGCAATGCGTATGCTCCAAGACAGACAGCGTTATGGAGCGCCCCATGGCAGCCCATTTGCGAAACGTAGCATTCTCTACACCTTCAAAACCGGCCAGTGTCATAGACGTCCTTCGAGATACGAAGTGATTCGATCTCATGGGCGAGGAATTAAGCCGCCTGGGATTGGATATCGGTGAATAATGCACAGCATGTGCAACAACAGCACTTCACCTATACAGAACCTGCAAGGCGGTTTCCGTGAAGCATCGAGATGTTATAGCACAGTTGATACAAGCTGTTCTAGTCGTACTGGTCTCCGAGAATATTAAAAATAATGTAGAGAATATCATTGGATAACGCGAAGGCCATCCTGACATAAAAGAGATCCGTCAACTGCGATGATCAGCTCAATGCGTCTCACTATCAGAACTTGTATTTTAATCTTTTAAGGTCGAGCCCGGGAATGCAGTACCGCTTATGTAAGCTCGCGTTCGTGTTTGGATTTCATGCAACTGGTCCGAGTCTAGAACTTCAGGTCCTTTTACTAGTTCTTATCTGATACCAGTGACAGGTATAGAGGCTGGCGAATCCAGATAGAATACTACCACTGAAGAGATATGGCCGCTTTATCATTTTCTCTCGCCCCCGAGGCGCTGTACCAGCTGCACGATGCACTGACGTGCCTTGCCAAGTTCCATGAGACAGTAGCCATCGAGGCCGAGTTCGATCTGGTTAGTCCCACCCCGGAATTGTAGGGCCATGTATCTTTCAAGTACATCTTAACTAACCGAAGAGTCCAGCTTCGTCTGAGTGTGCTCAATTCTACTAAAACAGCATATGCTGCCTTTGTCTTTGAAGCGGACACCTTCTTTGAGTCCTACTCCTTTGACATGCCACGGGGTAGTAGAGCATCTAGGACTGGCCGTCCCGATAGATTCTGCTGTCAACTGTACATCAAGGTGAGAGCCTCTGGGACGTTGCATTTAGTGATGCTCTTGACACTAACATTCTGAAGGCATTGCTCTCTGTCTTTAAGGGGAGAACCAGAGATAAGGATACCGCAGTTGAACGCTGCGAAGTTGAGTTGCATGAGCACCTGGATCAAACCGAATGCAGGCTGGCCATTAAGATGATATGTGGACTTGGTAAGTAACTAAATGAAATCATCAGTGTAAAGGTCATCTTTCTATGGGCTTACTGACATTCCTTCTAGGGGTCATCAAGTCCTATAAGCTCACTTATGAGCCAACTACGGTTAACCATGCCGTCTTTGACAGGACGAAAACGACAAATCAGTGGAGCATAGAACCTAGATTTCTAAGAGAGATAACAGATCATTTCAGTCCCTCTGCAGAGCAGTTGGACATTTACTCTGAAAATGGCAAGGCCGTTTTCACTAGCTTTACTACGAAGATCACAGATGGAAAAGGTCTGGTTCATTCATTAGCCTTTATAGCAGTTCTCTGATTAACGTCCCACAGAGATTCTCAAGAAGCCGGTCCATACATCAGTGGCTATCGACAAAAAGGACTTTGAATATTTCCTAGCGGAAGACAATCTCCACATTGCAATCACCTTAAAAGACTTCAAGGCAGTAATAGCACATGCTGAGTCTGTACATTCAACACTCACAGCTCGATACACACGCCCAACGCGGCCCTTGCAGCTTGCGTACGATTTCGGGGGCGTGAAGACCGAATTTACTCTGATGACAACAGGAGACGCCGATAGCGATGTCCCAGATTCATCTCGTGCGCCAGAATTATCGGCAAGGCAGACGCCTGCTCCAGTCAGCGTCAGTCGAGCGAACGTTACTTCCAATACGAACCATATGCCTCCACCCCGCGCCCGATCTATTCGTCCGCTCACCGGAACTCCTGGAGCTTCCGTTCGTGGCACAGAGACGAACACCCAAAGCCAGCGGCCGCCCCCTGCATCCATCCAGTTCGACAGCCTGTTCGTACCAGTAGATGATGACAGGCAATGGGATGTACCGAACGACGAAGAGGAAGAAGCCGAAGACAGACTTGGCTGGGATGCAACTGGCGATCAGGTATGGCAAATAGAACCAATCTGCCCAGGCGCATTGCTGATCAAAGCTAGCAGACATTCGACGAGAGTCTCGCCCCCCGCTTGCGAGATAATGAGCCCAGCATGCCTCACCAAGACACAAGCCATGATGAAGATATGGGTATCCCCCCGACGCAACGTATCTCACAGGTAAGACAATCCCGCTCCGCCACAAGAACCGCGCTGACATTCCATAGCTTCACGGTCTTGGTCTCTTCGACTGAGGGAATTAGACTCTTGCTCCAATAACATATTGGCTGGATGAAGGTCGCCAGCCATGGCCCATCATCCAGTACCCGAAATCAAGTAAACAAATCTACTTCCCCTCCGTGCGAGACCATGCGCAGGTCACGACATGACAACCCAGCTAGTCGCACAACCGGCCCCAACACCAACAACAAGGGACTCCGCTTCCATAGGGAGGGGAATCACTGCATACTTCCCCTTCACATTCCCCTGTTCATCAGCAACAGGCCCACAATTCCCATGCTCCCCCCAACCAAATGCCACAACAGTGCCACCCTCAAGCAAAGCAAGAGCATGCTCACTTCCCACCGCCAACTCCCTCACAGCCGGCAAATCCACTGGCGGAAGCTGACCACGATCATTCCGCCCCCAAGCCAAAACACCCCCATCCTGCTGTACATAGACACCATGCCAACTTGCCCAGATACCACGATACGCCCCCAAAGCGGGAGGCACATCAGACAAAACATTCCACCTATTATCTGCGGAGCCCAAGATCACAAACTCCCTCTTGGTCCTATCCCCCGTAACGACCGTAAACTCGCGCCCACAAACAGCACCCGTCGCCCGAAACGGCACCCCCCCAACCCTAACCGGCTCCCAAACAATCTTTTTCCTCTTCGCCACCTCCCCAAGCTGCCCCTTCCTCGCCGCACCCCACCCATACACCTCTCCATCTGACAACACAACAACCGTATGTCCCATACCACTCGCAACACTCACGACCTCTGTCCCAGACGGCGGGAAATCCTTAACTAGCACAGGCCTAGTAGCCCGTGCCACCCCCTCCCCAAGCCCCAGTTCCCCCTTCGCCCCAGACCCAAGCACAAACAACCTATCTCCCTCAGCAGCAACAAGGAAAGTCCCCTCCCAACACGCCGAAACGTCCCTGAACGTCTCACAAGACTGCCCACTCCCATCATCATCATCCCGTGCAACGACCCTCCGGAATCTCATTAAAGAATCCCCGGGCTCAACGCCACATCTCCCATCGTCGTTACACCCCGCTGCGTACACGGCTCCATCGGAGAATAGAAGAAGGGTGTGGTTGCCACCTGCTGCTATGCGGCGAATGCAATTGGTTGATTTGCCTTCAGTTGACTGTAGAATATCTAGCTCTAAGCCTTCAAATAAACATTCAGTGGGGAGTGAGACGTCTTCGTCGTGCCCGATGCCTAATTGGCCGGATCCATTGGATCCAAAGGCGTAGAGGGGCATGTATTTATACGGTTGTGGGAGCCGCTGAGGTGGGCTGAGTTTATGTTGAATTGTGTTTATGTGTTTAGTTGGTGTACTTTCATTGATTTTGATTTCCAGAGAGAAGGTTCACAATGTCAGTATATTCTATAATGGTATGGTGGGGTTGGTTTCTTATCTGAGAGTACGGAGTAGTTGTTGTGAATATAGAGACACCGCCTACTGTTTGTGGTGTGGAATCGATCGTGGTTGAACGGTCACCTGATCTGAAGATACTTGGGGCGGAGAATATTTGACTTTATTGACTCGGAAATATTACGTCGGAGATTTAAGTAGGAAGATAACGATGATGATCCAGCACGCTATTGATTGGGGTATGCAACATTAGGCAAGTCTATACTATATACGCGGGTATTCACAGCACTCAATGCACATTGCTCTCGTCGACCGATTCAACAACATCACAAAAGAAGAGAAATTAGGCTATACGGGTAAAGAGACGAGAGGATTTCATGCAGAACATGCCACATCCCAAAACAGTCAAAAGAAACTCAGCAAATGGGTATAAAAGCAATCAGGCGGATTTTTCAGACTTTTCGTTGAAAGACGCGGTCGAGTCATCTTCGTGGGCCGCAGGAGGCAGAGCGAAGTTATCTGACTTCGCATTCTGCTCCATCGGGCGGAACATGGGGCTAGTCCGATGGAAGTATGCGTGAACGTGTCCTTCCAAGAGGCTCTCGTCGGTATCCATAGCGAGCTCTTCACCCTTCTCTTTTTCGGAGATACGAGCAGCCATGGCAGACTCCCATTCGGCACGGTATTCCTCAACCTTCTGCTTGTAATCGGCATCGGCATCATAGAGTTTGCCCTTGCCCATCAAGCGTTCCCAGAGAGACAAGTGCTTCGGGTGAACAGCAGGGCCGTGGTACTCGTGCTCACGGCCGTCACGGAGGTACTGCCAGCGACGCTCCTGTTCCTTAAGATCCAGGCCAGTGGTGTCGGGGAGGAAAACGAAGGTCAGAACCATGCCCGCAAGACCGAACCAGGGAACCACGTAGAACTTGGTTTGCGTGTCGATGTAGTTGTACAAAACCGACGCCAGAAGGGCACCAGCCTTACCGGCGGCAGCAGAGAGACCGTGGGCGGTGGCACGAATAGGAGTGGGGAAGACCTCGGCGGCGACCAGGAAGGTGACCGAGTTAGGGCCAAACTGGTTGAAGAAGGAACTCAGGAAGTACATGGTTTGGAACTCCTTAATGTGCTCCGGCGAGGTGTAGTACTTGTAGTGAAAGGCGGGAACGACGAAGAGGACGAAGCACATCAGGAAACCGACCATCTGCATCCACTTGCGGCCATAGAGCTTGTTGTCGATCAGGAACGAGGCGAGATAGTAGCCGACCAGCGAGACACCCACGTTGCACAAGTTCCACAGCCAGGTTGGCATGATCGACTTGGAGGAGGGGCTGATGACCGAGATGAATTCCGACTGGAAAAGCTTGTTGCCGTAGAAAAACACATCGTTGGCGAACCAACCACCAGCAGTCGCCAGGATACGGGGTCCAAAGTACTTGAAGGTCAGTGCAAGAGAGTTGAAATCGTAGCCGGTGACGGATGCCTTCTTCTTGGCCGCCGCCAACTGCTTGCTAGCAGCCTTCATATGGTAGGCACGGTAGTAGACCAGCCACAAAGTACCCGCTGCAGGAATGGCGAAGGAGATACGGTACACCCATTGAGCGGACACAGACGAGTAGGGAGGGTTACCGCTGCCATGGTGGAAGCAGAGCAGCAAGATGATGAGAATAACCTGGTTGAAGAACTGACCCCAGCCTTGCATCAGGAAAGCGCTGGTGACTTTCCTACCACGATGAAGACGGTCCTCCTTGGTCGAGACTTTTCCAGAGCCAACGGCATTCTCCATACCACTGGTTGCAGTCATGGGATATTCACCACCAACACCAATACCGTAGAAGAACAGCGACCAAGCATAGCAGATCACCCAGCCATTCTGGGTCACACCCCAAGCAGCGGTAAGCATGATCAAACCGATAAACATGATGGTAGCATCCTGAATCAGACCCCAACGACGACCAAGCCTAGAAACCCGTTAGAATTCCCGACCAATCATAAGCATCCAATAGAAGAGAGGTGCATACCAATCACCGATGATACCGACTAAGATCTGACCCACAATGATACCGATAATTTCGAGGTAGTCGATGGCGTTAAGCCATTGTGCATTGCAAATTTCATGGTCCTTCCAACACGACTTGAAGGCGGCCTGGAAGAGGGGCTTGACGTTTCCGATGGAGAAGAGCACGTAACTAGAGCGCTCATGGGTTAGCGCTCGACCAGTTCTGAGGCGTTCGCGATGGAGAAAGCACTTACCCCTCTAGACCGAGACCGGCACCAGGAAGCACCATATTCCGGAAGTAATAGGAGATCGGCGACAAGGGATCTTGCTTGGTCATTTCCCAGATGCTGCTTAGTTCGCGCTTGGCTTCCTTCGCATCGTAGGAGCTCACGAACTTGAGCTTCTGGAACATGGGCAAATCGGCCCAGTAGGTACCGTCTGGGGTATAGCTGTCATCGGGGCGAATCAGCGCATCGAAAGCACCCTTCTCGTGATGATCCATGTCCTCAAGAGGATTATGACTCTCCGACATATCGGGCCCATGGGGGGCACGAGGTCCAAAGTCGGCCATCTAGTCGTCGAGAGGTGAAACTGGGCAGGAAGCGACTATAGCAATGGTTGATCTTGGCCTGCGAGATGAGAGGTTGGAGAGCTGGTTAAGCACTCTTGGTACCCCTAAGGAAATGAAGATGACCGTGGTGAGGCGTTGACACACGATGCAGGCCAAGTCGGACAGGCGCGAGGTTAACTTATATGCAAACGGACAAGAGCACCCAAAATTTCTCTGGGCAGAGGCAACCCTCCACCAGCCCGCCTTCGGGACCTAGGCACATGGCCGAATGGCGGTTTGTGATAAGCCAATGCAGGTCTGGTTAGATCCAGAGTAGTGGCGAGGATCCACGCCGGGCCAAGAGCGACAGTCTTGTCAGTGGAAATTCAGCGGACCATCCACACTTAGTAGAGTTTCGCCTGGTCCGAGAAGGAAGGGCCCATCGAGGCCAGCAAAACCGGAGCTTTCCTAGTGGATGGCATTGCCTACAACCGACGTTCGCCCGTGGGGTGGAGTGAGTGTGTGTATGTGTGGATGTGTGTGGATGTGGGTAATTATTGATGACTGGTTCCCTTCCATTAGGGCACGTTTTTCTCTTTTCGTTTTGGGGAGGACTTTTCTGGACCGGAATTGGCGAAGAAAGAAGAAAAAAAAAAAAGTAAATAAAAAAAGTAATAAAAAGTAATAAAAAAGTAAAAAAGTATTAAAAAAAAAAAAAATTCGTTAAAAAGCCACTAAACCTGTCCAGTGGAAAATGGCGGAACCACGTTACAAGCGCGGAAGGCGGAGCTTCTTTTTTTTCTTTTTCACATTTAGACTCCGTGGATCAACTTCCGCCATCGTCCAATGATTGATGCACGTGGTGGCAGAATCCAGCAGATCCCCCACCACCGCCTTCTGCATGAAGTTTTCCCCCCAGTTTTCCCTTCCGCCAATCATTCTCCCTCCCATTGCACGCGCCCACTGAGACTGTCAAGTCATCTAATACTTTCTCTGTTTTCTCTGGCATCCGGCACGACTTCTGACCTCCAAGAGGGGAAATTAGTCTGGTGATAATGATAATTATGGATGCGCCTGAGACCCATCATCAGTTCCCTGGATGTTCAACGGTATCCGTGCTCTGCCCTCGGTGGATTGGATATGTCATAGTCATAGGAGCTTATTCCACAAAGCAGTACCTGACAATGTGATCTAATTTCCATTGATTGAGTTAGTTGATATTATTAGGCACCTCTTTTTACTCCTCAATACGGCTTGAGACACGCAGATTATCCGTGCACGATCCCGTGCCCGTCGTTACCCTTGCATCATGTATAATGGTCGAGGACAACGACTGCATGTACGTACACTTGTACAACAGCCATCCCGATCTTGAGCAACGTAAAGGAAGTTTCCCAATTCAGTATCTGCTCGTGTGCCGTCTTCTGCCTATTCTAGCGGTGGTCACACCCACCAGAAACCAAAAGTCCCCTCCTTCTTGCATGCCAAGGGAAAGAATGAACTCAAGTTCCGGCCTCCATGAACACCAATTCGCGACTGAGACCGGGACACATACTTGCTGACGGGCCGGTACCTACTCGTGGATAAAGTCTATCTCATTTTTAGCCTGGACAGTGGATAAGCCACCTGCATGGCATCTTGGCACTGGTCCGGGGTCCAACAACCAGTCAGAATGCCCGCTGCGGCCACGTTCCCCGTGGCACGCTGATAAGTGCGGAGAGACTTTGTGAGATATGATAATGATCGCGAAGTGGACCCTCTCCCCCTTTGCTTTGGTCAAAGTTGACGGAACCGCATTCTGATAGCAGACCACATGGTCACCTCTCCCCTTGCAGCTTATTCACTACGGAGATTACTACCAGTTCTGCTGGACCTGCCGGTCCTGCCGCTTCAAGGAAGAGTTCCATGGCTTCATTAAGTTTCTATGCTACCGCCAAACCAGTCAGTAAGAAGGAATCAATATACTCGTGTCGTCATGAGGAAGCAAAAGACAGCACGATTGAGCGCTTACTAGACATCTTTAATCTCCTAATGGCCACCGGACCAGTCATGTCAGTCGACCTCTCGTGTTTGATAGTGGAGCTATGTTTCCGTTCTATTTTGAAGCATTCTTGCTGATCCAAATAATCATATGGTCCCGTACTATCAAACACATGCGTCGAAGCCCTTGAAACATTGGCTCCTTCACGTCCCACTCATCTGAATCCCCCTATCCTGATACCCGGCTTACATGGTAGCTCGCACGAGCCCGGTAAAAAGAAAGAAAGACCGCTGCACCATAATCATTCCATGGGCTTCAGACTAACAAGAAACGCTGCCTATCAAATCCTTCAGGGATAATCTAATTAGGTTGCGCCACCTCAGGTCGCTCATCGCCATGGCTTCTTGGACAAATCTTAGCGAGGCTTAACCTTCTGGTCTGTTGCTTAGCTAGGGATGATGACGAAGAACCAACGGCAATTAAGAACAGGATCAGAAGGTCTGACAAGTGAAACGTATTGGAAGGCAGCCTTGCCAGGCGAGTATCATTACATGACTCGGTCGATAGCCTCCAGTTCATGCTTCGGTCACTCCGATCGCCTGATAGTTCATTTCGCGGCCCATCATTTCCCATCTCTTTCTTTGCCCCTTTTCCCTTTAACTTTTCCCTCATGCAGCTAACAGTGAAGAGGCACCAACGAGGTCCAGTCCATGTACCCATGTGCTATCCTTCCACCAATGGCTAGCTGCCGTGCTGCACCCTTTCCATTCTAGAAGCTCCTTGCATGTCATCTGGTAACCGACTGCATCAGGCAGATTCCAGAACCCGGACGCTCATATCCGCTAAAAGCTTCCACATATTACATACTAGTACCCCCAAAATACGTGGCCAGACCCCCCCCCCCCCCATGTGGCTCAATCCTTACACACGAAGGGAATGTAAACGATGAGGACGCTAGCCGTACCCGAGATTCCGAGACACTGCCAGAACATAGCGCCCCAAGGCCCTGATCACCCTTCGTTCATGCAAAACAGGCGTTGACTCCGTGTGCCTAACGCGGCTAATGTGAATCGATGTGGCGACGCTCCTTACAGACCTATTATTGCCTGTTCTAGACTATTCTGGTAAAAGACCCGGTCAGTAAAAGACACCCATAATCTACTTCCCATTGGAAATCGCTATCCTAGTCATTAAAAACCGATACCTAGCGAGTGATTCTATAGTCAAGTCACCTCTACATGTAGGGTTACATCATCAGGTGATACAACAGTTTGTCAGACATCAATCATATTATTCTTATAAATACCCGCATGCGCCCTTGCTTAACGGCAATCTATATCAAGCAGAACTATGCAGACACCCACAGAAAACCACGCTTACATACATAATGTAGCTGTCACAAACAAGTTTCGTCTCTTTTTTTGCTTTCCAATCGCAGAATTCCCAACCCCAGATCAAGATAATCGGTTACATGTCATATGACAGTTTCTCGTGTCTCCATTCAAGCTTGGTGGAAGAAGTACGCGAGTCGATCGCAGGATGCATAAGCCTTTTTCATGTCATACCACTTGCTAAGATACGAATCTACCTTGTTGCGCGTATCTTTGGCGGTGATATACTAGAAACTAGATCGCCTAGAAGGAGTCTAGCCGAAGTTGCCTGTGTTAGACTGTAATTCTAGAGCCAGAGCTTGGATTCGCGAATGCTACAGAATCACCAGACAAGGGTCACGTAGTAAGAATGGTGCCGTGGGCACCTGTCTCGTAGCTGAGCTGTTTGCCCCGCTGTTGGTGGTCATGATATCGGTGGAGGAATGTTTATCTAGAGTTACATTTCCTGGGCCAGCGCCACTGGAACTACGGAGGCCGTTTCCGGGGGATTGGAACTGATGGCTGACGAATGTCGGGTTTGATGTCACTGAACTAGTCTTCAAGAATATTATTTTTCTTTTATTTTATTTCATTTTATTTTTATTTTTATTTTTTTATTTTTTTGGCTTTACTTGTATGAACTGTGTAAGGTAATGCAGAATGCAAGGCTCGCCTGTGCTCCTAGCGGATCGTGATTACGGGCGATTTCAGTTCTCTACAACGCCATGTACTACTCGTCCGTTCAGTTTCTTCTGCTTGTATGTTGACTAACTAAATCGATTCTTGGTGTGTATCAGATGCCTGGCATTGTATGTTTCTTAGTAAATGCCCAAATGTGTTTACTCAGTAGTATGGTATTATCGTTTACTTGGTCTCGGACCCGATATATATCCGAGCACAGGAAAGGGCTCGAATACCGTATATTGACTCGTGTGATATCCTTAAGTGGGAACTTTCCAATGAGAATGCTGATTGAGGTAGTGGACACGCCACCTGAGTGTTTCCTTCTATGTGTATCTCACTGGAAGTCATGTTAAGGTTGGTGTGTCGGGGACTCGGAGTGGTGATTCATTGATTAAAGCATTGGATGCTGGCATCTAAGGCGTAGCTTGCCTGAGGCACTAACTAACTAATGCCTAGTTCTATCTCCGATACTACATATCTAGTATATTATACCTGATTCTGTTATTGAGTTTTCTTCCTCTACTCTTTCCTCCATATACGCTTGTCGCAAAGACATAAAAACAATGTCTCGATACAGCGCTACTCCGCCACTCGATAAACTCCCCATAAAAGTATCATAATCATTAGATAAGAAATCTAATTCCAAGGAAGGCCTATAGGAGAAGCGATATAGTTAGTATACAAATTAGAAGCCTGTACCCCACATTAACACTGCCGATCTTGACGGGGTCTGCTCGGTTGTTTGTCGAGCATACTAGATACTTTCTGACAATGTGCAGTAGGTGGACCCCATGAATATCGAAATATAGTCCCAAAGAGCTGACACGTCCGAGAAGTGAGATCTGTTTTTAGATCTTGCCTCTCCTCGTACATCATCTGGGGTCAACACATCGGTTATGCCAGCGCATAGCATGGGGCTCAGGAGCGAATATAGTAATAACAAAAATGGCTGCCTGTTACATGATGACGCGGGGAAATGGACCTCTGATGGTTTGTACTCTGATTCTTCTCTTTACACTATGACTTTGTCATTTTCTGTGGTTTATGTATATAGAGTTGGCGAATGAACTGTTGAGATACACAGATCGTAGGTAATAGTATGCTTTCATCCAAGCATTATAGGGCACAATACCATAGTATAATCCAAGCATGTAGCTACATATTTTTTTTTGATATAAAGTGTCTTACACGGTGAACTCCACTGCATCAAACTCTATAAGCGAGAGGGTATCCAGAAAGGACATCACACAAGGCAACTCTCCTATGAGCATCGAGTCGACGCATCCAAGAGATACCCATAGAATTGCATACAAGATCCTCCAACTACAGCCACACTCGAAGAAAAGCAATAGCGCCGACCACATGTGGACAAGCACATCTACCTGAAAACTCTCTACCTCTCTGACGGATGCCTAACCAATACTTCTATTCTTGGATAGTAAAGCATAACTCCCAGCCAATATCCATGAACCCTACCAGATCTAATAGATCTACAGATGACGACGCCTGCAAGCAAGCACCAACACCAACACCGCCATCAAACGTAACCCCATAAGGTCCGCCGACCGCCATTTTATTCAACCTCCTTGAAATCTGCCTTGGCGGAATGACTCCGCCACGCAAAACCCGCAGAATGTTTACTTTCTTCAGTGAAAGCCGAAGCCCTGCGCATCGGAGAATCAGTCCCAATTTCGGTAATGACCGGGGGGATAAAATTGTTGCCTAATGTTCGGACGTGTCGCGGGAAGTAACTTTTAAGGTTATATCTTGCATGTATCATGATCTAATCTTGCAGATTGGCCAAGAACTGAATGTTTGCCTGAAACTCGGGGTTGAGTTTACGCTAACTTTTCATGAATGATGTTTTGTATACTACTTGTGATATATCAGAAATAATTGTTGATAAGGCCTGTGTTTTATGTTTTCATTGGGGAAGTTGTCGTGAGAATTTACCGCAGGCGAATGATATGTACAGTAGTCACCTGGTGTATTCTGCTATTCTTGGAACAGGATAATCACATGTTGGGCTTTGCATTGATTTCTCGAGATCACGGACGTGCTATCGAACAAGGACCGGGAACTTTCTTTATGAAAGATGATTTTGAGATTCATAAGAGTAATTGAGCAAGTATGTTTTTGCGATTAGCGTCAAGTTGATAGTAAAGTCACAACGAAACACACGGTCCTTCATGAAATCCATGAACATTAACCGTGTCCAAGGCTATAGAAATACGGATAGAGTTTAAGTCATCGGGAACTAAATATTTCGAGTATGTCGCCTTTCATCCCGGTGTTATCTTCTCAATTACAGATTGCTATTGCTTACGGGCTTGGATACAGAGATATGAATGGAAGAAAGTAGCTAACGACGTTAATTGGGCTAAGGGATAGAAAGATGTGCGTTCCAACAGACTGCGTGATAGTGAGGACTACAGGTTTTCTGATACCCCTACAATTAAACTCAAGAACTGACGACTTATACTGGCTAGTCCCTTTGAGTTGAACAATCATTAAAAGTCCAAACCGGTTCTAGAGCAGCAGACGCCATTCAATCATGAGAATGTACTAACCCGGTAGATATTCCAATAATAGGACCCGGTAATTGCTGCCATTGCGTGACATATATCGACCCTTTTTTCTCTCCAAGACAAACATTGAAACACTGTTGCAATTGTAAGCTAACTTAGGCTTCATACATTTCATTGATTCATGCGTCATCTTTTCGATGATTGGGTAAAATAACATGTTGTTACATCCAAGCACGGTCAGTACTGACAACACTTTGTGCTCTCAGTAACTTTGACGGGGAGAACTCTAAGGCAGAAGAGAGTAGATAACCCTAGCTATCTTAACCAGCATTCGCCGATGTCAATGAGCCACAGACCCTTCTTCCACTCGTATGTACCGGGCCTGTTTCATATTCAAAAGGCATTAACAGTGTCATTAGAGACTCAGCAAAATGCACAACTGTTGAACTATTCCAGTATGGCCTCGCTTGAGGATGAGCGTTCTGTTCAAGCTGGATTATATGGCTGACAAAGGCTTAGGGGTCGCGCCATGACAACCCTGTCAGTGGATCTCGCTACCATCGGTCGGCCTCTACGAAATGTGACGGCGATTACTCGGAGTATGTCCACCGTTGTGTGATATAGACCCTATTGCTGTCATACACAATGGCATTGTCAAACTGCACCATGCTTGATCAAAGGCGTACGCAGTCTAGGTGGAAGACAAAGGCAGGTACATTCCGAACTAGAGGCTGCCCTTCCTGTCTGCTACCATATTCACGGCGGAAGAGTTGCAACTGATTCATACCATGCGATATCAAACAAACAATCGATCGACCGATCAAAATTCTATCAACCTGTTAGAGCCTAACTATTGAAACGTCTAGCTATGTAGGCGTATATCATGCGATATTGCATTGCAGGGAATGTGTGGTTTTATCTGTGCTATACGGGGGAAGTACGAGGCTTTAATCTCAAGGACGTGATGGCCTAGAAGAAATCCGGTTGTTGATATCTGCTGCTACTGCTCTAATTACTTGTTTTTCATATGCCCAATACATGGTTTTCTTCTACATCATAGTATCGAGATTTTACTATTGATTATTTAGTAGGCGTACTTATAGCATTGATTCATTTCTTCAACTCTGGAATTCCTTTTCTTTTATACAGATTTATAGTCTCTGTGTTTGTAAGAATGTGTAGAAGCATGGTCATGCATATCTATAAGGAATAGATGAATGTCAGTGTCTCAGTTACACCAGGTTCAACAAAAAGTAGATAGGAGTTAGAGTCTTAGAGAAATAAAGCATAGAAACAAACGATGTCCTCCATTCCTACAGTTTAGTCACTTTAAGCATTAGTATACAATATCGTGGATGCCTAGAGCAGGGTTCTGTTGGTTTGGGCTGTTGGAGGCCTATAGGAAGCTCTACGAGCCCTTATACTAAGCTCTACAGATGGTTACAGCTTGGATGGAGGCTCACAGTCGGAAAACAAGACTTTGTTCAGAATCCTAGATGATCCATTGTCTATGAACTAGTCATGTCAAATGACATTGATGCCTTAGAAAAAGTGATTGCCCGAACAATCCTAGTGCATACCCAGCCTGGAGAGAAAAGGAGAAAGAAAAAGGGATATGAAGAAAATATGGTAGTGAAAACAACAAAATCGCTAAGAAACGATCTAAATCAGGGCTGTTAAAACAGATGCCATTGGCTCCTTGTGCTAGAAAAGGAGGAAAGACTACAGCACATAGCAGAATGCGGTTTCAACTTGAAACTACTCATTGATACTGCATAGTAGATGTTGCTTATTCGGGAATGCTGCCGAAGGATGGGTCCCGAACACTGCCGCCAGCATCTCCAAGACCAGCAACCGGGCGGTTGTAAGACCAGCCTTCAAACTGCTGCTGCATAGTCTGGGACAGAACGGGCCCTTCCACGTATGAGTCTTGAGGTGCCTCTGATGTGAACTCCCGGTCGAAGTTGGCGGTGTCACGCGCGTCAACCTACACAAGTCAGCTACGATCGAGATGCACGGGGATTGGGTGATGATTCTATCACATACCACGTTGGGTCGGAAGCTTGGTTCGTACTTCCGCTGGAGCAGCTTACGCCAATCAATGTTGGCAAAGAAATGATGCGACTTGATCTCCGCAGCACCGTTGGCACCCAGTCGACGCTGAGGGTCACGGTCAAGAAGTCGCGTTAGAAGGTCCCGAGCAGCGGCGGGTACAATGTCCGTGCTTGGGAAAGTCAGGGGCTCCTGTAAAATCTTTCGGTACATGTCGTTGGTGTTTTCATCGTAGAATGGAGGAAGACCTGTCAACATCTCATACAGGAGGACACCCAGCGTCCACCAGTCAACAGTCTTGGTATATCCATTGCCCAATAGCAACTCAGGTGCAAGATATTCAGGGGTTCCACAGAAGGCTTTCGAGAATGTCAGCGATATCAAACGGGATTGCAGATACATAAGAGGTCTTACTGTTCGTCCGATCTTCATCTTTCATGTCTAACTTGCAGAGACCAAAGTCACAAAGAGCAATGTGTCCCGTATAGTCGAGGAGAATATTTTCCGGCTTGAGATCACGGTAAATGACCTTGAAGCCGTGCAGACACTCCAATGCGCAAAGCAGCTCAGCCGTGTAGAAACGGGCACGGTTGATATCGAAACGCTGCTCTCGTTGGAGGTGGTGGAACAGCTCTCCACCGTTTACGAAAGCAAGAACGAAATACAATTTCTCTGGGGACTGGAAGGAAAACTTCAAGGGGACAATGAAAGGGTTATTGATCTGTGCAAGCACCGATCTCTCGGCCAGAGTGTGCGTGACTTCCGACCGTGAAATGATGTGAGCCTTGCGGATAGTCTTGAGGGCATAGATACGACCTGTATCTTTCTTCATGACCTGCATGACCTTGCCGAAACTACCTTTACCGACGACCTTCAGCAACTCAAAGTCCTCCAGCTTCAAGCTTTGCTGCTTGTTCTCGACGAACTTAACACCAATTTTGATCGATCCGGTACCGAATTGAAGGTCCAGCCATTCTGCGCCCAACTGGCCCAAATGGCGCTCCTGGGCTGCGTGAGCCGCAGCCGCCTTCTGATTGTCCTTCTTGCTGAGTTTGGGATCCTCCACAAACTGTTGGGCTTCTTCGAAGCGTGGGTGTACCTTGACGGCACCGAGGAAGATATCCTCACTTCGGCCAGCACCGGGCCGAGCGGCCGGGTTTCGGAGATAGAGCTGAACATTCAATTCCGTCTTACGGGACACATCGAACTTGAAGGCGGTATTGTCTCCGGCCCAGAGGGGATTTTCGGGCGACCCTGAAACTGCGTCGACAAAAACCTGGTTCTTCTCGAAATCCAACAGAGCGTAGGGAAGATACTTTGTCGAATACCGACCGTGGATTGTGGGCGCAGCATTGATACCCCCGCTAGTCGATTGAGGACGGCCATTATGGACGAATGATGCGGCCTGGCTATGAGCGGAGTGGGAGGACGAGGAGCTCGGGCGCATAGCATAGTTGTTTTGGAAATGCGAATTGAAGATCTGTTGGTACTGCGGGGAAAGGGCGAAATCCCGTCCTTCGTGGAGGGTGACGATCAGGATACCGGGCTTGACAGGAGCCACGGGAGGCGATACGAGAGATTCCGAGGCATCTTTTCACATGTTAGGACGTGCCCGTGATAACCGAGAGACATAGATTACATACTGATTCCATTGATGTTTGACGTGGGAATAGTTGGAGTCGGAGCCTGCGAGGCCACAGGGGTCTCTTCGCCGGGCTCGCCCTTAATGGTGGATGTGGATGAGGACCGGGTAAAGGTTTGCGTCAAAGGAGCAAGGTGGGTTTCCTTTAATTCTATATGAAGTGGGTTAGATAGAGGTCAACTTGCAGAATGGGCCAAATTGATGCTATATATAGAAAGTAAGGGACATACTTTTGGTGAGTTTCCAAGACATTGTGACAGGCGGTTTAGGATATCCAGGATAAAGGTGAGAGAGAAAACAGAATGCAGTAGGGTCTTGATCAAGTTTGTCACAGACTAAATAAAAAAAAAAAATAAAAAACTAGGGAGGGAATGAAACAAAAAAGGAGGTCGTTCTTAGTACTCCAAAGGGTTGGTGCAGAGATGCGGTACCGCCACAGCCACAGCGGTCAGAAACACACAGAGAAGGAAACCTGAGGGGGGATCAGGGAACTGGGATCAAGAGATAAGAACGATGATCGGAGACTGTACAGGGAGAAGTTAAGAAGGGGGGAAGAACAACAACAACAATAATAACCAGGGCCGGAACAAATTCCAACAACGACCCAGATCTTAAAAAAAGAAAATAAAAAAAAACAAGCAAGATGGACTCTGTCTGAACGATGGAAAGGGAACAAACACAGATCGAGGGGAAAACCAGAAGGGGGCACGGGAGAAGGAGGGGGGGCAAAATCACCCGCCATCATTGGGTCAGGAACATGGCTGCCTGGGTCCATTCCTAGGACACCTGAGGCACCAGTGCCCCTGGGGCGGTGCAGATCCCTGAATATTCAGGCTTCCAAGCCCACTAGCCCCGATGGCTAAGCCACTTTGCCCGCCGGGATCTGGCGATGCCGCTATGTACCGAAGCTAACTGCAACTTCAGCTCCCAATAGAGATCAGCCAGCGCATCGTCATTAGGAACTTATCTCTCCCGCTCGATTGACATATCGCCTGTGCCGAATAATCCGTTCTTGACTGGCCAGTTGACCGCCCGCTCACCTGACCGATCCCCACTTGACTGCGGAGATTCCCCTTCGCGTTCTCCGACTTCCCCATCTGGACCATCTCACAACTTGATCGGATCGCCCCATATCAGCCCTCTATCACCACAAGAGGGCGCAGAATCTAGTCGAGACGGCTCAGGATACAGTGGAGGATGAAAGGGATTCACAATCGATGGGCGTAATACGGAAGAAGACCGCCTCGCGCGGCACGGAAGCTGGGACCAAGTACCATTGCGATATCTGTTCGGTGGACGTGACTTCAACGGTATGGAGGCACCGATGTCAATGAAATCACACGGGCTATATCTAACTGCAGTGTAACAGGTTCGTGTATCGTGCGCCCACCCCACCTGCCATGAGTACGATCTCTGCGTTCCTTGTTTTGCTGCCGGAGAGAAGTCCAAGAACCATGACCCGTCCTCACATCCGTTCCAAGTGATTGAGCAGAATTCGGTTCCGATCTTCCAGGAAGATTGGGGAGCGGATGAGGAACTTTTGCTGTTAGAAGGCGCGGATATTTATGGGTTGGGGTCATGGGCCGATATCGCAGATCATATCGGTGGTTACCGAACCAAGGAGGAAGTACGAGATCACTATATCGACACATATATCGACAGTCCGAATTTCCCATTACCCGAACGCGCCGATCCGGATGACACGCGACTATCCGACTCGATCTCCAAGGAAGAGTTCCAGTCCCGCAAGAAGCGTCGCATCGAGGAGCGCAAGGAGGCGGCCAAAGCAGCTCCTCCGACGACACCAAAACAAAAACCTACTGCCAGTGTTCCGGCTTGTCACGAAGTGCAAGGTTATATGCCTGGTCGTCTCGAGTTCGAGACGGAATTTATGAACGATGCGGAAGAAGCAGTGCAACATATGACGTTCGAACCGGGCGCTGGTGAAACGGCCAACGGTGAAACCGACGCAGAGATGGAGCTGAAGATGACGGTAGTCGACATCTACAACTCACGCTTGACCGCCCGAACGGAGCGCAAGAAAGTTCTGTTTGAGCACAACTTACTTGAATACCGCAAGAACACGGCATTGGAGAAGAAACGCACCAAGGAGGAAAGGGATCTACTAAACAAAGCGAAGCCGTTTGCTCGAATGATGAACCATGATGACTTTGAGGAGTTCAACAAGGGCTTAGAGTATGAGCACAATCTACGGTTAGCCATCACACAACTGCAGGAGTGGCGACAGATGGGGATTGGAGACCTTAAAGGGGGAGAAAAATACGAGCAAGAGAAACAACAACGCGCCCAGAGACTCGTGCCACAAGGGTCCTTTGATCGGTTCGCCAGCACACGACCGAAGCAGTCACAGCAACCTGAAGGCCCCTCTGCAGCCAGCCAGCTAACCACACCCGAGCTCCCTTTGCGGTTACAAAAGGCATCCGGCGCAAACAAGGCACCGGAGCCGGTCAACCAACCGATGAACGACTTCGACCGAGCATTTGCAAGCAACGGAGACGGCCTCACGACGCCGCAGCCAGCCAAGACGAAGTTCGTAGTCCAACCGCTCAACGGGGTCATTCCATGGAAACTAGAGAACGACGGTGCACCCGACCTCCATCTCTTAACCAAGGAAGAGGTGGAAGTATGCAACGTGCTACACGTCCAGCCCAAGCCCTATCTAGTAATCAAGGAAACCCTCCTTAAAGAAGCAATGAAACAGGGAGGAAGCTTGAAAAAGAAGGACGCGCGAACTATCTGCAAGGTAACACATACCCATCGTCCATTCTACTAAAAAAAAAAAAAAAAGAAAGAAAGAAAGAAAGAAAGAAAAGAAATCTAATCAATCCCATAGATCGATGCGACCAAAACGGGCCGAATTTATGATTTTATGGTGCACAGCGGCTGGATCAACAAGGCATAGTCCAAGTGATGAATGAATCGACAGTTTTATATCCAGGGTGTCAATGGAACGGAGTTGGGCGTTGCCGGGGTGGTATAAGTGTAGAGCATCAGAAAGGCTTGAAGCGGGCTTTATTTTTACTTTTTTCACCCTTGTCATCAAGAACTAATTTTGAATACACAAACACATACAACACTCTGAGCGAGTCCCTAAACTTCAATACCCATCTACTAACAATAGTAGTCAATACTAGTCCCAACTACTAGTGCTAGTAGTATCAGACCAAGCAACTCCCAAAACTCCACATAAATAATCACAAAAATAACCTTCTCCGCATTTCGGCCCTCGGCAACGCTTCCCCATCAACTAAAACCAACAAAAGCCCCCAAGATAAAAACCACGACAACCCATAACCCCAATAAGTAAAAATAAAACCATCCACAGATCAAACCCAAACAACAAAAGAAAGCCAAATACCGAAAAAGAAAAGAAAAAAATGTCCTTCAAAACCCCACCCCCAACCCCACAACATGCCAAAGTGGCCTTCCCCACCCCAAACGTCCTACAAGTGACGCTCTCACGGCCGAAGGACCTAAACTGCATAAACACAGCAGGTCACAATGAGCTGCACGCGCTCTGGGAATGGATGGACGAGGAGCCGAGCATCAGGGTTGGGGTGTTGACAGGGGAAGGCAGGGCGTTTTGTGCCGGGGCGGATTTAAAGGGTATGTTATATGGTTATTACGTTATTTCAGATTAACTCCTGATCTACATACATATATCCATCCCTCTATTGATCTACAACGTCTACTATTGTTATATTTGATTGGTTTGAGATAAGACACGGGATAAATGGACTAATTGAGTTGGAATAGAATGGAACAACCAAGTGAATAGTGCCGAAGGATCGAAACGACAACAACCGTCGTCCGGATTCGGGGGTCTTTCCCGACGGAGTGGGAAGAAACCTATTATCTGTGCTGTGAATGGGATCTGTCTGGGTGGTGGATGTGAGATGATTGTCAATGCGGATATGGTGATTGCGTGTGAGAAGGCCTTTTTCGGGTTTCCCGAAGTTCAGCGCGGAGTCGTTGCGATTGCGGGGGCGTTGCCGCGGGTGGTACGCACCATTGGGCGACAGCGGGCAATGGAGATGGTCTTGACGGGGCGGCGGGTAACGGCAACTGAGGCGGAGAAGTGGGGATTTGTCAATGAAGTGCTGCCCACGCCGGAAGAAGTGGTGACGCGCGCATTGGAGATAGCGGGTCAAATCGCGGCGAATAGTCCCGATGCCGTGATCGTCAGTCGGGAGGGGGTCAAGCTGGGCTGGGAGGGCGTTGGAGCTGAGGAGGGCAGTCGCTGGTTGATCGACGGGTGGCAGAAGAGGCTAAATGAAGGCGAGAACATCAAAGAGGGATTGAGGGCATTTGTGGAGAAGAGGAAGCCAACGTGGGTGGATAGTAAATTGTAGATGCACTTCAGAACGACAAATGTACATTTACGAAAACACCTATACACTTCTACCAGAGCGAGAATTGTAATTCCTACGGATGCCACCTACACCAAAGACAAGAAGAATCATTTCATAATCATTAATCTCATTAGACTCTTATGCGCTGCACTAAGTCAATACAAATCATCATGTATGCTAATCCGAGATCCCATTGAATGCTTCCATTCGCGCCGTCCATATGTTCGCCGTATCCCATGCAGTTCATGCCCGGCCAGCGGACAGAACAGTTTGATATCATATCAAAATCCCTCGGGCGATCCATATATGTGATGGACTCGGGACCCTTCGTTTTCTGGTAATAAAAAGGAGTATAGTGATGTGTGAAACGAGCGGGAATCACATCGCTTATTTGGCACCTTGTTGGACCATGGACACACGCTCTACCACATGAGAATAGAGTGGGTGGTCCTTCTCCAATCCGGTAAGCTGAGAGGTGGCGTCCTTGGCCGAGTTCTCCTTCAGAATGCGAGCAAGCTCGGAACTCTCCTCGTCGCCTGGGACGTTCTGGAAGCGAAGAGCCATCTCGATGGCGCCCAGCAGAGCATCGAACTTCTGGCCGCGCTCTGCGAGCTGCGAAGCAGGTCCAATGAATCGTTCCTTGCGAGACAGTTTGCGGAGAGGAGCACGTCCTACACGCTCAACGTTGTCTTCGAGATAGGGGTTGGAGATACGGCTGACGATCTTGTCAACGTATTCCTTCTGTTCCTGCTCTGAGATCTCATGCTTGGATACAATGAGAGAAGCGGTCTCCTCAAGCACCTTGTGCACAGTCTCGCGAATCTCTGGGTCTTCGAGGGCCTCAGCGATCATCTTCTTGCCAAGCTTGTGAGCATAATAGGCCGTGGTAGCATGACCAGTGTTGACGGTGAAGAGCTTGCGTTCGATGTAAGGTTCGAGGTGGTCCACCCAGTGGATGGCAGGAATGTCGGGATGACCCCATTCGCCAAAAGGAGTCTTTTCCACGGCCCACTCGTAGAACTTCTCGATGCGAACATTGAGACCACTGTTCGGGGGCTGGTTAGGGACGATGCGGTCGATAGCCGAGTTGGCAAAGCGGGCACGCTCGGAGAGGGTCTCCAGACGGTCAGGGTTAGTGTGCTGCTTGATATAGCCGTGCAAGGTATCTGTAGCACCGATAGCGTTCTCACAGGCGATCACAGCCACGGGCTTCTTTTCGGTGCGCGCATCAATACCCTTGGCAATGACTGGCGCGATGAACTTCAGGATGTTGGGACCGACAGCACAGGTAACCACATCTGCCGATGCGATCTCCTGAACGACGTCGGCCTCATGCGTCTTAGAGTTGATAGCGCGATAGTTGGTGATAGTCTTGGTGCTTTCACCCTCTTCGCTGACCTCCGTGACATCGTACGACGGGGTCTGCTGCAAAGAGTTGATGACGCTATCCATGACATCAATGAAGACGACTTCATAGTCGGCAGCGTGGAGGAACTCAGCCACAAAGCCACGGCCAATGTTTCCACCGCCAAACTGGATTGCCTTTTTACCCATAATGAATGGTTGATAACGGTAGGATCCAGATATTGTGTTTCAACAGAAAGTGGAAAGGGGGTTGTTGTTGTGGTGGTGCTGGTGATGATGATGGAAGTAGGATAGAGAGAGTATAGGAAAGTAGTAGCGGTGGTAGAAGTAGATGAGAGAGAAAAGGAGGATGGGATATCAGAAAGAGATCCTTGTGAAGTAGAAAGTTTGTTGTTATTGTTGTTGACGATGATGATTTCTTGGGAAACAGAAAGAGGGGTAGCGAGGGGTATATGTACTACAAAACATTTGACGATGGCAGACAAGAGAGGGGTGAATGAAAAGGGAAGGAATGATGCAGTGACGCTTCGTATGGAACGGCAAAGAAACCAAATTCTGGGCGAGAATGGAACCCCTACAATATCCTCATTCACGACTGGTGGAACTGGAGTGGGGAAGGGGGAAAAACGTGCCTATGGGAATAGTATCAACTTAACACATGGGGACTAGGAACGCAGTCTTCCGGAGGGCTCAGACTCTTTCTGGGGGAATTGTGGCTATTCCCGTGCAAAAACAGGAAACGAGGGGATTGGTTTTCGTCATTATATTGGGTATTAGTTCAAGTCATCAATCCAACCAGAACCTCAGAATTTCTGATCCGGACCATTCCGTGATCGTCCTCGCGATAGGGTCATGAATCTGATTCGGTATCACGTTACGCAGGAACTTGAGACCCAATTGTCACCCGATATTCTCTCTTTACAGTTACACTTTGAACATTGTCCAGTCGGGGTTACACTCCACTAGGTGACCATAAAACGACTCACCTTTAGCCGAACGGGCTAGTTCGACTTGCTGCCCATACTCCGGCCTGTACGGAGTAAGTTGTCGATGAGGTTATGGAATCCCTGCAAGACAAGAACGGAACGACCTCTGATCTTCTTCATTTCCCCCTCGCAAATAGGACTGGTCAATTCCTCCCGATAATTTTCCAGTCATGACAACGATAAGTCGTAGTCAACTTAACGTCATCATTTGACATCCCTTGAATCCATCGAGTGACCCACTATCAACGATAGAATCGCAGGTATAGCGGTTGGAACGGAGGGAACCGGGTTGCCTCATTTGGCGAGACCTTTTCACGGGTCCACTCGTGACGTCGCCATCCGCGGGAGACCCAATTTTTTTCTCACACTATGAGTATGATCTCAAGACCCCTTCCACAGCCATACTGCCATTGTATTGCGAAAAAGGTCCACTTCACCAAACACTGTTACAACATCATCGATCAAAAATCAACAGATAGTCATGGAATTTCTTCTCTTGGGAATAGAACTGTCGAGATTCAGTGGGGCTCTGATCTTTTTTTTTCGACGTATATCCAATTTGGGGCTCCAATCCCAACATATTTGCACAAGAATCACTCCTCCCGATTCGTTCCCTTTCCTTAGTTTTCTCTGATGTTCTTTTCGTTTTTTTCCTACTTTTCCTCCTTTAGTTAATTTCACCACCCCCTCCTTTTCTTTATTCCTATTATTCCTCTCCATTCCGTTCCTTTCTTAGTCCCCCTTCTGGTTCGACTCTACCGAGTCGGAATCCTCGGCCACCGTCTTCGGTTCTGCCACCGGTTCATACTGGTCTGCCGATCGGTTACGGTCCACCAATACCGTAAGTAAACTGACAATGCCTCCGACCAGCAGCAACCCGACGGCAGCCCATGTCATTCCTAAAAATTGATGCCCATACGTCGCCGTCACACCGGACTCCTCTCCGTGACGATTGATAAGGTTTACAAATTGTAATGCAACCACTGTTGCGATAATGGACGGAATGCTGAGCATAGTGAAACTGAGCTGTGGGCCTTCTTAGTACCGGATGGGATCTAGAACGTCCAACGGGGGCTTACCACGAGAGAAGAAACTTCTACCACTGTCTGTCTCGGTCCTTTCGCGATCACGAACCACAGTCGTTCCAAGACCGCCAGTCCCGCTAACCCTATCCCAATACAGTAGAAGACACCCATGCTCTGGGTGGTAGCACCGAACGTGCGTAGATCATCCGTGATGGAACTCGGCCATCCCAGGCTAGATAGTGAGGTGCTGTTACCAGCATCTTTCGTTAATGCTTCTGTCGCATTGAAGGAGAACAGTAGCGATGGGTGTGAACATGCGGTCCAGTTTCGACTTTCTGCATGTAGAAATCCCTCACAGTAGGACATGACATATATCGAGTAGAAGTCCCGCATCCCCGTGCCATTGCCTATCCTCGTCGTATATATCTTCGACTGTCGTTAGTCCCTGCTCATCCAAAGCGAGTGTGACGAAGGCTAACACACCGTGAAGACATCTGTATCTAATAAAAGGTTTGTTTTCGTTCCTGCAAAGAGGCATAGTATGCCCAGGATAAAGGCGATAAACGCGGTTAATGTGGGTAGTACGTCGCTCCAATTGAGCATCTTGTCGGTACTGTGCTAATATCTGCGATAATAATCTCCGCTGTAAATCTCCGCTCTTGAACTCTATCACGCAAAGTCGTGGCATCATGGCATATACATAGTCCTGCGCTGGTGATAATCCTCCGGTAGTCACCATTCTTCGAGATGGCGAACAAACATTCATCCATACTTCGGTCACTGAAGCAAGACATGCCCCGATCTCACATTTCCTCGAGGCACCTGTGCAGTCGACACTAGTACTGTACACTGGCAGTTATCAGCATGTCGGAAAAAGAAGATCGATGGATTTCATTGGCCGGATCAACCTCCATGACTTGCAGCAGGAATGTTCGGATATAGACGCCGGGTGGGTACTGTTGCATGCGATAGGGCTCCAGCCGATCTGGGGAATGTGTGCGCCAACGCCTGGTATGCTCGATTGTGAGGTACGAGGACGCCCAGTCCTGAAAACAGGTTTCCATATATACCAAGGGGTAGGAATCTTCCTACTGTCGTAATTTCGTTCTAGCCCTCTGGCATACAACGTCTCCGTTCAGCCCGTCGATGACATTTCTCAATATTACCGTAACTTATTGAGGTTGAGTTTCGAGTCTTTCTTAGAGATACCCCCTTTCAGGTGTTTCTAAACAATGCAGAACTGAATTATTGTGTTACCAATTCGATGCCATTGTACTTTCGAACCCTCACAACAATCAGTAAACCCCTCCCACATGACCACCTTCCGACCTGTCAGTCACGATACAACTGCCTACAAACCGGCTACCGAAGAATCATGTCCCCCTCAATAGACCTAGTAACTACTAGTAGTTCCACCCATCTATTAGCAAAATCTACCCGGATAGTTTAGAGAAAGAAAAAAAAAATTACGTATCTCCAGACCACCCTCTATGAAAACACCCACCAAATCTGCCCACAACTCATTCAGTTCACTATGACTCATAACAACACTTCCCACCATGCTTCTGACACATAAAAGCATCTACTACGATACTTTGCCACCTTCATAAAAAGGGGGGGAGCCGGCAGCCGAGGTGGCACCAGACATATACGTACATACACTACGGGCCGATTGGCATCGGCCATATTTTCAAGTTACCGACACTCACTTACAGACACCGGTAGTGGTTCCACTGTATGTAATATCAGGTTAGGTGATTTGGGGGTTAATTAATACGTTTATATATTTACTGGTGTGTATGATTCCGAGGTCTTGGAAATTTTATATACTAGTCATTGCTTTTATAGTTGCCGTGTTTTGGGGGTTATTGTAGTGTTTACTGTCGCGGGACTGTTGCTCACACCTTGGTATATTCGATATAGTATGTTCAAGGAAATATTCTTCGGTGGTGAATAAGTCATGCTATATCATGTATAAACCACCTAATTTCATAAATAGCTAGCTGTCTGGGGCTAGCCCATCCATTTGCTTTGGGCTTCCTTCGATATGTAGATAGATGCATGAATCCATGTCAGTCCTTCTCATTATCGGACTCGCTATCGATAATAATCTACATTATGTGTTGTTGATGATTCTGAAATTAGAGCAATTGCTTCAAGATGCTAGCAAGATCTTGAAAAATCCGACTATACTGATTCAAACTAGAGCACTGCCAAGAAACACGATACTATTGTTAAGAGATTCCTCCCTAGGGTGGCTTTATTGGGAAGTTCATTGGGCTAAGGGCATAAGTTGATGGATTGGATACCATCCTTAATCTTAGAGATATAGCTCTCAAATTCTTTTGGATAGCCATGGACGGTAGATAGCCTCGAGCGTGCCCTTTAAATTAAGCTAATTTATGAGTAATGATATTACTTCTGTGCATAATGCCTTATCCTTAGTATCGCATATGGCTAGAAGCAGAAAGGTTCGATCAGAGAGCTGTGGGGATAATTTTGATAGTAATCTCCTGTTCAAAGGAACAATAGCCGCAATTTCTACAGAGTGTCATAATGGATATGAGACGTAATAATATTTAAGTCATAGCGGGCAAAATAGTAGAAGAGGAATAAATGGGTAGAAACAAACAACTCTAGAACAATAAGGTAGTAGATACACCCAACTTCTTTCTGCAATCAACTGTCATTTACCTCCCCGTTCATGCTTCAGCTTCTACTTCTGGAGCCCCGTTGGCTGCTGACTCGGCTTGTTCGTCATCGTTGACATCGATAAGGGACTCTGATGAAGGAGGCTCAGGGACAACACCTTCCTTCTCCAGACGGAGGTACTCATCCCATTCTGGGAAGAGATCGTCATCGGCGGTAGTGTCGGGAGCACCGGGAGGGACACCGATCAGGCGAGCGATCTTTGTCTTTCCAGACTGCTCGAGCGACTGCTTCCACTGAACTACGAGCTCGGGTGCCTGGGATGGCTTGTAGGTTTGTGTGAAAAGGACGGCTTCCGCGAGACGGTTGGTCCGCACAAGAAGGTCTGTGCAGGCATCGATATCACCGAGAGACCACAAGGTAGAGAAAGCAACATTATGCAGACCGGCCTCGGATGCTTGTTCTGCGAGGTTACGGAGACCCTCCTTGTTACCGCTGGCAGTGTGCAAAAGCAGGAGGGAGCCAACATCCTTTGCATTGGTGAAACATTCCTGGGCCAATTCCAGATTCCATCCTGCCAGGGCAGCATCACCAACAGTCTTCCATTTATGTTCGACGTTAGCTTCACGAGCAATTTCGAGGGCAATATCGAGATTGTTGAGAGAAAGGGCAAGGTCGAAACGATGTTCGGGATCTGTGGCGACTTCAAGGGCCATGTCCTTGTAGCCCTGACCTTCGAGGAACCGCGCAACCTTGTTGATCTGGTCCTGTGGGATGTCCTTCAGCAGCTCTGCTGCCATATCCATGTCCCCACGAAGAACCACAGTCTGGTACTCGACCATGCTAAGTGAAAGACCAAAAGAAACAACGTTGACATCCTTATCGGCAAGATACACCCTGCCATCGCGAGGCAAGTAGCCGAGGACATACATTCCCTGGTCAAAGTGAGAGATTGTGTAGGTCTGATCACCGACAAGGTAGTTCAATCGGTTCGTCGAATTGGTGTAGATAAAGCAGTCACCAACCCATTGACCTGTCCTGACAGCCTCATTGACATCAGTGACGACTTCGAAGGCCGACTCAACACCATCTTCGTCGGCTTCTCCCTCATTGAGGCCGTTGATGTAGTTCTCCCTCGAGAATCGGAGCACGTAGAATGAGTCCTCACAGGCAAGTGTAACCAACTCGCCCGACTCAGACCAATAAACCTAGAAGCGGTGTTAGCTGATGAGACTTATTCATGGACTTTTTTTTTTGTTGATTCTTACGGCTTTCGGGTCGACTTCAATACGACGGACTAGATTGCCGGTCTCCCAATCGAACATACCAATGCCCCCTTGTCCTTTGACACCAAGAAGCACACCGTCAGTAAGACCTTCGGCTTGGAAGCCGACATCTAGGCCGCCGCTGACTTCCTTAAAGTTCCTAAAGATCTTGACGCTAGTTGCTGACTCGCGAATAGCATAATCATTGCTGTTATCCTTCGAGCCCCAGGCGAAATCGAGAGCTTGCCCAAATGCCTTATTTCTCCAAGCAAGAGCAGTGTAGATGATATATTCTCCATCACCGCATACTGAAACGAAACGGCCATTGGGCGAGTGTGACAGCGTCTGTGGGTAGACCTCACATGAGCCCAGCTCCTTGGTCGGTAAGGAGATTGGTGCGCCATCCTTGACAGTGGCATCACCGCCTTTGATGACTGTTGAAACCACTTCATTGTGCCTGGCCCAGACAACCTTTCCCGATCCGTCCATAGAGACAGCGGGTTCCTCGCGACCCATTTTCACAACCACTGCACCATCATCAAAACCCATTGCGATACCCTGTCTACCACGCTGGTATGCAACACACCAAGCTCTTTCAAGACCATAGCTTAACGATTGCTCCAGTCGATATGTGTTTGCGTGCCAGATCTTGATGGTTCCATCTTCAGATCCCGAAATGATCACTGGTAATTCCGGGTGATAGCAGGCGAAGGAAACATTACTCGTATGTCCTTCCAATGTCGCAATGAGCGCTTTCGTGGTGTAATCCCAGACCTTAACTGTCTTATCATCTGAGGTGGTAAGAAGATACGGCTTATCGGCTTGCGGATAGTAGTCGACATAGTTAACACCCTTCGTCTCGTGAGCCTCCAATGTGAAATTGGCATGCGGGGAACCAAGACTCCAGATCTTGACCGTCCGATCCAAGCATGCAGATGCAAATGTGTTTGTGTCCTTAGGGTTAATGGACAGTCCCATCACATAATGAGCGTGGCCTTCGTACACTTGGACACACTTCCAACCTTTCTCCCAATCCCAGAGCTTGATTGTCATATCATCGGAGGCTGTAAGAACGAAAGGTTGGGTTGGATGAACAGCAATCGAACGAATATAATCTGGGTGGGCCTCAAATGAGGCAATCTTCTCGGAAGTGTTGTAGTTGTATACGCGGAGTTGGAAGTCGTCTGACCCGCAAACAATCCAGTTTTTGCGGGCAATAAACCGACCAGCTCGTACAGGGACATCGGTAAGTTCGAACGTTTTGATGATTGACTGCGGAGATTGACGGTCAGAAGACGATTGAGCGTGACGTTGCTCATCAAACACTTACCTGAGTCTCGTAAGACCAGATGTATACGTGACCTATGGATTCCGATTAGCGCATTCGGCCTATAACCGTTTATAGGCAGATCCCCTAACGCACCGCTGTATAAGGTTGTCAGGATCTGAGGCCCAGTCAGCATAACATGTCCACATTTGAGATCGTAGGGGCACTCACCCATGGCTCTGTCGGATGGAAGTCAATGCCCTTTACTCGCTCCGAGCGAGCAAAGAGCTGTCTCTATTCAGTTGCAATTATGGTCAGCAACGAACTCATTTCCCTTCGAATGTATCCCCAAAATAAAGAAGCGCCAGCCTATTCCACATTGAAAATTATTCCGAATGACACACGGCGTACCTTAACATCCAGTCTCATGTTGTGTGGGGAAGGTTGATGTCGCGACTATTTGCGGCTTCGGGGGCGGAGGGGAAGAAACCAGGCCACGAGCGGCTCAGACAGCCCAGCCCGGGTTTGTAAATAACTTCCCTTGGAAGGATGTATTGAGAGCGCAGAAAAATGAGGAAGTCCCCGACCGGAATGGCCTGTAGGTCACCAATGTAGATGTTCAGGGACTCGGCAGCGATGTGTCCACAAGGAGACGGAATCCCGCCAGCTATCTACATTAGCCTAGCGACCTGGACCCTCACCGCCTACGATTCTAGGCTCCATATAAGATATTCATGGAGGATTTCCATTTTAAACTTATCACAATGCTACTTCCCAATTGTATCCTCTGTAATATTTATCCTCTAAATTTACACATTCTAAGCATCCGCTAAAGTGATCGCAATGCCCACAAACATACAGCAGCGTGGCTGTTAACATTGTCTACAGTGTTCCATGCTTCAACGATCAACCACCTTCGTCTATTGCGCAAGAGGCTCCCTAGATAACCTTGGACTTGATTGCTGTATAGGGCATAAAGACATGAACCTTCTAATAATGGATATAATTTCGACAAGATAGCGTTCCTTTCCATTTGTCACGCATCGGCTAATAAATACAAGTGGGGTTAAGGATCATAGAAATGAACAAGTCTTTTATTCATTGGGGTCAGCCTTTATGCAGAGTCTTTGCGCTCAAAGTAGGACCACTGGCCAGGGGTGGGCTTTTCCTCTAGTTCCTCCCAACTTGTGGGACGTCAGCATATTCCTTGCATGATCATGCTCCTCAGGTTTCGGGAACTTACACCTTGGACTTGGACATCTCGTCAACGAGCTTCAGCTCACCCTCGGCGACCTGGATAACCTCCTCAAGAAGGCCGGCGCCAATCTGGTTCTCGATTTCGGCAACCCTGAGGTTAATTGTTAGCTTTGGGTTCCCAAGAAAGTGCAACATATGAACGTACTGCTCTGCTTCCAAAGCGGGTTCGTTTTCCCACTTCATAGCATGAGTTTGGAAATCAGACTCGTTCTCTGCCTTGATCGAGTCCTCGATAGCCTGATGCCACCGAGCTTCTTCCTCTGGAGTACGGGCAGGGCCTTCACTGGTCGGCTCGAGGGCTTCTCCGTCCCACTCCTCACCACGGGGATTGTCGCTTCCATCGCCGCGCATGGCTGCCGCGTACGAGCCATCTGGGCGAAGGAGAGAGGCGAACCGCTCAGGCTCGGTACCAATTGCCTTCTTCACGCGCTCCAACCAAGCCTCATAGCCAGGAGGTTTCGTAGATTCAACAATTTGCAAGCGGTGGCGGGTTAAAGCCTCAGTGGACTGGCGATAGACAGAAGACTCGGGGAAGGCCTTCAATTTCTGCAGGGTAGTTGTGTAGAGATAGATCAAAGTTGGGCGGGGACTGGGATGAGTGACAAGGCCGGTGATACCGGTGGGAGCGAAAGGCTCCAGGTACCGGGCCGGCTTGACGTTGGCCAGCAACCGGAATGTAGACCGCATTGTATTCGGAGGATATATGAGAAGAAGAGGGGAAAGAATTGACCCAAAAAGGTGATGGATATCAGGGCCAATGGCAGACCATGTAATTTAGTATCTCAGGTTGTCATTGACTTCGGGAGCGAAGTTGAGGTTCCGTCGGGAGGCGGAGAAACAGAGATTCCACCAGGACGTTCCGGCCACTTTCATCTGAAGGGAACTAAACTTATCGATCTCTCCGCGCTTAGGGGGTTTACCCATTCTCACCCGCATTCGAGACCATCCTTTGTCTTGAGGTCCTGCGGATTTGTCCGCAGATTTTTCTTCAATTTGAATACGATCGCCTGCTTCGGTTTCACAACCGGTTTCTCTGCGGCGATTGTCCCAGCTTGCTGTGGCCACCGAGCCGCATTTGGACACTCGTTCTAGGTCTTCATGCGCCACTAGTGATATCTTTGGCAATCGCCCTTTGTTCTTACGTTCACTTTTCTTCGAAAGCATCGTTTCAAGGTCGTAGACCTTGAATTGCAGTCAGTATGAGGGCGTCCTTGCTGGCGTGTTCGCTTCTCTCTTTATTCTCTATCCCCACTCTCGCTTCTCCTTCCGACAAGGTCCTTGAATCCAGAAATGGCCGACTTGTGAAGAGAGCCGACGACCCCGTCGACCCGGGTACCCTGTCTACTACTTTCAACGGTGTTGAAGTACCTCCTATGAAAGATTTGACGCCTGATAACTTCGAAGAAACCGTCAAGGACGGCTACTGGTTAGAACTCTCCCTCTCACTTCGGTGTCTAGATGCCAGCTCTAACATCTACCAGGTTCATTAAGCAATTCTCTCCTGCCTGCCCGCATTGCCAAAAGATCGCTCCTACGTGGCAGACACTCTATGAGTATTACTATGTAAGTGCTGTGGCTATGCCCATTAGGAAGTGTGTTCGTTCAAGCCTGCTAACAAACGGTAGACTTCGGATCCCTTGGCCTCGTCCTCTTCGAAACCATCCGATACTAAATCTCTGAACTCCTTCCATGGCTTCTACAATTTCCATTTTGCATCGCTGAACTGCCAGGCCTATGGCGACTTTTGCAAAAAATTGGATGTGAAGTACTTCCCGCAATTCTCTTTGTATCACAATGGTGAAAGGGTGGAGGAGTTCACTGGAAAGAAATCCATGGAGGGTCTGAGCGAGTACATTGAAGACAAACTTGAATCGATCAAGCCTGGGTCTCGTCCTGCGAAGGGAGTCAACCTACCGAAGCCCGGCGCCAAGGGCGTGGATACGAAGGCTGAACCAGAGGTCCCTGCTGCTAAAGACAAGGACCCCGAGGCAGGCGCCAAGGCTGGTGAAAAGCACAATGAGCAGGTTTCCGCCGAGGATCCGTCTTCCGAGAAAACCTCTACGTCGAAGACCAAAACGAAACCGAAAGGGGGTCCAGCAAACCCTCAAGGAATATCTGTTCCCCTCACCGCCGAGAGCTTCCAGAAACTTGTTACGACCACGCAGGATCCCTGGTTCATTAAGTTCTATGCCCCATGGTGTCATCATTGCCAGGCACTTGCCCCTAATTGGCAGCAAATGGCCAAGGAAATGCAAAATGTCCTGAATGTCGGAGAAGTAAACTGCGACGCTGAGCCCAGACTTTGCAAAGATGCTCATGTATCGGCCTTTCCCACAATGTATTTCTTCCGAGGTGGTGAGAGGGTCGAATACAACGGTCTTCGGGGCCTAGGCGATCTAGTCAACTATGCCAAGAAGGCAGTTGACGTTGGCTTGGGTGTGCAGGACGTCGACGCCACTTCCTTCAAGGAGCTGGAGGAGAAGGAAGAAGTCATCTTCTTGTACTTTTACGACCACGCTACGACATCTGAGGATTTTGAGGCTCTGGAGCGCCTAACTCTTAGCTTGATCGGCCATGGACGAATTGTGAAGACTAACAGCGCAGCCCTGGCTGAACGGTTCAAGATTTCAACATGGCCCCGGCTTCTTGTTGTCCGAGACGGTCGAGCCAACTATTATACTCCGATTGCTCCCAAGGACATGCGAGACTTCCGACAGATTTTGGGATGGATGCGTACTGTGTGGTTACCCATCGTCCCCGAACTTACCGCCTCCAATGCTCGGGAAATCATGGATGGTAGGTATGTGGTTCTCGGAATTCTAAGCCGGGGGCGCTCGGACGAATTCCTGCAGTCAAAGAGGGAGCTGAAGAGCGCAGCTCTTGAATGGATGGACAAGCAGGTTCAGTTGTTCCAATTGGAACGGGCAGAACTTCGGGACGCCAAACAGCTCCGCATTGAGGAGGCTGATGACCGTAACGACCAGCGCGCGTTGCGAGCTGCCAAAAACATGCGCATCACAATCCGTGAAGATGACAAGAAACAGGTCGGCTTCGCTTGGGTTGACGGCGACTTCTGGGAACGGTGGTTGAGAAATACTTATGGTATTGATGTGGCAAATGGGGAACGAGTCATCATCAACGATCACGATGTAAGTGCCTCATTGGCGGAAGAAGGTCATTGTCTTCATATTGATACTAATCCGACCAGAACCGACGGTATTGGGACTCATCTTCGAGCGGGTCTCCCATCCTGGCCTCACGTACTTCTATTCTCGAAACTATTCCACTTGTGATCGCCAACTCCCCTAAGCTGACACCGAAGTCCACTGTCGGCACTTTTGAATCTATCTTTTTCTTCGCTCGGTCCTTCATCGTCAACCACCCCATCCTCTTTGTCCTCATCCTGATCTTCTCGGTTGTTGGCGCGACGTTGTTGGCTCGAGCCAGGGGCCGGCGTGCCGGCCGCGGTGGCATTCTTGGTGTCGCTAACGGCAGCAATGGTTTCTTTCACCTTGATGGGAAAGAAGGTCTGTTGAACGGCGGCTCAACTGGGAAGGTCGATTAGTCGACGGTATATGAACCCGGAGGAATCATTTGTACAGTTATTATATTCATTTTCACCCCTTTTTTTCTCTCGAGACCTTTCCCTTCCTTCCTTCCTTCCTCCTCCATTTCGCTCGCGTTGATTTCACGTGGTTTTTCTATTGGATTTGTAAGGTTTTAACTGTTCTATATCTTGGTATTGATGATGCCCTTCATATATCTCGTTCCATTTTTACATTGGTCTCCTGGTTCCGGCGGCGTTAGGGCGAGTGTTGTGCTGTCGGCAGGCTCCTCCATAATTTGTATCAGACACGCGAGTGTCTCCTTAGTACCTATACAGATTACAAAAAGCTATCATTTTACATTGCCCGTGGAGTGAGGATGAAGTCTTGTGTACAGGTTGTAGAAGCAATGCCCTGATGCCACCTAGTTACCTTGATAGGCAAAGAAAAGGGCCGGGGGGGATTAAAAATGGAATAGCTTGTATTTTTAGATATCTTGAAAGTTTTTACATTGAGTACATAGTGACCAAATCTGATATTGTATACAAGGAACTCGAACTACTAACCCCGTTGACCTCGAATGTAAAAGCGAGGCTCTGATTCGGCAGTCCAGTTGATTCACGTGATGGTCAATTGGCGGATGATGATTGGCTATCGGGTTGCCGCAAGCATTGTGAACGTCGCGGAGTCTCCCGGTTTTCTACGACTGCCTTGAATCTCAGTTGCTGCTGTCAATCACCGCTCTATTAGAACATTTCTTGCTTAGGTCTTGCTTCTTAGTTTATAGACAAGATGGTATGTATATCCAGATTTGGAATCTTTACGTTTTAATTGGGTTCAAAGTCCGTTCACTCTGCGGAGGCTCAGGTTATGAGAGGGATGTTCAATCGCACCATAGACTGGCCGTCAGCAGAGAAACTATATGAAACTCACCAATTGCTAACAATTCTTGTCGCTATAGTTCTCTCAGACCCTTCGTCGTGCTGCGGCCCAGACTGCTGGTGCCTACCGCTCTCCTTTCGCTCCCAAGTGAGATCCCTCGAACTCCCCATTGACAATATTCTATCACGATAGTGGGCTGTACCTGTACTCTGGGTTAGGCTTGGTCTTGGAAACAGTCTCTTGATCCATCTTCAGCTCTGAGCGTGTGGCCAACGAAGGCAGCCCACGCCGTATCGCCAGAGTTGGGACCCCCATAGTTACCGGTCGGCAGAGGAGCCCAATAAAATCGTTGAAAACGCAACCAGGGTGATGAGGAACGCTTGCTAATTCGAATCCTTGATGGTCTCCAGGTACACTACTCCTCTCAATTTCCACGGTGTGACCGCCAGCGCTGCCACCAAGTAGTGAGTACCACCTGTTCTATACTCCCTCTTATCTACCTGCCATTCAGCGGGTTTCTCTGCTCCATTATTCGAATCGTGCTGACCGTGTTGCGATTACAGTGCCCAGATTGCCGCCACTTTCGGTGCCAGCGCTGGTGTCTTCGCTCTCTTCTTCTTTGGTGAAGTTCCCCGTGTCCGCAACGATATCTTGCGTCAGCTTCCTTTCTTTGACGAGTACTTCGACCGCTCCATTGCCCCCGAGGACAACGTATGTACCTGTTTTCTCCAGCTAGGATTGCCAATTCTTGATGTGCCATGCTAACAATCATGTAGCCCTTCTAAACTTTCCCTTACGAAGTACGATTAATCAACCATGTCCTACTCGCAGGGATTTCTTATGTTTGCGCATATGCTCCCTATCAGCTATATAGTGGAGGAAGGAGTCGGTTCTGTACTGTGTAGAATAGCAGCGATGAATTGTGACAGCACATAGACACGCCTCCTTAATTATCACTTCCTTTGTTTCTGTTTGGGATAGTCCCATACCACCGTTAGGTACTGCAAGTGGACCTCCGGTGATCAGTTGCATTTCCGGCATGTCGGGGGAGTCCAAAGCCAACAGTCCTGGTAAATATAGGGATTGATATATCTGTCAAATGATGGTTGATACTAGTGTGGTGACAAAATCCATCCACGGTCAGGGTTTCCCGTAAGGGCAGGTCCAGCCTACTTCTATCGCAGTAAGAATATGCTTTTAACAAATAAACACTGATCGGATTAATAGACGTTATCATGTCGAATAAAATCCTCCGTAATTCCTTTATCTTTTAGTTCCTCCTCTTATCAGAGCTTGAACATTCGTCCGTCGAGACGCCACCCACTTCGAGCTGATAAGAAACCCTGGCATTTTGTCTCGGCCTCCTTACTGGAGCGAGAGAGGGCGAAGCTATGTGACCAACCTTCTTTTGAAATGGCGCCGCCTGAAACTACCCTGCTGAGTATGGATCATGCGCCAAGCTTTAGATAGCTGTGCGATCCAAGCGGAGTACTAGACCGATGCTGCTGCAACATGAATGGCCTACGCCACTGCATACAGAAGAGAGTGTGACCAGATGCCAAGCAAAAGTAACCCCCCAACCTAGGAAGTTTCTCCCAGCTTCACCCTCCCCATGTCATTCGCAGATTACTATTATCGGTTGAACTATCATCAGCCAAAGAGAATGCGTCTCACCCATCATGGTTTCTATCCGGGGGGATGTGGATACACTTCCCCCCCGTGCAGAGTGCATGGCTACTTTTGATATAACTATCGTTACGCAACCCCAGTCCGGGACATAGTCGCATATAAAGTCCTTTTCTTTCCCCCTCTTCGGCAGTTCACCGTTGAAGTTACCACTAAAACGCTATATTTGTGGCACGGCAGCGTCACAGACTTTTGGTCCCCCCCGGCGACAATTCCATGATCAGCTTGGAATGACTGGTTTTCTGATATCCACCGCTTCTGCAGGGATAACTGTCTGCCTGCCTAAGAAATTATCAAGATCTAAATCGACCCGCAATTGCACAGAAGGACATCGTCGCCATGTCTTCCGTGGGCAAGTCGACGCCTTTAGCTAAGGCTACCTCGAAGGGGTCGGTATATGCCGATGTGGACCATGACCCAGTAACCACGGTGTTACCAAATGGCGACGTGCCTTATGCGGACCATGCAATGGACGCCGATGAGAGGGTCATTGTAGCCCTGGGGTACAAGCAGGAGTTCAAACGAGAATTCTCGCTATGGACGACATTCTGCGTCAGCTTTGCTGTGCTTGGGCTGCTCCCATCTTTTGCAAGCACAATATATTATGGTAGCTATCCTGACGTCGAGGGTATTCTAACGGGCTGACATCCGTCCAGGAATGGGCTATGCGGGAACGGCAGGCATGGTTTGGGGTTGGATCATCGCCATGGTTTTCATTCAGTGTGTTGCCATGTCAATGGCTGAACTGTGTTCGGCGATGCCAACAAGGTACATCCATCTCAATTCCTTTTGCGTCCTCCAAACACTCGTTCTGGTTTTCTTATCTTGAAACTAACATCACCAGTGGCGGCCTCTACTATGCCGCTGCAGTACTCGCACCTCCGGGATATGGACCATTCGCGGCGTGGATCACTGGGTGGTCCAACTGGATTGGACAAATTACAGCGGCACCGTCAGTGGATTTTTCACTGGCTGCGATGATCCTGGCTGCAGCGTCGATAGAGAACCCGGACTACGTTCCTACTTCCTGGCATACATTTCTCCTTACCACACTTATCATGATACTCCACGCTGCAATCAGCAGCATGCCAACGAAATGGGTTGCGCAGTTCAACTCGTGGGGCTCAACGTTCAACATGTTTGCCCTCGTTGCTGTCATCATTGCCATCCCGGCAGGGACGAAGAATGAACCCAAGTTCACCCCGTCAAAGGAAGTATGGGGGACAATCACTAATTTAACCGACTTTCCGGATGGGGTTGCCGTGCTCATGACCTTTGTCGGTGTGATCTGGACCATGTCCGGGTACGATTCTCCGTTCCATCTGAGTGAGGAGTGTTCCAACGCAAACATCGCCTCTCCGCGAGCCATCGTGATGACCTCAGGCGTCGGGGGCTTGATGGGCTGGTTCTTGCAGCTTGTAGTCGCTTACACCGTTCTTGACATTGAGGCGGTGATAGACTCTGATCTCGGACAGCCTTGGGCATCATACTTGCTGCAGGTGATGCCACAAAAAGCCGCCCTGGGAATACTCGCTTTAACTATTATTTGTGGTTTCTCGATGGGCCAGGGATGCATGGTAGCCGCATCGCGAGTCACATATGCCTATGCCCGCGATGATTGCTTCCCTTTATCAAGGATATGGAAAAAGGTTGACAGTCGCACTAAAACACCCGTGAACGCTGTCATCATAAACGCCGTCCTCGGGATCCTTATGTGCCTCTTGATCCTCGCCGGGGATGTAGCAATTGGCGCTCTATTCTCTATCGGTGCCATTGCGCAGTTCGTTGCTTTTGCGATCCCTATTTGCATCCGGGTGTTCTTTGTTGGGAACCGTTTCCGGCGGGGACCATGGCACTTGGGGCCATTTGGTCCCTACATTGGAGCAACGGGCGTACTCTTTGTGCTGCTGATGGTGCCCATTCTGTGTCTTCCCAGTGTAACAGGGGATGATTTGACACCGGATCTGATGAATTGGACGTGTCTTGTCTGGGGCGCTCCAATGTTGGCGGTGAGCATCTGGTGGGTAGTAGACGCCCACAAGTGGTTCAAGGGTCCAAAGGTCAATGTGGAGCATGCCATCCACCCCGTGGAGGAAGAGAGGCCCGTTATCGTTGATGTGGGGTTCGATGGCGGCGAAGATGAGTATACGTCGGACCGAAATCAGGGCTAAGTGGTCATGCACTGGGGCGTACATTTACGAAATCATATATCTAATTTCACTTTCTGATCTTTTATATCACAGTAAACTTTGCACAGTATGGATGTAGCATATCAAAATGATGGTATCTTATTCTTCTCATACACATCTCACGATGTATGATATTAGTCTGCAGGCAAACCTGAAGCTGAAACGACAGTTATACCCTGCTACTGGTAGATCGTCAGCCAAACGGCGCAACAAAGTGAGGCGCCAGATTCGACATGTCACAATGTACTAATTAAGGAAGCGATCGGGATCACAACCGAGGCATTCGACTGCACTCCCTAAATATCAAATCCTACCTTGCAGCGGAACACAGCGAGAAGCAGATCGCCTTCCAGAGTTATCTCGAATGTATCCAGTTGCCTACACTGTCACAGATCTCAACTTAGCATATCAGTTTAATGGACAGAGTGAGGGTCCATCTTGGACTATACATGAGGGAATGAAGAGAATGTTGAACATGCCGCTTGCCAATGCGAGTCATACTTTTGGGGGATTTATTGGCGTGGTCTAAAGTGTTACCCTAGATAGAATATTTTTGATCAATTCGTCAGGACGGGATAATTGTTTGAACACTACCACGTCCACACTACCTCTCAAGTCCATATAGATACAATGCTGAGCCAAACCTATCTTCTTCCTCTTCTAATTATAACCGCTATTGCAAAATGATCTGGATTCGGAAAACATCGAGTTGTCACACCTACAGAGTAGACAAACATCAGCACAATCAGCCAGCGAAGCCCTGTAGTTACCACGACGTACAGCATCTCAATCCCAAGTCCACTCGACTCGACTAGAGAATAAGAATATACAGCCTCACATCAAAGTCAATCATTATACTGACATCATCACAACAGAAAACCAGACACACCCGACCCTCGCAGTACATAACCAGGAAGAACCGGCACATCAAAAGCACCGCCTCGCAACAAAAAGCACCATCCACATGAGAGATCACATACGCCCTACTCAGTACGGCCCATAAGTATACATACGGAGTACCACCTACATCACCGCGGATAAGTCCGATGCAAGAAGGTGTGTCCCCAACCTATCAGCGGCACGCATCCAGCTGCAACCGTCCTTGCATCGCGTCGTTAGCCTTGCGCACAAGCCCTTTCTGGTGCTGTACTTTGCGCCGAGGTACCTGGTACGTACATTGTACACTGCATGGCTATCGGATCTGGGTTTTGTGTTTGCCTGCAGATAAGAACGACGTGCGTCATTTTTCTCTGGGTATTCCTTGCATATTCGTGTATGCATTGTTTTACAGGGGAATGTATGGGTAGAGAGAGTATGTGCTGGGAATCGGATTCTCAATATCTCCTATCGAAAGAAGGGATATACTTAGCTATGTTATTCTAAGTACTACTTACTACTTACTACTTTGTATACTTACCATTTCAAGGTATGCAGATAGATAGACAGACATTCTAGAAAATCTCAAGCCAAAACTGGCAAACTTACTTCCCTGGATCCACTATTCCGCTATTCTGCACATAAAAGTTCCATACATCCACACTACTACAGAGTACTACTACTACTACTAACAGTAGTAGTAGCTACAAAGTAACGTATCCAGATATATAATTCAAACCAAACCATGTAGTATCAACTATTAAGCCCATATTAAAACCTACAACCTACTAACCTCAAGTACTAAATTCAACACAGAGACAGATCATAGTCTATCCATCCCATCTCCCACACTACCCTACCCTACACCCCTACACCCCTACACACACCCACACTCACTCACTCACACAGAGCGTGAGGGACAGAGAAAAGACAAACAAAAACTCACCAAATAACCCAACCCAACATATCCATCCCCCTCTCCTCTCCCATCTCAACATAAACAATCCTCAGCTCCAAGCTCCACAAAGTCCCCACAACGGCTCATTCCCAAAAGCCGCTTATCCATCCCATCCGCTCGCAGAAAGTAAGTAAACACCTCAATCTAACCGATTCCAGTCTCAATTCTGCAGGTACGGAAGTACAACCCCCATGCAACATTTGCACAATCGGACTTGGCCCATACCCCTCCCCCTCTTTCCTCCCCTCCCCTTCTAACCGAGCCGATACCACCACATGACTTTTTTTTTTTTTCTATTTAAAAATATCAGATATGACAAAAAAGAAGGTTGAAGATGAAACTCACTTACCCCTGAAAACAAACCGAGTGTTGGGTTTAAGCTCCAAAGGGGGAAGGTCGATTCTGAAATCTGAAATCAACTGGCGGATGTGGTGCCATGGTCTTTGACGACTCTTCTTCGGCTCGGTAAATGGATACCGTACTCCGTACGGAGTACGGAGTACTTAGGAATCCATTGAGTACCCGCTTGCCGGGTTGGGGTTCTGGATGCTGGATTCTCGGACGAGAGAATGATAGGTAGGTGCTCCGTAAATTATTTTGGATGCGGCTTTTTTGGGGGGTTCTTGGTATCTGTAGCATCTGTTCTATCTAGGTTCGCTTATGGGGTTTTTCTTTCTACATTGTATAGAGGGTGAGGCTGAGGGTTTGGTATTGGGATGGAGGTTTGTTCACAAGGATGTATAAAATCCGTGCTATCGTATACGTATCGTAGAATATGTTATGTCTAGGACGGGGGAAACGAAATATATGCATACATAGGTAGGTATGCATAGACATACGGGAATTCTCTTTCAATTCAATTCAGTTGATAATTGATTCGTGTTCAGTGATGATCAATGTAACTCTCCTCATCTAGATCATTCACCAATATATATTCCCTATATGGAAATATACATATCGGATATAAGGATATACCAGGATGATAATTTATGCTTAAGATTACAGGAGATCGAGTTATGAAAGTGTAATAGATCAATGATCGACTTTGTCTATATTGTGGCTTGAGGACGCGTGACCACGTAGATAGGCTGAAGGGTGACGCCTTCTAGAAAAAAGATTCTATTTTGTATCTCCACGGAATCCCATGGTTGTTCGTTTGTCAACTACCGTGTGAGGCAACCGAAGGGTTCGGATATCTTGTCAGATTTGGGATTTCATTATTCATTCTTTTTTGCATCGTCGGGCACGGCCAGAAGTCATCATGCGGTCAAGCCACCAACGGACTAAATTGATGACCAGCTGTCCCGGGATTCTGGTGTAAAGAAATTGAAAATAAAATAAAAAAGGTAAACTAAATATTATCACGAATGCTACGCTGCAAGTCCTAGTGTCCCAAAAAAAAAAAAAAAAAAAAAAAAAAAAAAAAAAAAAAAAAGAACAATGCAAATTTACTCGGTATAGATTGGCGATATGTTGACCAACCTCACAAACTCAATTCTCTCAATTAGTTACCACTTATGTCATCTCTGCAATCCAGATTGCTTGTCCTCCGTACTGGATAGGTAGCAAAAGTAACATGCTCTGGCCCCCCTGAAAGGAAAAACGACCAGAATGGACGTGGCCGCTTGTGGCGTTTCTCGTAAAGCTGCGGATAACTTCAGACCAAGTGCCATTGGTTCGCTCACCGCGTGAGGTGAAACGGGACCGACCCAGACTTTTCCACTTCTTGTTCGGCTTTACTCCGGTCTGTACCGGAAAAACCACCCTTCATAGGTTAAAAGTGGTAAAAGTGCCGAGGGAGGAGAAAACCCTGGAAAGAAGCAGCCCTGGAACCCGAGAATGCCCGTGTCCCGGATTCGGCGGAATGAAGAAAAATAAGAACGGTCACGGGGGACTAGTAAAGTGGACGATCTGCAAGCGAAACTTGCAGTAGTTGACTTTTGACTTGGGTTCCTTAGGGGTGAGGGGCGGATTTTCAGTTGGTATGATGGTTAGTCTCGTTTAGCTTCGTTAATTAGTGACTTAGTTGGGAGGTACTACCGTACTAGGTATCTAGTACATCTCGTTAACTGTTTTTTGTTTGGACCAGCCACTGATGTTTTTTTTTTTCTTTCTGGGCTGAGAAAACTGGCCATTCCCTGCCACGTAGCGGTTAGCTAGTAGGGTTTATTGACCGGCGGTGGTGGTGTTGTTGTCAATGGACCCATGTATGTACAGTTTTGTAGTATGTACTCGCTCTCTGGGGTAGAGAACGAGACCAGAAATGGGAATAACGGTCTGCTGGTGTTACAATCACTGCTGTATTCCACATGAAGATGGTATCGTCAGTGAACCGTACTCGGTCAGTCGATGAGGAACAAAGTTTCGTCGTAGAACAGTCGATATTCGGAATCGGTTCAAACCTCGGCTGAGGTCAGAAAAATGAAACGAAATACCTTATGATCTTAGGGCTCATGTATAAGCTATCCCCAATACGCAATACTACAGTAGCACCTGTGACAGAAGGGAAAAAAGAAGCTAGGACACCAGGACGAGTAAGGCAACCCAGCAGGGGAGAATCAAAAGCCAAGCTTTTAAATAAACCAGCGGATTATTTCCTGATTCACCATAGTCGAATCTTCAAGGACCCTTGGAGGAGTCAAGTTCAACGATGTTGATTGTACGGAGTTCTCTCCGTACGCCTACTGAAACCGATGTATCATCCATCATCAACCCATGCATACGATCACTCCACACCGCCTGGTCGTCGTTCTCCGTGGAAGTTTCCATGAGCGGGCCATCGGCTCCTCAGGTGGAGCAGACTGCCGTGATCGGACCGCCACATTGGGCGAGGTGCAGAGGGTATTGCGCGACCATACCTTAATGGGACTAGTTCAATATTCCATGGAAATCTCACAAGTGGCAAGTTGGGCGAGGTTCCATCCTTTCTTTACTCCCCCGTACGGAGTATCGACACGGAGATAGTGAATGAGGGTAACTAACTGTAAGTTTTAACTAAACTCTCGAGATTCACTTCGAACTGAACCCCAATTACTCCAACGACTGAATTCAATCGTGAGATTAAATACATAGTCATCGATAGTGTTTCTCGTTTCCTTGGGATTGAAATCCTGCATGACCGCATACTCTGTCTGCCAACCATAACTCTGAACATTCGCCCGAGGTGCGCCGTGACCACGAGCAAATTTAATCGCCAATCTTTCAACCACACTTCATTCTCATTATTTCTATTTTAGAATTTCTACCACATTTGTGACAAATTCACGGAACGCTTCTTCCGGAAATACCGGGAGGCGGATTTCTTTAATTTGTACAAATTGAAATTATTCATCATCGCTTAGAGGATCGTGATGTCTCGAGCGACCGTTTCATATAATGTCCCAAACGTACGTGCTCAATTTTGTAGCCAGATCAGATAGTCGGAACAATCACCATGCAATCGATCCCATCTTTGTCTAGTGGTCGAGGTCCACAATCGAAGCGGGAGAAGCTCCCAGCGAAAATCTCCTGGTGGGGAATAGCCGCTTAACTCTCTTGTGAAGCCTAAAAACAAGGACCCATCGTCTATGTGTTTTGATATTGCAAATCTGGTCGACGGCGTCTGCAGGAAAGGCAAAATGTCAAAGACTAAAGGCAAAACAATGAGAAATTAAAATAAAGAAAGAAAGGGAAAAAAAAGATATACATAATAGAAATTGCTAATAGTGAGGGAATTTTTTAGACACCCCATTTTTCATCAAATGATACTACCTACGTACTTAATTAATGACGAATAATATATTAAAAGAGTTAATAATAGTGCCAATTATGTGTCGATGTGATTCATCATACTGTGATAGATTGGGAGGTGGCAATGACACGGCAGTCTGAACCACGGACACTCCATATGGAGGGACGATTCCTCTCTTGCTCCCGGGCTTACTTCGTAGATATTGGGGGAGAAACTAATAGTCACTACTGATCTTATTCACTCACTAGGCTGCATATGAAACAAAGTGCGTGGCCTCATTTATTGTTAAGCCAACAATATTCTCCTGCTATCCGCCGGGTATTAGTCAAAAGTACCGCCCGTAAGGTCTAGAAGGTCTGCGTGCGGGATGCTTACTGCTTACATCACCCCCTTCATGAGAACTGTATCCCTTGTAGATATACATCTGTAGATATATCTATGGTGTAAACTGGCAAGTATTATTAAATGCTTTCGCGCTTTTGCTAGTGTCTAGAACCAGTGATTGTCAGTGGTGTGGATGGATAGTCTTGGTTTCGCTACTCGTACTCTCTCTTGGATCGCTTGCCCTGGGATTCATGTCATATAAATAGTTTAGACTCGAAGCTATGTACGTACAATACAATGGGAACGACCAGTATGAGGTAAACTAAACTCTTTTTGAAACATGACTCAACTTCTGTATGGACTGTCAATGGGCTGTAGATATTAATAGCAAGCGATATATCTACCTGCAATAACTGATGGGAACATCCGCTTATTGTAAGAATATAGGTCTAATAATGTACCTGACCGTTGCTTCCCGCCGTGACACGTAGACATATCATCTGCGGACTGACTGTCTACGATATCGGAGGTGGTATGATATAGTAACGACGATGGATACTGAGGCACCGAAGGAGTGCGTATGAGGCAGGTTGCCTTGGAAAGTGTCCTTACTATACAGAGTAGTGCTGTATGTATGTAGGTAGATACTTATAGGTTATGGTATTATATATCGAAAGAGAATTGCGTACAATATATACTGCAGGAATGGCATGTCAGATGGCACTATATATACTACCCTGACTCAAGAAAATGCTGCTTTCTCCAGGATTGATGACATTCCCACATCGAGCGGAGTCGGGTGGAAACAACCATTGTTCATCTTCAAGGAACAGGTTCTGTCACTCCACATCAACAATGATAACTATGATAAGGTTCTGCTCATGTGGGATGGTGGATGTGCCATGAGGACTGAGCGCCAGCATTGGATGGGCGGGACTGTCAACTGCGGAGAAGGGGTGCAGGAAGGTCCATTCCACCTGCCGCCTTATTTTGGGACTATATCGCACCCAGAGAGGGCTTAATTGAACCTGAAAAATGCCATCCAGATGAGGAATGCCATTCCTGAATCCTTCCCGCTGCGCCTGACACCGGCCCAATTGTTTCGTTTGAATGCGGCCAAACGGTACAAGAGGAATGAGAGCGCGATCGGAATTTAGTGAAGGGCGTGGGTGTGGTATCGTATCAGGATGTATGAAGTACCTACGTTACAAAGTACTACCCGATTCTTCTCGTCCAGCCAATAGTACCTCCCACACCTCAGGCATCCGTAATTCCCTTTACGTAGCCATGTCTGAAAGCAGACTAGGTCGTCGTCACCAACGAACCTCTCTTCACAACCCAACTCCATCATCCTGCAAGTCTAGGGCCGTTCGCCCCTCTATTCACTTATCATCACCCCTCATCTAGCGCTTTGTCGACCTATGCTTATTATCACATCCTGGAGGACGATAATGACGATTGTTATGGATGATCGACTTGGGGGGGGG